AATCAAGTGATGCGAAAACGCCGTAGTCAAGAAGTATCTACCGGACAAAGCACCCCCATGCCTGGAACTCAACAGCAGAAGCCAAGACTCCTTTCCGGCCTCATGCTTGATTGATGAAGCCCACTCTGCGCCAACGTAGGAAGAGAAAGAGAGAGTAAGAGAGGGAGCGAGAGAGAGAAACGCTGAAGCTGGTGCCCCGCTGACGGCGTCGGAAATCAGGTTAGCTTCTGGGTGACCTGAACGTAGTTGGCTTGGCTCGGGCATCCAGAGTACCAAACGATCGCCGAACTGAGAGCGCAGCGACTCCCCAAGAAGCTGTCGCGCACTCGTCGGCCAGCTACAACCAGGCGACCCTGGCAGCGATTCCGCAAACCAAGCTTTTTGTGCGGCATCTTAACTTTGCTCTACAAGTTGATCGGCATGCGGTGCAAAACTGAGGATGGTCGTTTGGATGTCATGTACAAGATACCCCCTTCTTGCGGAGAAGTTGAGGGTAAAGCTCATGTAGCTGTGGTGTTTGTGGGCTATGCCTTCACTGGCAGGTGTCCTTGCCTTTGCATCTACTACTGTTGCATGTGCGTGTCGCGGATCTTATCCCGGGTGACGAACATGCCGCCATGTAGGGTCAAAGCTTTCGTGATGCGGTTCGAGCAGGCACAGATCATCGACTATAAGGCGGAGACAACACCGAATAGGTTCCATTCCGCTCCATCACCAAATGTCTTCATGAACCAAACAGACATCCGGGACTTAACTCACGAGGATTGGTGAGTCTCCCGCTTCTGCGCAGATGCAACAGCATGACGGCATGCTCGGGCCACATGTCAAGCATCTCTGAACGTCTTTCCAAACTGCTGGTGGCAGCCGATGACCGAAGACTTTGCTGGAGCTCATCCTCTCGCAGAACTGCAGCCGGTTTCTGGCTCGTCGAAATAAACCGAAGAACGTAGAGCCACTGTCGGTAGTGTTGGGACGAACTGTACGCTAGGCTCTAGGTTGATGAGGCATACTCGCTCAGTTTTGGGCGCACCATGTATTCAACATTCATGCAAACTTCATGGGCGACAGTGACGACCCACAAACAAACGCCTCAACGTCTACTCGCCCGTCCAGCTAAAATGAAAGCCGCGGCACGACTTTAATGGCATGGCATGACATGAAGACTCCGGACATTGATGCACGCAATTGATGCATGCTGTGCTGCAAAAATGCAAAAATGCAGGCATGCGAACAACTATCGGCAAGCATGTCCGCTTCACAGTACAACGCAAGCTGCGGGCCAAGTCAAGGAACGTAAGAACATTCGTGTCAAAACCCTCGGAGCAGTCCTACAGTCCTACAGCTGAAGAGACAGAAAACTTCAACATAACCGGAGAGTTGTCCCGGGACGGCGCGAGGAACTGCAGCCGGACACAATTCGACCCCAGCCAAACTGTGCAGAACTAGCTCTGACCACCTAGGAATCAAATCATCATCTCAGCCACCACTCCAGCGGGGCACACGTATCAATCAGCCATGTGCGAGGTGCAAGACAACCTCCAACCAAGCAGTGATGAACGCCCGCTTCCCGGCTACAGTTTCGATACATGTGCCCTGGTCGGCTCCGAACGGGCGCGAGTAATCCGTCGCATTCATGACAGGGTTTTTGTAGCTCGGCACACTCCATCCAAAAAACTTTCCAGCTCCAGCCACTTAGGGGCTCACGCTTGCGAAGCGGCGCATGACCCCCCGTGTGTCGCTTGGCGCACATGGCTCACCATCAATCTTGGAGTTGTTTGAAGCTTTGGGCTTACAGCAAGAGCTGCATGACCCGGAGCCGGACAAGTCTCGGTCTTGGCGCTTTGGTTCGTCGGAGAGAGAACAAATCAAGCACCGCACCGCACCGAGCTCAAGTTAGTACGCTCGAGTCGAGCGGCTGCCATGCTTTGGGAAGGCCTTGCCTGCCGTGGCTCCTGAGCTTCTCCAGCAAAGTGAAGCAGGGCACCACCGAAGCCTCAAGCCAGGTCTAAGTTCAGCCGCGGAATGCTATCGGCTGCTACAAGTAGCGCCCCTAAGCCTCACACGTGTGTATCTTAGCGCCATGGATTCCAGGGACACGGCCTGCTGGAGACTGGCTTCGCTGCTTCGCTCAGCCTGAAGGCGGCTACAGGCTTGCCTCAGCATCATCTCTGGGCACCGAGGCCTCGGGATGAAAGCTGAGACCTCTCATCCGTTAGAACTATGGCCGAGCGCCGCACGCTTACACAGTCTTGCAGCATCTGCCACACTCCTTTGGCCTGCAGAAAGCGCTCGGCACTGACCTGGCCCAAATTCCAATGTTTCATTCGATGCTCTTACTATTTTCACGGACCAAAGGCCTGAGCACTGCTGGTTGCAAGCAATCGCTGTTGCAGAGCCGCTGCATTTAAACCTCTGTAACCCAAGCAGGTGCTGCAACTGATTCTGAGAAGCACTTGAGCTCGCAGCTGCAAATCCAGATGTCTCTTTGTTCCAAAGTGTCTGCTTCAAGCTCCTGTCACATGCTCTGCTCATTGCTCCTCTTCAGATGCTCGCGGCAGCGTCCTCGTCGTAAGCCGCCAGCGGCGCCTCAGAAGGCTGCACAATGGTTACAAGACCTCTGCTTCGACCGTCTGTGCTGTGGCAGCACCTTGATGATAAATCGACATCCATATGCTGCCGCCACCTTGTTATCACAGACATACTCAAGGACCATCTTCCTGGTAACCTGCTGCGTGTACGAGGCCGCCGCATGACATCCGGACAAGCTAATCTCCGCACGTGGATTCTGGCTCTGATCGGCTAAACGCCGCCTCTTCCAATAGCCTCACGACATGCTGCAAATTCGTCTAGTCTTTATCTGTCCGACATGGTGGACAAAGGTACTGGAAAGTTCCCGCGGCAGTACAAAAACTTTGGGCACTGTTCGCACACAGACGCTTCGTACACTGGTGCAGAGGATTCGTGCTCTGACCGCAGAAGATTCGCACACCGAAACGAAAATCCTACACCCTAAGAAGCATGGAAGGTAGGGAATGGAAAGTATGAGACTGAAACCTAAAAGGGGATGGAGGGTCGGTTGGGCTTGGTATTGCACCCTCTTCTCATATCCGTGAGGTTTCGCCGGTGCGAGCGCTTGAACCGGCCCCGCGCCTTTCAATTGCAGTGCTTCCATCGCGTGTAATCTAATCGAACCACATGTGAATCGGACCGGGTGATGCCGGGTGCTTCAATCGCTCGTTTACATGGTGGCAGCAGGTGCATCTGCCGAGCTTCTATTGCGAGAATCTTGCAAGCAACGCTGAGGCTGCAGACGTAGGATACGCCCGTCAAAGCGAAAAAAGCGCCACTTCCACAGTCCAATGTGGTGGCCTTGCAAAGCTGGAGATACCAGTCCACGAGAAATGATCAGCTGCTTGCACAAGCAGAGCTGCAAGGGAATGGCTCAGGAAGTTACTTTTCTTGCGCAGCCATCCTTCCAGCAGGTCATGGCATTCTGTCATCCGCCGCCTGCTATTCGTGCTGTCGTGTCTCTTTGTTGTACTGTGCCTGAGTTGCGTGTAAGGAAGACCCTATGAGGGATCGGTCGGGAAGTTCGACTCCCGCCCGCATCGATGCTTCTTTCAGGATGTATCCTCTTAGCATGTAAGGGCTGGATAGGATAGGTGAATCTAGATGTATCATAGATTCGGGATTGCCTTGCAAAAGGATCATCTGCCACATATTGCAGCTTCTGTGGCTGCCTCCATGTGCTCCTCTGGGCCAGAAGCTGTGTTGCACGATGGCTGTTTGGGCAAGTGAAGCTGACGAAACTCAACATCCACTCTCATGATGTGTTGCACGCGGTGCTGCCCCGGCCCCGGAAACATCACAGCACTTTCACACGACCTGCACAGCAACTCGTCCGCAGCCATCTTGCCCCGCTCATCATCCGAAACGCGGCTGGCGGCTGGCAAGCTCCTGCTTCTCCTTACTGCTCCTGTGCCATCGTGGGCAACCTCGCCTTCGTGTCATCGTGCACCCTTCGATGCCTTCACCTTGTGGCCGTACACTGGCCGTACTGAAGCGGTACCGCTCTCAGTGTGATTGCCACTTCCGCCAGCAGTTCGAGCAATACCTGAGCTTGACTGAAGCAGACGTCGGGCCTTGTCTCACATGGATCTGCATTTCGAGCTTTCGCTGCGCAGCTGCTAGAACTCAGCACCGGGCCATTGTCCCCGTGCCTTATCTGCACAGCTTGGATTCGACAGCATAGTCCGGCAAATTCCGGGCCAGGCACGCTCCAACCTTCCAGCCGTTGCCGACCGCACCTGATCGAATGGTCTCCCGATGTCTTCACAAGACATTAGAAGAGGATCTTAATGCTACCGGGGCTAGTTTACGACAGAAAGAGTCACGCTCGGCCGACATGCAAATTGTTGGCAGAACGTGCTACAACGAAAAGGCGAAGCCTGGGCGAAGCCTCTTTGCTCTGAACCCCGCTCATGTAACGCATGTGGGCACAACTCGGTTTGGGGCTTTAGTTCCGACATTCTTCCCACAGCTCGACTGTCGAACCTCCTCCCGGCCCTAGCCATAATCCGTTCTATGATTGCCATCATACACCCAAACCAGACTTTGCCCCTTGAGATTCCAGCATCGTGAGAAGGGGGAATCAAATGCTTCCATTTGGGGCTGCTGCTTTTTGGGCGGAGATGCTAGAACTGTGCCTCGCAACTCCGCAAGTCCTAGCGGAACGAGCTGGGCAGCACTTCTTAGGGCTCTTCTCTCGCAAGCCTCACAACCCATCGTTGCAAACCACGTCTTTACTCAACGCCCACAGACGTGAGAACAGTCAGAGTCACAACCGTCAAAACTAGTCAGTGACACCCTACAAGACACCACGAAAATGAGGGCAGTGAGCTTGCAAGGTCCTCGAAGGTTGGCTCAGTAAGAGGAAATCAATTCGGGCGCCAACGCTGATGCATGGGAGGGTACAAGTAGTTTACTGAATCCCACATACCTCATCCATCTTCGCCCAGAGAAGGAGCTGCTTTGTCTGTAATCTGGGGCTGCAGCTCGGCGCATGTCTGGAATCCGTCGTCTTCCGCCGCCACCGTCAGTGGCACCCAGCCTGTCGAACGCCAGATGCTCCAGGTCCAACAGCCCACCTTGTTGTCCACTCACGAAAGCCTGGTGCGAAGGGCTTCGGCGCATCCGCAAAAACCTCTTTGACCGGCCTCTCAGGACCGGAGCACCGGACCAGAATCCCAAAAGCCAGCTCCCACCTGAACGGCTGCTGGCGACCTTCCGACTTTCGAGCGGTCAACAATAAGCAGCAAGGGTCGCCCTTCCCACAACTTCTTGCGGCCTTCATCGCCATCCTTTCGCAGAAAGGGTCGGATTTCCAGATCTGGCCTCGGGTGTTTCGCCGCCCGCTCGTGCCGAAAGCAGCGATGGCAAACTCCGGGAGTCCACGCGGAAGCATCTGGTGCTCCCACCTTGGATTGCTGAAAACTCCGGTCCCGTGATTCTGCAATCACAAGACGACCCTAAACACTGTGCCGCTTGCATATGCTTGCAGCAAGCTGTTTTCTCCGTGAAAAACTGTGAACAACCCATTGCAACGGTCAAGGCACTTCATGCCCTTCAATGTGTGCCCTACGGCCCTACGACTTCGGAGCGGGAGAGCATGCATGTCTTCATCATACCCGATGAAACGAACGACGCGCTGAGGCACCTGCCACTGCTGCATCTGCCAGTTGCTGAATGGTCCGCGGCCTTTGGAAGGAGTTCTCAGGCCGCCAGCTCGACAGGGCGGCTCCGCACCGGCTCTTTCAAGGACTGCCGGGCCGTGAGCACACCGACTTGGGATCCAAATACTCCCAGCACCCGCAACCTCTGTCAGGAGTACTTTCAGTCATGCTTTTGCTGCCTTCGACGATTCGAGTGCTGCGACAGACACCATGCAGAACAACTTGCAAGCAAACACTGTAAGTGAGGGGCTGCCTGCCTCTGCTGCAGTACCACCTTCGGCAACAAAGCTTTGGATGCTCCATGATCCGCATAAAGGTCTTGCTCGGTCTGGGCTTCACACTTTCCTCCGCCTTTGAGATGGCAGACCTGCCAAGAGGACTCTGTGATCGCAACTTCGAAAATGTTGCCAGCCAGACAGTGGCCTCCAGTCCCATACGCGGAGGACTTCAGAATTCCTGGTGTTGTTCCGGCTAGTACCGTTCCTCATGACGTCGTACGTGAGACAGCCTTGCGATGCTAGAGGCCTAGCGGCAAAGGCTCAGGAACTGAGGGAGCTGCCACTCTGCAATGAAAATGGATAACCCGTTGGTACCTGACTCGCTGGCTCCACCATTCCTACAGCGCAGACCCCGCTGAAGCCAAGCCCGCCACGCGTCCGGAACTTTTTCCTTGGGGGGACAAACAGCCCGTCAGCTGAGCTAGATTCAGCCCTGACCGAAGACGAAAGCATGGCGCAAGCATGCCGGAATCACACATGCTGCGCAACCTCCCAGCGATTTGTGATCTCTTCCACCGTGATCTTGCAAGTCCTTCCCACAACTCCAGGTAGCTGGTGCCATGCAGTTGCAGACGGATCCAGTACTGTCAGTACTGTAGCTCCTGGGATATTGGACGACGGCCGCTCGCTGCAGCGCATAGAGGCGTCGGTTGTCCATGGTGAAGAGGCCCTCTGAACAGAGCTTTGAGAAGAAGTGCTTTTCGAAGCTGTCACACCGTGTCGCCATCCCTCTGCCTCGACACCGCGTCGCTCTTCGCCCTTCTCATCGAGGACAGGCTTTCCTTCACCATCCTCGCTGAGCGCCGCTGAGCTGAGCTGAGTAAGACGCTTCTGCGAGCCCGGCCCGCAACTTTGGACACCAGCGGACTGCCTTTGCCAAGCGGTGGGCTGAGAAGCTGCATACCGCAACGCAAGTTCCGATGGACGGCCTGAATGCAAGGAAACGGTGCTTCCAGCCAGACATCCTGCGCTTATCAGGAAGTCGCGAAGTCTGCATCCGTCACGGAAACGGCTGAAACACCATCAGTCTTTGGCCTCATCAGCATCAGATTGTACTGCCTCGATTTCCCTGCGAGCGAAGGGGTTGAGCGGGCGGCAACAAGGACTCACCACGCTGAGACTTGCAAAGCTTCCCCTCACGAGCACAATTTATGTCACTATGTCAGCAGAGCCGTGACGAGGTGAAGCAGTCGAGCAGAGACAAAGCAAGCACGTCCAGTTTCTGACGGGGCCTGACTGCATCATCCACCGAATGGCCATCCGAGAATAACGGGTAGATCACGTGCTGAGAAAAATGGACCTGCATGGCAAGCATCCACTGAAACCCAGAGTTGAGTTCAATTGCCCACTTGCACCTCCAGTGGTGACACCGGAACTTTCTGGACTCTTGGCGGTCCTCCACAGAATTCTTTATCTGCATCCACATCGACTTCCTAACAGAAGCCAGGATCAGGCTCGAAATTCATAGCCTCTACACCCACCTCCTCATCCCCAGCCTTGGTGTTACTTCCGCAATGCAACTTTTCCGAAACGGAATGTTCGGGCAGCATTTGGGAAGCGATGCCCAGCCCTGCTTCTTTGTGCTGGCGCTTCCGGCGGCCCATGTGCTGGATGGACTCCGACAGTCCGACAGCCATTTTTTGGCCAATCGCGTTCTGGCCCCCAGCTGAAATTTCACAAACGGTATTCGCGGTTTTTCAAACCGCGCACAGCAGTCAAGGGACACCTTCAGTCGCGTCGTCCTGCCGAGACCCTCTGCTGCCGTCAGCCAACTCGAGGGGATCGTCTTGCGGAGCACTCGCTTCCGCCTGATCTCTTCGATCTTTGGGTGTCTTGGCTTCCTTGGGATCTTTGTCCCGTGAAGTCATTGCGGGTCGACTTTTGGCAGCTTTCTTTTTGGGCTTCTTGCGCTTGCCTTTAGGATCTTCGGCATCTGACATCTCTGGTGCAGCGTTGGAGCCTGCAGCAGTAGAGTCCTCAGCCGGATCACGGCGAGATGCTTTGCGCATCAAATTGCGGGCGGACTTGTCCTTGCCATCCTTTTGACGCTTCTCGTCGTCCATGTTGACATCCTCCGAATCAATTTTGGCCCGTCCATCGCCTCTGGCTGGCTTCTTCTTCTTTTGGGGCTTCTCCCGTTGCTTTACGGCCTTGCGTGCTGCTCGCTTCTTGCGACGCAAGGCAGCGGCTCCATCATCTTCAGAATCAGAAACATCGTCGGAATTGCCGTCATCTGGGAACAGAACCTGCAGCTCCTTGCAAACCAGCATAACTTTTCCCTGGTCAGGGTCACAGAAATCCAGAATTGCATCGCAAAGCATGTAACCCATCTCCTCCAGGGGGGGGGTGCATCTTGGGTGTGCATTGGTCCGGTATTCGTTTACTCAACCAAGAAGGCTATGCCTATGCCAGGCTTCAAGACCTCTTGGCGAATCCGAGTTTCTGACCTCACTCGGAACACCGTTGTTGTTGCTGTTCGGAGTGAGAGTCATAAAGCCAAAAAGGACGCGGTGCACCTCAAAAACTCGGGGAACCCAAAACGAAGTATTGCAAACACATCTGCGCATAATATCCCGACTAGCTGCCCATCTTCAGCGAACTGCATTCCAGCTTGGGTGCATCCAGCGGTGCTTGTGTGCAGTTCACAAAATCCTTACAGCATTGGTTCGAGCGGAAAAGTTGATGTTTCCAAGTACGGTCGCCCTCGATGCCGACACCTGTTACTCATGCCATATGCGAGGCACAGGAACAAGTCGGTGCCAATCAACGCTTCAACTACACTGCACCTGAGACGCAAAAAGCTGTGAAACGACCGACTCCACAACCCGGAAGGCCGTACACCTGTACAAAGTATAAGTTAGAAGTCTAGTACCCCAAGACCCAACAAGGTCTCACTATTGTTGACACTTTCAGTTGCGCGATCGGACGGAGTGTGCGAGCCCTGTACGATCCGTCTCGGCGACTTGCAAATCCGCAGATGCGTGGCTTCTGAAACTTGCCCAATCCACGCCAATCCTCCTGCCTGACCCTGATCGCATATTCGGGTCTTCAGATGTTCTCAGCTGACGCAGTTGTCAAGTTTCAGTGCGCGAAGTGGCCACGGCCTCTTGCCAATCGACGAGACTGGTGTGTTTCAGGCATCCAGAGCACAAACAGCACTCCGGGCCCGTAGACTGTGGTTCCGCTGCTCATCCCAGTCGTTCTTGTCCAGAATGCGCTCTTCGAGATTTCCATGTTTGTTTCGCCGAAGTCTATCGTTCGTGCTAGCTCTCGAAAGGCATGTCCTACATTCTGCTACCAGAGCTCTTCTCTGCAGCAGCGGAAGTCATCTGCTACACCTCGTGCACGGTCTCGTCTACTAGTATCCGGATGTGTGGAGCGTTGTGAAAGAACTCCCTGTAGTGCATCCGGCTTCAGGGATCTAGCAACGTGCTGGGTGCGACGCTTCTCTATCAACACATGGGTCAGGTGACCCGAGGTGACCTTTGAGGAGCATTATCCGTCACGGGATAGCAGCTGCTTGGTCGGCTTACGACAGTCCACTGCCAGCCCATCGGGGAAGCAACTTCGTGCGTCTGCCAGCCGCCCGCAGCAGGCTCAAGGCCTTCTCCACGTCAGCCTGTTCAGCCTTCTCTTGTGACTGATCCGGGAGTCGTATTACGCCTCACCGAATCCTTGTCAGAGTGTGTTTGGGCTTGGAAAGCTATATCCTGTGTATATCTCAGATGTGCTGGGAGCTCTTCGGCAGATGCTGTGGGATCTGCTACGGACTGGATTCCAGGTCTGCCAGAGTCCTCGAAGGAGCCATCGGTTTCGGGATGGTGGGGAGGCCACCTTGAAGCTCCGGGAATCATCAAAAGGGTCCCTGCTCTTCCCGGCAACGCTCTAGAGCCTTCGCTTCTGGCATCTTTATGGCCAAGAATACTTCGGCGAAGTGTCAAGAGCTAAGACGGAGGGAAGGCGTCCTCCACGTGGAGAGGGCTGACGAAGCTTGCTGCTGCCCTTTGTGCCGGCGGCTGTTGCGGCGTTTGGTTCTGCCAAGGGTATTGTGCTCCTCGTGGCGCATTGTCGCATGTTCGGTTGATGCAGCACCCCATGTAGCACGCATCCGACTCCTGTTTGGACGGGATCTGGGATAAGCCGACAGTCATCGGTTCCCAAATCGCGTCCGCTGGGAGGAGCTGCGTGGTGAGCGGTTGGAGGTTTGCGAACTGCGGGGTGTGACCCCCATCGGCCTTCCTGACCTGCTGGCGAGCTCTTGCAGGTTCAGTTGCTTTTCTTCCTGCATTTCGCGTTCACGGCCTGCTTCCATGACAAGTCTCCCACTGCCCTTGAGCAGTCTACTCCTCTCAAGTTGCCCTTCGAGGCTTTCGAGCTGCGAAAAACTAGAGATGTTTGTTCTGATGGAGCCGAATCTCTTGCTCAGGAACTCTCGTCATCACTCGCAACAGTATGATAGTTTTGGCAATGATAGCCGAACGCACTTGCAGCTTGCACTTCAGTTCCACACTGGCGTTGCTATACCCGGTGCAAGGCCAAACTGCCATACTGTGGAACAGCCTATCTGAACTCTGAACCCAGATCGAGACAAGCTTGGACGAAGCGTTCGAAGAGCCTCAGTCCTCCAAATGCCGGGTTGTGAAGTGCTGCTCACCCAGTGGGCCGAAGTCCGCACCACAGAAAGACGCTTCCAGAGTGTAGGAATTCACCACTCCCAGCTCTCGGTAAGCAACAACTCGAGCAGTGGACTCTTTACTCTTCTGGATCTTGAAGCAGCAGTCATCGAAGCTGAAACAGTCTGAGCTCCGGCAAAGTAGACCGGGGAATATCTTCTCCCGTAGACCATTGTTCTCGCTGTTTCCGTACATGAAGACATTCTTCTTACGGCTGTGTCCGTGGATGTCTACGTACAGAATTACATCTCGATCATCAAGCAGGTGACGAAACATGCTCTTGGTAAAGAAGATCGTGGGATGCATTTTGCGGCTTGGCTCGTCCCACAAACGGTTCAGGTCTTGACCGGCCAAGGAGCACCGGTAGTTGCCTACTATCACACCATCTGGGTTCAGCATCGGGACAATCTTGAAGACAAAATTGTCTCGCAAAATTCTTGCATCTACAGATGCCCCAGTAAGGTAGTCGAGGATGCCTTTCATGACCCACGAAGCATTCGATTCTCCGGGATGTACACGTGCGGTAATGACCACAGCCCGCCTAGCCTTCAGTGCTGCTGGATCTCCGCAGAAAGAGGTGATCGTTATCAAATCACAAGCATTGCCCGCGAGAGTGTCGCACAACTTCCTGCGCCGAAACCGTCGCACCATGTTCGGATCCTTCTCTAGGGCCCTCAGGTCAAGTTGCAGGTCAGTGTATGTGTACGGATAACAGTGAGAGAAGTACACTTCATCGCAGTCGTGCTCGAAGGTCACTGTAAAGGTCAAAGTGTAATAGTTGGCACCTTTCTGTCGACGCAATCCGTTTTGATAGTATGCTATCCTGTCACCGCAGCGAGCCCATCCAATGCCTTTGGTAGCTGCATCAATGGAGGAATAGCGAAGCGGTCGCATACCCTCGTTGTAAACTGATGTTGGCTTGACCATATTGAGAATGTTGAACTTGTACTCAGGCCCTCTGCGCGTGTTGCCAACGCGAAAAAAGTACCATTGCGTGTGCGACTTGGTGTTGTAGTCTGGATTCAGAATTAAGTCGTACCTCATCTGAACATTTTCCTTCCACTTCTGCAAATGAATCTCTCAGGCTTGTGCTGCTAAGGCACTCAAACTCGTAAGCCTGCACGGCGCGACGGAGGTTGCCGCTTTCAAAGCGGCTCTCGAAGATCAATGTGCGGTCATCGGGTCCTGGAAGGCGGCCGCTTTTAGTCGCACTCGGATTTGCAACGCGCAGAGGCACACGCGCACACACACACAGACAGACACACACAGGCACACACATCCATCAAAGGGTGTCCTATGGGCGTGTAGTATGGCGTGACGAAGCTCAATGGCGGCGCGGAGACATGGCCGGGCCCCAACAGATCCTCCCGAGGCAATTTCGGGCTAACCAGGCACTTGCTAGGACTAGGGCAAGCATCAGCTTAACTACTTGTAGCTAGGCAGCTAGATCGCAGATTAGGCTGCAGCTTCATGCTTCATGCTGCCATGATTTGCCATGCCAAGCCGCCAAGCCTGCATAAGAGGGCCTGGAGGCGCCGCGACTGCTGGCACGAAGGAACTCGCCTCGATCTGGCTCGGGTCACCCACACTGTCGTACACGACACGATTCCGCACGTTCTCCGGGCGAGAAATCCTGTCAGCTTCAGACTTGACGATGTCGTCGAAAAGGCTCTCGGGGGCGATGTACAACAGCTCTGCCTCTTCGGGTACGGCTCTGATAAATGTAGGTGTGGCAGCCATCATCGGGATTGCAATTCCGGTCTTCGGGGGCAGATTCTGGTCTGGATAGGTGTCTTGGAAAAAACACTGGAGTGGTGAGGCTGCTTCGTCATGCACGTCCGGGCCATCGACAGGTGCAGCTGTGACAGTCGGAGATGCTTCAACCGGGACCTGTTCACCTTCTGGCCCAGGTTCCGTCTCAAGATCCACACCAGCCAGAAGCAGTATCTCATCCTCAGCTACGTTCTTCTACAGTATGACTTGAGATGTTGCAGTCTGACACCACGTTCAAACCAAGATCCTTTACACCAACCTCTTCCTGATCAACGTCATCTGGATCTTCGAATGCATCCATGTCCTCCACCTCCTGCAGAGAATGTGGCATTTGCCTTCGCTCTACCCCGGGGATTCAACAGCAAAACTGCGGTTTTGAGTTAGGGGTTGTGATCGAAGGATATGGAAAGTCGCTGGATGCTCGTTCCGTGCCTTGCAAGACAGATGTGAGGGAATAGCCGCGACTTTCCAGCTTAATTCCGCATTTCCTGCTTTAGGACATGGTGCACAAAACCCCCCACACAAGCATTGGCCGTCGGCAGGATACCACCATCTAAAGCGGATGTTCCCGTCAGCTTGTCGTTTAGCTCGGGCTTGGTTCAGCAGCGTGTTGGAGTTCGTGTAATACGGTTCATGCGGCTTTTTGCAAGCAGTAACTTGCACTGCACTCGCCGTAGACATGCTGGAAAGTAGAGACCCTGAAATCCCAATCATGGCACATCAAAAGACACTTCTAGAACAACGGTATGTGGACGGTACACCTATCACATGCAAACAGACCCCCAAAACAGCACACAATAAACCCCGAGTTCTTCCGTAGACACCCCTCTTCGAATGCCCCACATACCTCGTCCATCTGATCGTCACTTTTCAGCGAGTCTTCACTGCCAGCTTCAGGATCGGACATCTCGCCGTCGCCGTCCTTAGAGTACTTGTCGGAGCGAAGCTCTCTTGCCTAGGACTCTAGGAGAAGCTGCAGACAAAGCTCCGAGTCTTCTGGATTTGGCGGTTCTGGAACTGTAGCCGCCGAAGCACACGCACCAAAGGCTTCTCCGCCACTCCCAGCCTCAACACCTGCAGATGTTCTATCCACCTCTGCCTGATACCCGCCATTGGCATCAGCTGGCATGGTCACAGGAACGGAGGTTGCCGAGCTTGTATCAGATGTCCATCACAGGAGAGCACTGTTGCAGCAACTCCGCTGGTCGACTGTTGCAGATCGCACACTGGTCCCCATTGCAAGTGTTGTGGTGCTACCAGGTGCTGGCACGTGTACTTTCTGGTTGAGCTACGCAAATTCCGTGGTCAGATCTATGTGTGTGTATATATATGTATATATATATGCATTTATTTATCTAAAATGTGCGTATGTATATATATACACATATATATATATATACATATATATTATGCCAGACAACCGCCAAAGATCGACATAGCAAATGACCTGAGCCAAAAACAAAGAGTCCTCCACTGGTTGGCTCTTGAAACGCAGTTTGCGCCAGAATCTGCAGAAATCAAAGAAGCGCTAGCACCTTGCAGAAGATGTCGAGTTGCGCTGTCAGCAACGATAACCTTTCCAAATACTCGCTTGTCACAGTGCACCTGGCCACTTAAGCAAGATCCGGGTCGGTCCTCGATGTTCGGCATTGGCCACTGGCCACCATGAATTATCCCTTCTGCCAACCGCAGGAACTTACGCGAACTGCCCTTGCTGTGGTGCTCAAACGATCTAACATCAGCAGTGCTATCAGCGTGTGTTGTGAAAGCGGGGACGTCTCTGATCGCGCGGCTCGGACAGCCAGTCGACTCGTGTCTTGGGGAGGAGAGGATCAGATGGTTGATCCGGATCATGGTGGCGACTATGACTAACCCTTAACTCTGAAACGGCATGCAAAAAAAAAACAATCTCAGAAACTGCGAAAACCAACGGCGCACGCACCAGATACAGAAGGGAGATGTTGGTTTGATAAACCAATGACCACCGGCTGGGAGCTGAAAGCATTAGAGCACGTTTCGGCCCTTAACCGCATGATCCCATGGAACACCCACAACAGCGAATGCCTGTCATTGGGTGCACATTATATGGCACCAGAAAAGCTGACAGAGCTGTAGATGGCTCGTCCATGCCCGGAACCTGACCGCAGAAGCAACCGTCCCTGGAACCTGCCCCGGAACCCAGCACCCGGCCCCTTGCCCCACACACAAACAACCCGCCCAAAGCCCGCCTGCAAACAAGAACCCGCGGAACCGTGTCGACCTGCCCCAAACCCTATTTCGGCTGAACACCCCAAAGCTCTCTTTGTTGGAGAAAAAGTCACGGAGAGGCCCCGGGAGAGGACAAAAGTTTGACCTGGTGGACCTTTCTTGTCTTGAGACGTCTGCGGAGTAGCGGGGTAGCCATCAACTTTTATTACTTTCATGTTGCGGAGGAGTGTCCCGTGGGTCCTCTTTATTAGGATTCTACCCCCGAGTGTGGCCCCGTGCTCGGCGAAATAAACGAATAAGCTGCCCCGCAACTCGCCCCCGAACCCGCCCCCCGGGCCTGCCCCAATCTGCCCCAGACATTACTTCGGCTCCCAGAGCTCTCGCTGCCGGGGTTTAACCTTAAACCTTTTTTATCCTGGCAGGAAAGTCCAGAAGCCCCTTCACAGACAAAGGACATGACGGGTGGCAAACCCTCAACTCTAAACTCTAAACTCGAAGAGCCATGAAACCCTGAACCCCGAAGGTTGTCGCCACGGGGACCCGCATTCAGTCTGGGTGGCAAACCCTGAAAACAGACAAGCCCCCAAAGTGGAAAGGACCTGTGACAAGCTCTTCAAGAGATGTCGGTTGGCAAACCCCCTCTCGACTCTGTTTGCGATCCGAGAGCTGCTCTGATCGCCGCCCCCCTTGATCTTGCAAGTCGAGCTTTCTGGGGTTATCTATTATCTGCTGCGGGAACACGGAGCCCATCCTTTGCAGCTTCATAAACTGGCGTCTTGTGTGAGCGTAGTGCTACTTTTCAGGTGCAGCATCATGCTCTTCGGTCTGGGTATTGATGTGCTCAAGGTTTGAACCGAAAGTCTGGAAGACGAGGCAGACGTCAGTGGCTCCATCACTCCGTGTCCTGCTCTGTTCCTGGTCACCCTGCAGTCCACTATCGAATACTGAAGCGGCTCCGAGAAGGGCAAGCATCGGCGCTGGTGAAGGAGAGCCCGGCTTAGACATCATGTGCGTGTGACTCCAAGAATTCTTCCTTCGATGTTCCTTCGTTGATCTGACAGCAGTCGACGCTACACTCCGGCCATTTTCGTGTCGGGGATGCGTCAAGCTATGTCTTCCGTCTGCGCTTGCCGTAGAATCTCGACAACGCCGCACCGACACCTAAGGTTGGCTGGGACATCAGTCACTGAGGCCGGGGTAAGGGATGCTGTGCGAGGATCGGGCCCGGAGGTGCTGCTTTGCCAGACTGCCAAAACACACAACTTCTGCATCTGGACAAAGCCGGGCAACAAGCCACAACCACGGAACAGACCTGCCTCTGGCTTGCTCGGGGCAGCACCTGATGCGAAATTAATCCACGACTGGTTCGGCTGCTGAGGCCAGGCAATGGCCAGGCTGGTTCGCAAAAAATCGTTCCATGCTGCTCTTGGGGGACCTTCCACTGCCGTAGAGGTTTTCGAGGCTTCATGCCGGTGGCCAGTAAGAAAGCAGTAACACCAAACAGCGGCTCAACCTGCATATAAGTTCTTGAAAGCAGCACTGGTTAACCACACGTGCCGCTACAGTTTCTCGAGTCAGGTTCAGCTAAAAAAGTCCCACTGCCACTGATGTCTTCCTGTTGTAGGCGAGCCTCAGAATGCTTCCGTGCTTCCATGCCCCCAAGGTGTTCACTGAATGTCACACATATGGTTTAGATCTTCTCTGCCGATTCCCAGCCAGTAGACACATTGAAAGTCGTGAGGCTGCCAGCATTTTTCAAATTGAAGGCAGAGGTCGGCCACCCCTCGAAAGAAACTCACGGCACAGAGGATCCGTCGTCCAAACTCCAAGGGGATGATGCAACCGTAGAGTGCAACGCAGCCTAAGCCCCCAAAGTAGTAAACACTGGCAGACCTCCAATGCTGAAACGAGGGCTTCCGCAAACCACGAGGCTCCAAATGAAATGTTGCACTTGCCATGTCCGAAACAATGCAACGCGTGCACTCAGAATGCTTGACAAGCCCGAAACCCTACAAGGAGTTCCTGAAGCATGCTCAGGAAAGGCGGGAGGTAAACATTCGCGAGGAACTTTCATGCATAAGCACCAGCAGACTATTCCTATTCCTGGCAACAACATGCCTTGACGTCCGGCCACTCCGGGTCTTGTGTCGGTCCCAAGCACCCCGACACTCGAACACCACGGAGGAGGCCCCAGCACATGCATCCCAGACCCGGAAATGTAGAAGAGCGAAGTGAATGATTTCGGACTGCTTCGATAAGCGTACTGTGCTGTTCCGGAAACAAGGAAGTGTGGGTTGAGGTCGCTCAAAAAGGCTTACTAGTTCTCTCTGGTACGGCGTCTTTGAAGTTCTGAAGTCGAGTGCTCTCGGAGCTTCAGCCCGCAACCCAGCCAAACCCTTATCATGTCCAAAGCTGCCCGGGAGGCAGCAAGGGTTTGATAACCTTCAGGCTTCTAAAAAGCTGCTGAGCAAGCCCAGGGTGGCCTGCAGGAACGACGCTTGACAACCCCGAAACAAAAGCTGGAGCACCTCCACCATCCTCAGCTTCACCTTCACTGTCATCATCCTCTTCATCTGTTTCGCCGCCAGAGCCTCCCTGCAAACGTGAGAAGTGTCAGAAGCGACTCTAACAAGAGCCCCAGAGACAGGGCTGGCCTCAGCATTCTGCGTGCGATCCCTGGCCTTTTGCCTTACGGTTCGTTGTCAGTCGAAGGAGCCAGTAGCTGGATTGTTTCCAACTCGATGCCTCTGTTCTGCAACTTGCTTCAGAGCTTTTCTCTTCATTCGATTGCCCACCTGCCGACTACAGCGGAGGGAATACCTCACTGACAAAGAAGCAAGTCGTGGTAGCACCTTGTTCTTTCCGCGTGCCTTTTTAGCTTCCTTTTTGCTTTTGCCAGCCTAGGCAGACGATCAGTCACAGATCAATCACTGGATGTTACCGGGACTGACCTTAGTATAGGTCGAGCCAGGAATGCAGTCAAATGCATAGTTGCTGCAGCTTCTCAAATCGGACACCGCTTCACAATTTTACAACATTGCGGCGAAAGCTACTGAGGCTAGCAGATTCGCTCCATGTTGCCTCGGCGGCTTCTGCAGCTTCTTTCTTCGCTGACTCCTCCTTCCAAGCCTGCAGGGGTACCCAGAAAGCACATTCAAGGCAAGAAGCGTTCCTGAGATTCAGCCTTGACCACGCCCTGGTTGAGCTCACCGATTCTGTCCGGGTTGAGCCTCAAGGCTGCTACCGGCTGATTAACAGCCAGTGGGGTGGGCACCGAAGCCCTCGATTCCAAGGTTGATTCAGACGGGACCTTTTGGTATCTTCGGTTTCCCGCATAAGACAAGTTGTGTCGGGCACGTCTCCAAAGAACTTGAAGGAGATGAATCGATCAGCATCCGTACTGTACAAGTGCATTGGTGACTGTTGGCGTGCTAGTCTCCAAAGCCCAAAGCGCTTGCACGAGGAGGCGACTACGCAGGCCCGCGACCGGGACGTCCCAGCCGGTATCAATCGAGCTGAAACATGATGAACACTTCGCCACGAGGCTTCAAGTAAAGAACTCCATTCAAAGGTCAACGTCTGCGCAAAATTGCTACAGCTGCGTTGAGCTGACTGCAGTAAAGAACGCCACGCCTCACCTCCTGTCCCATTCATCGGACACTCGGTTGCAAAGCTTGGACGGCGGTGCACAGATGCAGCGGCAGCTTATCGGGCGAACGAGGCAAGACTTTCTAAGTGACATTCTTGGTCAATGCGAAAAGAGGGCCGGTCGCCGGCCGCCCGCCTTCACCCTTTAACGAAACCTCACATGTGCAAAGAAACCTTCGCTGAGTCGGTGGCATGATAGAATCCGGCTGCAGTTTATCCAGCAACGAGTTTACCTGGAAACTGACGGCTTGGTCCGTGACCGCTGAATGCCAAAAGCATCGCGAAAGTCTGCGAGCTGTGGGCCTCTCGCTCTCGTCGCTGAGACTTGGTTTCGTAAGGATTCGCCTGGCGTAAGCATAGGTCCCCCACCCACAGGTCTCAGATGCTGCTAGCTGCTAGCTACTAGCTACTAGTTGTGCATATCTTCGCCGGAGCAGCGCCTCGAAGGAATCGAAATTGGCTTTGCCCGCACCCGGTACAATCAGACCTCAGGAAGGCGCCCAGCGGGGGCGGCCCTGCAAAGGATCTTCAGCATCCGGCTTCCAAAGCCATCAGAATGTCCGACACAGCAAACATCCTTCCAGCCGGCATTTAGTGGTCAAGCAATGGAACGCCCACTCTGTCCTCGAATGGTCTGAAACGCACACATTCGATCATCCGCCCTTTGTACCTCTTCATGGGATATGTTGTGGCTCTAGTGATAGGACAGGAGCATTCGTTGTTGGCACGCTCTTTCTGGCATGTTGCTTTCGAGTGTCTTCTCATGTCGCATTGAACAGACAAGGTTCGCCTCAAGGTGAAGTAACCTCTTGTGCACGGGTAGAGATGGGCGCACTCTTCGGTGATGTACGGCCTCACCGAGGGAAAACGTAGTCTTTGGCGCAATACTTGTTGCAAGGATCTATGCAGACCTCTGGACTTGCCTTGGCTGCCTCGCCGATGCTGCATCCTTCCAAACCTGGCAAGGCATAGCAAGGCGTGCCAGGCGAGAGGATGCCAAGGTAAAAATTCATCGGATCTTTGTTACTCCGTGGCCTGTCGGGCCTGAGCCTCCATGTTTTGAAGTGAAATGTGGACTCTCTGTGTCTCCTTTGCGTCTCACCTTAGCGACACGGATTCCTTTCGAAGTTCTTCCTCGAATTTGATGGAGCCTTCCTCGAGCTGGCCTTCACATGTAGGTTGTGCGGCTGTTTCGTTCGCGAATGCTGGCTACAGTGGCTACAGGTTGACGCTTCATTCTAGTCTTCTGAAACACCATCACATCTTGGACTTGTGGGCAAGGGCTGACCTGAAACGCCAAACAAGAGAGGCAGCGCAAGGCAGCTGCGGCCTCAAAGCGACATCCAGCACCGGTTGCCACCAGACCCGTCATGGACCTCAGCCGAAAAAAAAAATCCGTGCAAAGTGCCAAGGCCCGACTCTAAGCCACCGACACGTCTATGCTGTTGACGGCATGGCCACGAGTCCTCCGAGTCTCATGGTGCACGAAACTACTCGAGGTGTCCACGTGAGCCTGTAGCAGTGCAGTTCTGCATACATCCGGAGGTCCCACACCTTGCCAGAAAGGTAAAACGTTTGCAATCTCGAGAAAGAAAGCGGACACGTCATCCATGCCAGAATAACTCTCCAACACATTTCGGAAATTCCACTGCAGACATCACATGCGCCGGCGACCTCTTCGCTCTGAAGTGCAGGACCAAACTCCCATGTCCCGTGGGCCTTCCACTTCGACTCTGCTCCTGCAGTGACCTGGGAAGGACTGACGATCTTCCCCACGGCATGACGATTCAAGGATCGCCCAGAAAGCTCAACACACTCACAAGTGGCAGCAAAACTTGACGGGCTCTAGGTCCTAGGTCAGTCCAAGCCTACGGCCATGTAGTTGCCAGCAACAGCAATGGCGTTCACCTTCAATTGGGAAGAAAGCCCTTCCCGCTGCCACTGTTGCTTCTGAGCCTTCGCATTGTGGCACGCCATCTTGACGACGGGCTCCTTGACGGTCCTGAAAGCTTCACAAAGCCCCAGACATCTTCTGCGGCAACTTGACTTCCTCTGAGAACCTGGCGGTGTCCACAATGTCACCACCCCCTGCACGAGACTGACAACACCACACTCGCTCGAGCTAGTCTCAGCACAACCGACAGTGCCTTGTTGTGCCCGAGATGCATGACAGCGTTTGTGGGGTTGTGCCGCATACACCTAGCCAGCGTGCAACTGTACAAACTGCCTGGGTCTCCACTTCTGCCCTCAAGGTCCAGACGTCGTGGGCCCCAATTTCGTCTTGTGCTCGGCAACCTATTACGGGAGTGTCCAGTGACACCTAGTCAAACTTTAATCCAAGGAAGGCCTGCTGTCCATATGAGATATCTCGCCACGTGACCTCCCCGCGCTCACCTGCAGGCGACTCACGCTGATAGTGTCAATGTTTGAGGACGTTCACGGACCTGCACTGACGAGTAGAAAATGGTAGGGCAGAAAATCAAGATGCATCGGCGACCTTGCCAAGCAATTCGCGCGGTCCGCAAAGAAGTGTCCAACTGCGAAGTTCAACTCAGGCCCGAGCTTCTGTTGCTTTATGCAGTGCAGCCTCGGCAACATTACCAGAGAAATTTCTACTTGTCTTTTCAGACAATGTTAGGGCACGGCTCTATTCCTTGCTTGTCGTAGATGAAGATGTATTTCCTGTAGCATGACATCAAGAGTCGGAGCCGTAACTTCCAAAATCCAGGCTGCATCTTGGACAGAAGTAGACAAAGCATCTTTTCTCTTCGGCGCTACATCAACAGGTTTTGTTGATTGGAAGAGGGGCGCGGCTCGGGCTTCAGCCGGAGAGCCTTGGATCACCAGAATTGCAGTGCTTCGACCCTTCGATTTGTGGTGAGGTGCAGCCTTCTGCAGTGTCACGGTGTGTCCTAGAACACCCCGGCCACCAAGAAGCTGCTGCTGTCTTTGACTTGCGATCGCAGCTTTGCGCATCCACTCCATGTTCGTCCGATCAATCCAACCTGCGTCAGTGCCGAAAGGAGGCGCTCACTGCAGTGGTCGACTCCATGCTTAGTGCCGTGCTTTGCACCATTTCTTCGGTGTAGGGATACGGCCTGAGTGGCACAATTTCAAGGTTCGTTTTTCGGAAGCCTCCCTGAGGCACTCACGGCTCTGGCTTGCTATCATCGATCATGCCATCCTTCTTCCACTGACGGATATATGCCTGCAAAGTTACGAGGGAGAGTCTTGTGTTAGGCTTTGCCACCGTAACACCATATGCCTGCCATTCATTTCTGCACTCGCTCAGGTAGTGCTTCAAAGGATGTCGGCTCTGCTGCTTGATGTGCTTTTGCCTCCGACTCTTGTGCTCGAAGACATCGACTCGACGCTTGGCTTGCAGAGCTAAGTCCCCCACGCTCCAGCGACAGCGAGCTCGGCACCCAACATTGGGACCATGTTCATGGCCGTGAAAGTTGGCATCAAATGTCGCGCGCCAGGCACATAAGCAGGCTGTTCCGGACTTGGCCGCAGCTTTGGAAGAATTCCACGAACGATCTCGAAGTCTGCTGGATAATCCACGAACCATCTGAAGATTCTGACCTTTGCAGCATGTTGTGATCCCCTGCTTCATGGCTCTGGCTACCCGGACACTGACACTTACTGTATTAGGCCAAGAAGCCGAGCTGACAAACGAGGGTCCGGAGCTGAAACTGCCAAAGTTCTGAGCTTCGACAAACATGCCTCGGGCAGTGCACGCTCCAACAGACGAACCATGCTCCTTGTACTCGCACACGCCGCATCTACACCCGCAAATCCCACTTCAACCCACGACGACAGAAGGGTTCACCATCGCAGACAGCTCCCGGCTGAGCTGACATGCACAAACTACAGATTTGCTGCATGGCATGGTCGGAAAACTCGTTTTTGCCAAAACTATGACTATGGAGGGTTCTGCAAGTTGCGCATTATAGACAGACGAAAAGCCCTGCTGGCAATGCGAAACCCAAACGTGTTCAAACAAACCTCTCTTTCGGCTTCAGCTTGTTGATGCGCTCAGGTGTTTATGCTCGACAGTTCAGACCAAGAGCACCGGGGGGAAACAAAAGCTCAGCTTTCGCAGTGACCTCTGGAGATCTCTCTGTGGACGTCACTCGCTCGGGGGGGGGGTTTTGCATCACGAGTTCGTGGAACCTGTCTTGCACAGAGATGTTAAGCGTCATGCTGATGACAAACACACTCCGAATACACACGGCAGAGCGTGCTGTGCTCCAGCCTCTGGGTTCAGCCACGGCCATGTGTATGTTAATCAGGCAGCACGCACTTCGAATTGATACCGCTGCTTGAAGCATACGGTTCTGATACCGGTACTGATTGACTCTAGTCTTGAAAATCTTTGCGGCACGTGGTTCAAGAAAACCCCACACACACACACACACGCACACGCACACGCACACGCACACGCACACGCACATGCACACGCACGGACGGGTGTTGAATTTGTCTTCCGCCACACGTCAAAAAATGAAAAGGGCTAAACCCTAAACCTGTAAATCCGAAACCACCATGCTTCTGATAAAATCGTATGCGATTCCTGACAAGACCTTGCTGTTATGCTTGTTTCATCTAACAAAACCTTGCCATCTTCCTGACAACACCTTTCTATGGTCCTGAAACGGGCTGTTAAATTCTGACACATTGTTCCGTGAAAATCCTTCATGTTCCTGACGTTGACATGACAGCTAATAAGCTTCAACCGTGGGGTTCCACCACCACAGAGCTTCAAGAAACCCCAACAGTCTCGGTTGTTTCGACCTGGCAGGGTTATTCGGAACATCGAAACAGAAACCACTTTGATGTATTCATGGTGAGCAGCTCCGGGACGAGAGACATACGCTTGCAAAAGATCTCAGGCTTCAAGTGAAGACCAAATTCCTACCTGGGTCCAAGGAGAGCGAGGCAGAAGGGCAGCCTTCGGGATTACGAGGGTGGCGGTGCAGGCAAGGCCAGCCCACAAAAACAACCCAGTGGAGCGGCCAGGTCCGCCACCCAGTACGCCCAAACTCGGTGTGGGAAGGCATGGATGGAAACACTCTGCTTCTGCAGCAAGATTCTGGTTTCACGAACAGAGCAGTACGACTTGCAACCACGACATTTCGTCGCGGGAAAAAGGGCTCTCAAACGCATTCGAGGAGGACCCACCAGGCTAGTCAACAAGACTTCAGCCACCCTCCAACACGCAGAGAAACCGTTGCAACATACTGGGCGAAGCGGATCGCCGTTGACCCACAAGCCCACGAGCTCCTCGCAAGGCGATCCGCGCTGCTGCGAAACGCTGTGCTCTCTGCTCTCTGCTCTCGCGCAGCGCGCGAGCTGCGGCCTTGAGGCCGAGCATCTTGTCCTTCTGAGGATCTGGGGTGACTCCCACCTTCAGTGCGCGAGCACAACCCATCTTGAAAAACCATCCAAACTGGGGAATCCGGCAGCTTTGAGGATGAGCTGACACTTGATCTTCTTGCCCTTCTTGGTTTGCGCACCTGAAAGCATTTCATGGATGATCTGCCGGTCAAACCGATTTGTTGCACATCATGCATGCAAGTTACAGCCACTGGTAAGTCGCTTGATCTCATCCACAAGGACCTCCATCAGGCCATAGTAGCCAGCCAGGAAGTAGACATCAGTCACCTCTGACGGCCAGAAGCGAATTTCTGAGGACTTCCAATCGAATAACGTTCGAAAGACATACACACGTGTGCTTGCTTTTTGACAGCGAAGCGACACCGAAAGCGGTTCTCTGCGTTATTTGTGCGTAGCTGCGCTTCTCGTCCGTCTTGACCTGTCGTCGTGCAGCTGTGAAAGTGTTCCAGTTGCATGGGAACCTTTCAACTGAAGAAACTCAGCGGTCGACGCAATGTGCAGACCAGCAATCAAAGCCTGCATCGAGGATATCACCACGCACTGCATATGCACGACTGAGAACAAGCGACCTTATGAGGTTGGACGGGTCAACATGAGGCAGCAAGCCTACGAGGTCGTACATCTTCTGGAAGCCCTGAGGCATGTCAGGTGTGCAAAATCTGGCCACGAGGCGACTTCGCAAAGGTCCTCAAGCAAGATGGTACCAGGCACCGGATTCTCAAGGAAGCCGACCATCCAAGACATCACCCTCATCCCGCAGAGATTTCCTGAATTCCAAAGAACAAAGCTTGCATCCTGCAAAGCACACGAACAACCTGATACTTCATCCGACATGAACACACCCATACACACGCCTAACTGAGCAACAGACTGTGCTAATCGTCTCGCAAATCTCACAGAGTCTCACACTTCCGGGAATCCAAGGATCGCTTGCGGCACATCACGATGACTTTCTTGCACCTGTGCTCACAGAGCGTCCGGACCTGAGTCGGACTCAAAAACGTCACACCGTAACAAACCGATGGAATCGCAGCATGCCACGAGGACTTGCGTGCGTGGCCGCTTTCCGGCTGCAAGGCAGCACGCACGAACTGCAGTTAGTGTTGCACTATCAGTTCGCTGTCGTTTCGCCTTCCAGCCTCAAAACTTGACACCAAAGCCTGGGTCCTTGTTGCCTAAAGCGTTTCAGAACAACTCAGAACCCCGAAAAGCACCAAAGGCCTCAATGGCCCGAGCCCGGAAACACGAGCTCCGGAATGCCAAGCCGCCACAAAAATACCAGGCCATGTTGCAAGTTCCCAAACCGCAGAGGGAGCAAAGCGTGAACCCTAACCCAGCCAATTCAGGAGGTAGTTCTAAAAGCTACAACCCAAACCTCAAACCCAAGCCCCAAACACCACCGACAAAAATCTGGACTGCGAGCAAAGGCCGAAACGACCAACAATCGCACTGACCTTGCGAAGCGGGCCTGCATGCACCCAATACCTTAATCCAAACCAAACTACACCTTCAAAGCCTGATTTACTTTAAGCCTCAACACGATCCAGCAAGCCTCGACTCTGAAACAAAAAAAACTACGAGCGCTACACTCTAGACTTTAGACCGAAAACGTCAAAAGCTTAAGGCCTAAAGCCTGGAAGGCTTCAAAAACTGGAAATGCATAGGTTTTTGTGCGGGAGGAGCATGCCAAGATGCTGTGGCTAAGGGTAACGGTGTAAAGGGTTCAGGCGAAACAGAAAAAACCATAAACGAGAGATGATCCATTCATCGGTTACAGAACAAATTGTTCGTGTCGGCTTCTCTTGTGAGAGGTGGAGAGCTTGAGATGTCTGCATTTGGAGATTTCAGCCTCGGATCTGGGCTTCAAGCCCTCAGTTGAATGTGCGAGCGGGTTGGCACTTGAGCCCACTTCGCGAGACTTTCCCTCGATGATTCTTGAGCGTGCGCAGCCAGACACGCACCCTCAACTGCAGGAAACAATCCCGGCCAGTGGCCAGTGCTCACCCTCGCCTGAACAATTTTTCGGAGGTCCTCTAAGTGCGTTTTCCGGCAAGAAACTACGGACTGGTGCTTGCGCCACAAGTGAACAGAAAATGAATAAGGGTTCGAACGAATTTTCAGTGCGGAGAGACCCATCCAGGCCAGCTGGCACCTCCGGTCCAAAAGCTGGGAAATCTGAAAGATTCTTGACACACGCCGCAGGTCTTGGGCCTTGTTGGCCGAATGGAGTTTTGCGGCTACTTGTGTGAGATTTTCGAACGCGACGAAACTTTTAAGTTTCGCGCATAGAAGTGTAGCAGGCTTTCGGAGGCATTGCGGCTTGTGCGAGGGCTCTATCCGGGCCCTGCACGATGACGGATTACGATGCTTCCCCGTGTCCAAGCCTCGGCATCTGGGGTGCAGTAGCGGAAGAACAGCGGCCATACTTCCAATCCAAGGTAGTGTTGCAGCGGTGCTGAAAACACTTCGTGATGGGATGGAGCTCTTGTCCACGTCTGTACGAAATCTGGGAATTCTGCTTTTGTTTGCTCGAAAGTTCTGGGACTGAAGATTGTCAGCAATGAAGTTAACGCTTGCTACAATTTGGCATGAGTCAGTGTTTTGACAGTATTGTGCTTTCATCACCTGGCGTCTTGGACAGCTTGGAAAACAGTGAGACAGTATGAGTTTACTTGTGGAAGCCAATGTCAGTATTGTGGCCTGAAGCTTTGCCACTGCAAAGGATCTCCCATTCCTACATGTTTTCCGCCAGTGCGTAGGAAAAAGCAAGGCGAATCTATGGTTCCGTGTATGTATCGTCAAAAAAACGAATGCCCACAAAGCCAACCCACAATGTAATTGCCTCTTACTTTCTCTTGTCAATGACTGCTTTGTTTGCGCCTTTGCATGGAGTCGATAACACATCCCCAGCAATATATCTTGTCATCTACATAACCTTGCCCCGCCTCCGACAATCGAAAGAGCAACCAAGCCTCACCTGTTGACGAAGAGAAACCCGCTCCTCTAGCAGATACATACCTACCTACCTACATACATGCATACATACATTGTTATGTATAGCTACATCGATCTATATATATATATATGTATGTATGTGTTTGTGTAAACACGATCCTGTTCATCTTCACGTCTGTTGAGACGTGCCTTGAGAGGTAATTTCGTGATTTTGAGCAGGGGCCGTGCTATGGAGCGCTTGCCGGAATGAGCTAAGCTGGAATAGAACATTATGCGGAGTTTCCATGTTGGCCTACATAACCAAGTTTCTCGAGTTGTTTTGGCATGTCGCCAGTTTCAACAGCTGAGTTCATGTCGAGCAGCAGCGGTTTCGCTGTGTTTTTCTGGTGGAACCATATCTGCCGCCTTTCAGCTAAGCTGAAACTCTTAACGTTCACGGAGTCTTCCTGACAAGTGTTGTTTCAAAAGTGTCTGCCTTTGGAGGCTGCTGAAACTATGTGTTCCAGGATGATCAGGATGCTCTGGATCTTACAGGACATGAAAATACTTCGAAGCTCCTAGACTTGCTGCAATGGAGGCAACCTGCAGGTTTGCAACCATTGCAACCTTGACATTCCTAACTTCTGAACGTCAAACTTCTGGCAGTTTACTCTCTGGTGGATCGAAAGGAAAATCTCGGAAGAGGTGCAAGAGGTGTTCGTGCATATCATGTGGAACTTGCAAATCGATGGAAAGATAGCAGATCCTGTCGTTTGCACTGCTGCTCCTGTGTTCCAATGCTTTGCAAGCCACACAAACCATAAACGTCCTACATACAGCAGTGTTATGTACCTTCTCGTACCATCTGGCAAGAGTACTATCTGAATCATCCATACAGTCGCGCAAGTCCAAGGCGAAGTCCGAAAGCATTTGCTCAAGCAAGACTAGGAAGTTCAACACACAACCAACGAACAAACGAACCCCGAGCTTCAGTCAGGTGGTGATGTTACTCAGCAAGCTTTTGTGTGCTCGGGGCACAGAAAAGTCATATCTGCTGGATTCCAGCCGGTGGGACTGTGGCTGGGTCATGCCCACGGGATCCGCACAGAATGGGCAATCCTATGCTGATGCTACCATAAATTCGCAAGCCTGTGCAAGAATCCGCTCAGCAGCACACGTTCTCAATTGTGAAGGCGCCATGCCCGTATAGAATACACACCTTTCCTTCAGCTTCTCTGTAGTCAACCTGAAGCAGGTGCAGCTACTGATCACAGAGGATGCATGCTGACACGACTCATATAAAGCAACGCTCTGATCGTTCGCCATGATTCCATGGAGAAGGAGGCGTAGGCGATATAGCCACCAAAGTCCTCCTCACCAGGCCACTCCAGCCTGACAGCACAAGACAGATTGCCAAATCAACCAACAACGATGCATGGACGAGTTCAGGGCCAGCTTTTTCTTGAGCTTGTTGCTTGCTTCAAGAGCTTGCCATTGTCAACCCCAAGATAGAACGTCAACAATCTGCATAAAGCAAACGCACGGAGGCATGCACACTGCCATGAACATCCTGCTGGCTTCTCAGTCTCGACAGGTTGCTCGCGGTATTTGCACAGGTTTCCAGGCCAAGTAATGACTGCTGAAGCGACGATCAGCTCCTGAAGGCGCTCAGTGACAAAGTGAGGCAAAGGCCATGACCATGCAGAACTGCACCTCACAAAGGCTACTCGGCCAAGGGACTCCCTCGGCATCCTCGCTATTGGAAGGGAATGTGTGAACGGCGTAGCCTTGGAAATGGTGTATCAACTTTGCTGCATCGCCCTCAGGCCCGGTCATGCACGATGATCCTGTCAAGAAACCACTGCCATCTGGAAGAGGTCTGATCTTGTCGACGTGTGTATGGAACCTGGTAAGTGGTCCTTAGTCTTTCGCGAACTGAGACCAAGGAGTTAGTGCGCCCGTCGACTGTGTTGGAGATCTCAGCCATTCACCCAACTCGTGAATCCTGCAGAACAGACTCAGCCAGAGAAGGAATGGACGGCATGGATGGCTTCTGAACACGTTGGTCAGCAAATCACTCTGTCTCTCCTAGCAGCGTCTCTGAACATCTTCAGAAGTTGATCTCTGGTTGGCCAGGTCCTAGGTTTACGCGGGCCGCCGGCGGTTCTGCACTTACTAGTACCTAGTTACCTAGTTGCCTAGCTTTTGCGTGGAGCGTCTTGTACGCGTCGCCCTCAACTTCGGTGGTTGCAGGGGCGTCCGGCAACATGAAGTCAACGTGATAGTTTCCGCTTTCAGTTTGAAGCTTGGTGTACTTGTTGGAAACCACCTTGAATGGAAATGTTCGCTGCAGGCCCAGATCACAGGTTTGGGCAGACTGGGTGGCTCGCGATCCAAGAATGCCCGCCGAAAGCTCCTAGTCTTTCCAGGCATATTAGGTCCTCAGTGCGTTAGATGCAAGCATGTTCGCTACAGTCCATAGGAAAACCGAGGAAGCCACTTTCCGACCGTGTTTCTTGAAGCTGATCATCGTTTGCATACCTCCCAGACCAGCCCCGATAACCTCGAGATGCTCACGGGGCAACCAGCCCCGAAGCTCAAGTGAGGCCAAACACTCCCGAGCTCCTGGCGACGATCGGATGCGGGTACTGCTGAACAGGTCTCTGAAAGCCTCACATTATCTCCAGGCACTGCAGGCCCTCTAGCGTTCTTGAATCAAATGCCTCCCCGCAGCTTTTCACTCCAAGCGCAATGACCTTGCTTGCAACCTCGTCCGACAGCCTCTGCTTGACAGGAAATACTCCCACCTGCCAGAGTCAAATCCACGACTCTAAAATGACTTGTGCCGAATCCCAAAATTGCGAAGTGCCTTCGAAACAAGCTGGATCTTGTCTGGTGGGATCTTCACGAAGCTACCTGTGAAGAACGATTGGCGATCTTTGCAGCTGTTGCCGTCTACCGACTCGTGTCAAGCCACTGATGATGTCGCAGACCTCCGGAGTGCGGGTGCTGCCTTAGTTTTACAGCTTGCTGGCTCAAGCACGGAACTGGCTTCTCGGTGTGCTTATCACCAAGGTTCCGGAAGCACCGATCGTGATGCATTCCGTCTCATCCTTGCCGCCAGCAGCTTTCTAATTGCCCGAATGCGAAGCAGAGATCGTCACCGTCCTGATTGTAGATCTCCACAACCCTGGTCGCCTTGCCACTTGTCACTACGCCTGTCTCAACCTGACGACAGCTTTTCTGCTTTTGATTCGGCTTGAACTTGGGCCACTTCCGCGAAAAAGCTGAACTCGCACCGGTCTGAAAAAATCACCCCAGCCTTCTCCACCGGTGGCTTTCCAACCGGCACCAATCTGTCCTCCATGTGCACCATGGAAAGCCGTAAGGACTACCTCAGGGATCGGCAGGATACCAAATACCTGCACTTATAAGACCAATCATGTACATATGGCTTGCGCCTGTCACGTTTGGCCCCGGGGCTCCGATTGAAGCTCTCACTGAGCTACATCTTGAGCCGAAACGATCTGTACACACAGCGCAGACTGACCACATCTACAACTCACCCCTTCCGTGGAATGGCGAAGTCTGTAGTCTTCAGTATTTGCAGAGAAACAAGCGCAAAGAGCCTCTGCGCCACCGCAAACATGTTTTCATTGTGGAGAGTTTGTACCTGAGGTCAGAGATGGTAAGCCTCAGGAGATGTTGCCATGCTGTTCGTAAACTCAGGATCTTGCTGCCCGTATCGTCTCTTTGACATGCAGCTCCGTGAAAATGTTCATCGATTCCTCGCTGGGCAAGTTGGATGCCCCAGAACCTTCTGCTGCATGGTGCAGAAATACTGATTCGACTCGAACCGTTTTTCCAGACGAAGCGCGCCTAGAATGAGACAAGGGGAAAGACAAAATCTCATGACTGCAGGTGATGAACGGCCTGCTCGCAGCTGCACAATGTGCAGCAGCAGGTTTGCCTTTCTACTATCCGGTGCTACAAGTCTCCTGAAGCTGTGCTGCAACATGTGCAACGTAATGTATTGTGTTGTGGTATCTCTCACTGCGATGCCGAATGCATGTGAAGCTCACGTCTGGACATTAATCAGGTGGAGCCCCACCTCTTACGCGTGATTCGCGCACTGTACAGGTGATGCGATTGAAATCACTCTGAACCGGCAGCTGTCGCGGCCATGCCAATGTCGCTTTATTCGCTTTCTCCTTGGATGTAGCACAACTCTGTTAATACTCGACTCCGACCGGGAAATCCTAAAAATGTACCGAGGGTAGCCCTTGGTTTCAAGTGAGAACTGTGGTTGGTTGAGAATGTTAGATCGGTTTTCGAGGAGGTGCCACAAGGTCTTCATCTTCCAACTGTGTATGAAAACGGAATCTTCCCTTGCCAGGATTGTGCACATCTGCGATGAAGAGTCGTTCCGATGCACGCCGTCGCTTGCTTCGAGGTTCACCCTTCCGCTTCTCTGCGGTCTCCTTGTCTCGTGCACATAACGCAGCACACCACACATCACCACACATCTCTCTCAAACCTGCAGCGGCTCTTGGGAGCCTCCTCCTCATCTGGCGCATGCGGGCACTTCGCCATGAAGTCCGTCAAACGGCAGCACGCAAAGCCCCAACCTCAACAGCCAGCAAATCCTTTGCCAGTTTCAATGGGAAAGTCGGGCATGAGCCCAGTGGCGCTTTTCCTCCAGTGTGTACCAGGATCCCCAGATCTGCTCATGCCCGCGCACTGTCACGTCCTGCGCATCCCGAATCCATAGCACAGCAAACTCGCCAAATCCTAGCGCCAAATCCTACCGACATCAAGGCCAAAGCCGAAACATGCCATCCTCGGGGTACCTGAGTCTTTGCGAAGATATGTCAAGACAGCGATGCACGTCCAGCACCATATCAAACCCATTCAGCACAAGCTGCTTTGAAGTGGCCAAGAGCTTCGGTCTGCTGTTGCTGCTGCTCGCTGCTTCGCTTTGGAGTTCCGAGGACTCCAGCTTGACTCTCGGGTCACCGCTCGTGGACAAGATCTCAACCTCATGTGGGGCAGTGCGCTGTGTTTTATGAGGACTGTGGAATTGGCTCCCAACCAAAGTTGAACAGATTACCGTGAAACTCAGAAACATTGCCATGTCCGTGGGATGTTAACTTCAGCCTGCGTACTCGTTTGACGTTTGTGCCGCGTGTATTCGTGTATCTGCGTCTCTGTGTCTCTAGTGTCTGTGTGTCTATGTGTCTGTGTCTCTGTGCGTCTGTGTGTCCGCGTCTCCGCATCTGTGCGTCTCCGGATCTGCACGTCTGCGCGTCTGCGCATCTGCGTGACTGCACAAGCATAACCATCAGGAAATCCAGTTCTGAAAAGAGGAACACAAATACTAAAAACAGCATTACTTGTACAGATACAAAAACACTATCACCGATAACAGTACTAGGTATACTAGTACTGGTAAGACAACTACTAGTACTACGAGGAACACGATACCCAGCGATCAGTAACTTTGGAATTTCGCTGTTTCTGCTGGCCTCCCAACTAAGAATTGTTTGAATCGTTAACGGACGCTGGCAACGTTTAGCTTGCTGTTGAACAGTTAACCCCTAAACTCTGCACGGACCCAAGTGCCAAAACAGATGAGTTGCAAGTGAAAAACAGACCACTTGCTTAATTATTGTTTCTCTGCAATGAAATGGAACACGATCGGAAAAGACACCGTCACAACCCCAGCCTGCTCTTCCGCCTCCGACTCCGGCTTGCGAGCTCGGTCCTCTCACAGGACCCGTGGCCAGAACGACGCTATGCCGCAGCCGTGCACCTCAGTCCTTCAGGAGCTCCTTCCTTCGCTTCAGCTCTTTGAATGCCTTCATTTGCTCGGGTGTTCCCTCAGCCACAGCTCTGTTGCCGACAGCATGTCTTGATGACTCAGTTGAGACGAGCCGGCAAACAGCTCAGACCCAAACCCGCTCCGCTGCATCTGATGAGGCAGTAACAAACCTGTGCAGTCTATCCAATGTCAGAACTGCCACAACAAGTGTCAAGCATGCTGCTGAAGTACCACTGCAAGCTGCAAACGAGTTGCATCTCTTTGTTGCACTGGCCAGTCAGATACATCTCCTTGAATCCACGAAACCGAGAGGCCAGGCGCCACCACAGTGCAAGCAGTATGCTTTTGCCGTTCGTGTTGCAGTCGTAGACTCCTTCCTCAAGGCTTCGACCTTGCGTTCTTCTTCCCTGGCCTCAAGGGGCTAACTTCTGCTCAGACAGCCTTCTACTCTCTTCCACAAGAAGTGAGGCTGCTTTCACCCAGCCTTTTCCAAGTCGTCCTGTTTCCGCTGCTCCACCGCATCAGCTGTGATTGCCTTCCAAAGTCTCTCCTTCCAGTGACATCTTCTTGTGCGGTTGTGATGTTTCCTCCAGGTCTACAGACAGTCACTTCGTCCTGATTGCGAATGGATGAGGGGTGAAAGAACTTCTTGTTGATGAATCCGCCGGCCTTTCCGCCAACATTTCGCATAGTGCCTGAGATGAACGATCTGCCATCCCTCATCTACACTGACAGGCTGCACCGGCAGTGTGAGTGACTCGTCCGAAGTGCCATAGTGAGAAATTTCAGACAATCCAAACGGATTTCCCGTAGACATGGCGACGACAACCTGGGTGCGCTGGCATAGCAAGAATCCGACAACTGAAGAACTGCAGTGAAGACGGTGCTGAGGCCAAGTCAGGGCACAAGTTGGGCTGCCAGGAGGTTCAAATTACCGTTCGCAGTACTACCCACATCTCAAAGGTGACATTTGCGTGCCTGACGTCATGTGTACTCTGGAGCCAAGTCTTGACTCTTGAACCTATGTAAACCTTTCCGAAAGCTGTCCTGCGATCTGTACTTCGGCAACAGCCTTGATGCGGACATACGGAAAACCCACTTTGAGCCAGACGGCCCTGATTTGCATCTGACCTCTTGCTGACCAGAGGAAGAACACTCTGTGGCACTTGCGATGCTACAATTGAGAGTCTGGCGAGGTGCATGAATGCCTGCAGCGCCACCCACACTGCACGTGCCAATGGCTAGTCGCGACTGTTACACGGGAAGGCGAGTGCTGCTGGCTGTTCGAACATGTGACGGGGTTGAGATGTGTTGAGGTTTGCTTTTGATGGCTCCTGTGAACCTGAGCTCCGAACGACATGACCTTTGATGCCACCAACCAGCATGTTCTGCCCATTACCAGTCATGGAGCCTGGCACATGTAAAGACCCCCTCATCCCACTGCTCCTTGTCAAGCAACTTCGCCGAGTACACAGCAGTATGGGCCGTAGGGCAGATCAAAGGAGAAGCGCTTGCGGGCAACGCCGACACTGGCCTTTCCAGATGAGTTGTGTGGAATCCTCTGCCGGTTCTTCACATAAAGGTCCGCACGGATTCAATGATATCATCTTGCGTCAACCTGTCGCGATAGCACGATGCAAATGCCAAAATTGGGGACGGATTTCCCGACAATTGCACGAGCCATTCAAGGCGAGCGACACACAAGCGCCCGAATGACAGCCGAAACACCCAGGCCCGTTGCAATGCATACTCCGTCAAGCAACTTTCCACGAACTGCTGCAGTCATCGGGCCTCATGGTTTTCTCACCCTCCTCTGCTTCGATAAAGCCCGCCTCTGCAGTTTGCAACACCTGCGATGAGCACTGCGATAACAAGAACTCGGAGCACGGTACTCAGCTCAACCTCGCTGCACTACGTTACGAACTCGGGGTGAGATAAACATTTTGAGCCTCAGCCTTTGCCAATCGAAAGGCCGTCTCTTGGTCCGCACGGTATCGTTGCTTCATCTGCCAGCTGCCAGACACACGACTGGGCGTACAAATATGCCCTAGCACATGGATATCTCAACGATATCCTCATGATCACAGAAAGCAACTTCCGTTCCTGACCAGCAAGCTTCTTGTCTTTCTTCGATGTGATGTCTTTCAAGGCAACAACTCCACGAGCATACCTGAAATGGCAACAGTCACAGCAGTTTTCTTTCTCGGGCAATGGCCTTTGTATCCTCTTCTGCAGGCCTTTGTCCGACTTCACAGGCTCCTCTGCACGTCCCCATTAGCCAGACTGCTCCACACACGATGCTTCATCCAATTGCACATCAGAGGCAAAGTCGCCTTGAAGCCTTTGCCTCTTCCCTTTCCTTTGCTTTGTCCCCCTCTTCCTCGACCTTTGGCCCCTTTTCCGTCATCCTGGCTCCTTCCAGAAGTAAACAGTCATGAGTCACGACGACTTGAGAGGCACTGCGGAAACTCCGCGGCATCGAACGGAACTATCGTGGACTGCTGTACTGCTTTGACACTGCCATGTGGTCATGGAGTCATGCACACTGACAGGAAAGTGAAACTCACACCACACGACACGTCCAAGGCCTTTCGAGGCCCTCCCTTCGGGAGTGTACTGGCACCTGCACATGGAAAGGGCCACAAACTGCCACCGACAACATCGCGCCACGCTGTTCCATTGCGTTCAACCGTGCGGCCCTGACGGCAGCAACGATCTGTGCAAGAAGTCTACATTCGGACCGTAGGCATGCTGCAAATCTTCAGGGACAATACAGCAGCCGGACATGCTGTACAGCACGGTAGGTCAGAATCTTTGTCTGTTAGCGGAGGTTTCGCAGGCAGCATTCTTTGTCGATCGGGCCTGTAGCATGCATGTGAAACACCTTGCAAAGCAACAGAAATGCATTCCAGAGCCGGTTGTTGGTCGCATGGCCAGAACATTAGATGGATGTCAAAACCTAGCTGTCCGAAGCGTCTGGCATGCTTCGGCTTTTGGTGCGCCATGTTTGCATCCAGACATAACAGCGACAAACAGCCGCTTGCACTGATGCCTCGCCATCATCACCATCAAGTCTGATAACCTGCGAGCACGAGGACGGGTGGTCTGCGAATCGCACGCATGCCCTCAGCACGTTCAAAAAAAATATTTCGAAGCTTGCTTTTTGGAGTCCGGGTCACCGTCAGTATGTGCTTCTTGCGGTTTGCACAAAACACATACTAATACACCAGGGGGAATATGCAAAGCAGTATGAACGAAGTGTTTCCTGTTAGTTTTTTCCCATGGGCAAAGCTGAGCCCCCGACGATCGCTGTGCACGCAATCCGAAACACCCAAGAATACAATCAAGTGAGACCAACTATAGACAATGCCGCTGCCAATGTGAAGAAGTCTAGAAAAGAGCACCGCATATTGACGCCAAAGAGATTACCAAGAGCAATTACCTCGAGAGGCCGAAGCCTGGGTGGGTCACCCGAAAGGAGGCAATCTTGACTGTGCTTGAGCTTTGACTTGTAACAAATGATTTGTGTTGTTAGCATCGAACAAGGCCCCACCTGGAAACATAGCCGTGAAAGCATCTTTATAACTTTGGGTGATCCAGTCCGCTCTTGGTCGTCCTGAACGACGCTGACTAATAGCCCTGGGATGTAAACCGTCTGCTGCCAAACTGACTTGCTTCATCGGATCAGAAGGGTGTGCTCTCAAAATATGACCGAAGAGTCTTAGTTTCGCTCTTTGCCACGTTATTCCAAAGTGTTCAAAGACGCAGCCGTGTTGCTCCCTGATCTCAGTGTAGATGCTTTCGTTGGTGATTTGTCTGTCTATGAAAGTTGGAGGCTTGTTAAGAATTCTTCGCAAGGACTTGTTTTGAAATGCATTTAATCTTGATATGTCCGCGCTTGTCAACTGAATGCATTCCAAGCCATATAAAAGCTTAGATCTGATGATTGCGTTCAAAACTTGCAATTTCCATCTAACCGACGTGTTTGCTTTGTTCCAGAACACCTTCATTCTGTTTGCGGTAGCAATGCAGTCTCCAAGACGATTAAGAATTTCTGCTCGATTGTCAAATGAATCAGTCAATAAAGATCCTAAGTAGCTGGCTGCATGCTTACGAGGAACAAGTCTTCCTTGTGCAGGGCCGTCAGGCGAAAAGCGGACGGAGGAGATACGTTGATTAGCTGTAATATTTACACACTTGTCGTAATTCAGCTGTAATCCGAAATATTTCGAGTGTCGCTCGATTGCATGAAGAAGCACATTAATGCAATGAGTGTTGGCGCCAAAAATGAGAGTGTCATCAGCATAGAGGACTTCTGCAAAGTGAATCCCGTCTATGGGTTCCTGCTGTCTCTTTGTACAAAGCTCTCTCTTCAAATCACTAAATAAAGCACCCATAAGCAACACGAACAAGTACGGAGATAATGGACAGCCCTGTCTAATGCCCGCCATTTGTGTTCTCCATGTAGATTCGTCTGCGCCTGCTTTCACCTTGAACTGAGGTTTACAATAGAAGCTTGAGATCAGAGTCACTATTTTTTCTGGTATAAGAAGTCGGTGCAAGGTTTCGATTAGCTTTTTGTGTGACACTTTGTCGAATGCCTTTTCCCAATCTAATAGGATGAGGGTGCTGCTCGATCTCGATTTTTCCGAGATGTCTTGTAATCTACGGGCTACGAAGATGGCTTGACTGGTAGATTTACTTTTTCGAAATCCATATTGGGTCTGCATTAACCAAGTATCTAAGCCAGCGTCTAAACGATTTTTAACCAATGCAGCCACTACTTTGTAACACGAGTTTAGGAGCGATATTGGACGGTAGTTCGAAAGCAATGAAGAGTCACCTTTTTTGTAGATCGAAGCGACAATTGCCTGTAAGTCTTCAGGTTGCATGTAACCGTTTTGTAAACAACAGTTTGCAGCGTCTAGTACGATTAGTCGGTTTTGCGCATTTAGCCATTTAAACAGCTCAACACTTACACCGTCCGCACCTGGTGATTTGTTTCTCTTCAGTTTCGACAACACCAAGTCTAGTTCGGAATTAGTAAAGGGGGAATCATCTATGAGATAAGACCCGTTTTGTAAAGGTACATGTTGTCGTGATTCTTCATTGGGATTCTCCACTGCGGCTTTCCATTGTACTTTTTCTAGGTAGTCAGCTGCTTTGTGGGGGTACTCTTTGAAAGGAACATGATGGCCATGAGCGTCCTTGAGTTTTGTAAACGATGGCGTGAATTTGGCTCTAATTTTCTTTAAACCGTCCCATTTGTAACCTTCCAGGGTGATTTCTTCCAGTTGGGCCAATAGGTGTGTTTCTCTATCTAGCTTGACCTGATTCTTGATATCAAGGCTTAACTTTTCGGCATAATCCAAGTTTCCAGTCTCTAATGCAGCCCATTTAGATTCAAGCAGCTGCCATGTGGAAGCTGAAATGTACTCTTTCTTTTGCTGTGGAGGACGCCTTGGGAGAGAGGACTTCGCTTGTGATGTAAGGATATCATTAATTTCTTGGAATCCAAGGGAGCTACGTCCCTGCTGCGCGATCCGATCTGAAACCCCTTGGTTAAAGTCAATCAACTGCTGTTGAGAAGGATTCCTGTAGCGTGGAGCTGTAGAGATGAATTCGTGCTTTTTGCTTTTCAGTTTGAACCGGATATCAGCAATAAGAAGCTTGTGATCTGTATCCACTGCGTGGACGTGCGAAGTAAAAACATTGGTCACTGAATTCTTCCATTTGTCATTGATCAAGACAAAGTCCATTTGGGCATATTTGTGGAGGGTCCATGGCGGCAGCCATCGTTGTACTCCAACTGCTTTATAAGTGATAAGTTGTTCATCAGGTTTGTGGAAGAAGGTGTTTTTGACTACCATCTTCTTCTCGAGACAAAACTCAACAAATCTAGCTCTGTTATTTAGTTGTGCCTGGCTCAGGAGATCAAGATCCGCCCAAGATGCACCAAAAGTGAAGGGGCCGATAGAAGCAGTTTCATGAGGAAGCGCTTTGAGGATTCTGGCATTGAAATCTCCAAGAACGAGTTTTGGGGAGAAAGCATACTGCATGTCCATCAAGTCTTCGAGCTCATGGTAGTGTTTGTCTGTTGCCTCTTGGTCGGTATGACAAGCTTGGGGCACATATGTGGAAACAATATCCAAGCGGCCTGTGCGCATGCGAAGTGCGAGCACTATTGTTCTTGCACTTTTCTGAATAACATCTACGACATACCGTTGGATCTTGCGTTTAAACACAATGCCAACTCCTAAGTGTTCAATTGCATTTCTGAATGTTTGGGCATCTTGTTGGTTGTTTCTTCTTGCTCTACCCGAGCGTTTCAGGTCTTCTGCTTTATTTCTCGATTCATCCTTCACTCCGCTAGACCAATACATTACAAAACCGTCGTGTTCTTCCTTTGAGTTGCTGTTGATTTTTGTCTCTTGCAAACATAGGATGTCAATGTTGTGCTTGGTCATTAGGTGTATTACTCTTTCCCGTTTAGATATAGAGGCAAGTCCACGACAATTTAAGGTGGCAATACGAAAAGTTTCCGGATAACGTCCTAATAGAACGGCGTCTTGATAATCTGAATTACAACTCAAACTGCTATCGGGAATGGCAATGGGTGTAGGTGGGCTCAAGGATTGTATGGCTTCAGACATACTAGCAATGGGATCTTTGGGAGTTGTTGCGAGCGTCGGAACTTGGGCAACAAAGGCGGGTAATTGGCGTGCCAAGCCAATTGCCTGTGATTTTATGTAGCGATACAACTGCCTTTGATACTGTCTTTTTTGTGCTCTGCGTACTTTACGATCGATTCTAGCAGCGTCACTTCGACACTTTTTATCAGTAGATCGTTTGTCACTACGTATCTTCTCTCGGGGGTTGTTTTTAACGGTTATGGGCAGTTTGTCTTGTTTTGGGGGGTTCTGTGCATGTTGGTTACCGCTATCTTCCGAAGAAGCGCGGCTTTCCCGCATCGCCACGGGGCGGCCTGCAAGCGTTGAGGATTGGAGATTGTTTACATAATGAATCTCATGAGCCTGAGTATGTAACGACAAATGGTGAGGGGTCAGCTTAACAACTTGAGGAGGCTGAGAGTACCCAGAGATTACCTCGAGAGACCCGGAGGTCTTGCAGCAATAGCTGCGATGCATACTCAGGTTACGTCTGCTTCTTTGATGCTCAATACGTGTTGGCTGCGAATGGCGTGGATCTGAGATTCCGTGCTTGTGCGAGCTGTTGTCAACTTTTGTACTTTTGTACGGACGGTTCCACGAACGGTGCTGCGGGTTACAAAAAACCTCAGGACCCTGCCTGGAATGGTGAAACGGACAGAAAACTGATACTGCTTTCATTTCTTTCAGAACTCGCGGATGAGGGGTTCACGATGTCATCACGGTGTAGGGGCTGCAGGCTTTCTGGACTGCTTCGTTCCAAAGAGTGCGCCAAACATCCCAGTGATTCTCGAGATCCGGAACCACCCTGGCTTTCAACGAGAAGGGGAACTTGGAAGATCGTGCGTGTGATGAGTGTGTCAACGGCATTGATGGTTCCTTGTCATTGCTTCCTGTACTTCTGCCTTTCCCCTTGCCCTTTGTCCTGCCACCTCCGTTGAGAATCTCATTGAACCTGGATTCGTACGTGTGCGTGAAGGTCGTGCTGTCAGGGATGTGCTTTGCGCTCAGGTAGACGATAACGGTGCCGTCGTCGGGCGAATAGTGGATCCATAAGACATATTCCCCCGACTCTTTCTGAGTGAGTGTAAGATCCCTCCAGTTGTGTCGAAAAGAGATTCCGGCTTGCTCGGCAACGGTCATGGCAATCTTCAACGGTAGGCCAGTGATTCTATCCCATAGACTGATCTGGGGTTGCACTTTGAGGTAGTTTGCATTCGTTTGCGAGGAACCCTGAAAGTTGCCGAACTTCTCGGTTATGCGGTTCCAATCTTGCTCTTCCTTTTCCTTCAAGTAGAAACGCTCTTTCAGCTTGTCTGTTCCTGCGTACTTTTTGGTGTAGTCGAAGAGTTTATTGCGCTGCCACGGCTGGGATACGGTGACGATCGTCAAGGGGGACAAAGCTTCACCTCGAGTCTGGTGGGAGAAGGCCCAGTCGCGATAGTAAAAGCTCGTGATGCCCGCCTTTTTTGCTAGTTCTTTCACCCATCTCTCTCGGGACTCTGTCTGCAATTCCAACTGGAGACCTTGCGCTTCCAAATCTTCAGTTTCAGCTGCAAACATAGACCACCCTGCGACAACAAACTCCTTGCGTGCTTTTTCCCTCAAATTGTCAGCCTGTTGAGCTAGAAGAAATGCAGTCTGCGCCTTCATGTTTTTAAGCTCTGCTAGGATGTCTTGGGCTGCTTCTGTCTGGATCATCTGCTCATCTGCTTCCTCTTTGGTTTCCTCCTCTTCGCTGAGTCTCAACCGTCGGGATAGTGGCTCAGGAGTAAGTCCGGAAGATTCGTGTTTCGATTTCATCGCCTTCGCCATTGCTGTTGAAGTAGAATGGGGAGGGGGGCGAGGGACGAATTTGCTCAACGCTCGAACCCAAATGCTGTTTCCTGTTAGTAAAGTCGCAAATTTTCCTGAAGCTTTCACCCAATCAACACTGATATGCAACCGTACTTCTTCAAAGCTATACTTCTGATTGAGATGCTGGCTCCTGAGCATCATACGTGTGATGTTTGGGGCTAACTCTTTTCGTTACACTTGAGTAGTCGCTTAGCATGTTTAGCAAACTCGCTTTCCTTCAACCCTTGAGGCTGTGTTGACAACAAGCAGGTATCTTGTAATGCCAGATGAACTTTGCACCCAAACAATATAGTTTGGCGGTGCTACGGCTAAGCTTGCCGTAGTCCTAACGAATAGCCTTTACGGCGACGCCTTATTCCTGAACAGTACTGGCTTCATTTTGGGGGCTTCTTCCCACTCCGAAAAAAGACTCGTTTGGTGTTGAAGACCAACCCCGAGCCCTTATCTTGCTGAATAGTGGTCGTTTCTAATCTTAGCATGATGCTTCCAAGCTACCTCATACCTTAATCGTTCAATATTTAGCGCTACGCTTTTATCCTGTGTAGTAATCTCATTAAATGCTCAAGGCTGGACGTTTTTCCTAGCCTGGGTTCCTCGCATGATCGGGGCCAACCCTAGCCTGTTTAGTACACGTATTCAGCTTGATACTGCCAAAATGTAAACGCTACAGACACGATAAAATGAACATTGCTGGTCACGATGTGGAATGCACGGTTGGACTGCGCTACCACGTTTTCCGAATCCGAATCAAATTCACCTGCAGACGTTGATGTCAAGGTCTTCCTTAACAACCTTTCGCTTTCACTTAACGGTTAGAGCGAGAGTTTACTCCCATAGACTACTCGTTGAATGTTTTAGGCAACCTACCTGGTTCCTGGCAGCAGCTGTTGCAGATTTCAGGCTAAACTGCTTGACCTGATCTGTAAGCAGTTCATGGCTGGAGCTAAACCCATACTCAAAGTGTTCATCGCTGCATGGAATGTTAGAAGATCAGATGGGCACTGCACGGTTCTTCTCTTGGTGGAAACTGATTGAGACTGCGATATTCGCTTGTTTAAATATATTCATGACTGCAAGTAAACACAAGTGGTGCAGCTGCTGATCGGGCGAAAGCCTAAACACCCTGAGACTCTAAAACCAAGAGAACCTTTAACAACAACTTTGATGCATTGTTTTCCAGGACTCTCTGTATGGCCTGTCAACTTCAGGAAAGTCCAGACAACAGGTTGCTTGCGTTTACGTCTCTCAAGTGTTTCAGGTCGGTTACCTTGTGCAGTTGCTGAAGGGATCGTTTTATCTGACGTTGCTTCTTTAGCTGCTTGTTCGGTGCTTCATGGTGCTTCAAAGTGTCAAGCTTTTGCCAGGATTGCTTTAGTGACTTAATTTTTTGACCTTGAATAAAGTCTTTCATTGCAGGTAGTGCTAAGCTTGATCTTGCATTTGCGCTAGCCCTCAGATCTGTTGACAGCGAAATCAGCGTAAGACCGGTAGCAACTGCCCTCGCACGGTACACGACAGCGTGGCCTGCCTCCTCAGGAGGCTTCAGCACCTTCCAAGTCCAAGGTTGTCGAATTGAAAATTGCTATTCGCTCTAGTTTTCGCGAAGGCCTTGACGGACACATCCTTCGCCATGCGACTACTCACTAGCAGCAGTGCATTGAAAGTGCAGATGCTGAGGATGGGCTGTGGCTACAGCGGCTACGGCGGCTACGGCTACGGCTGTTCCCATGGCCGGCTTCGTGGCATCGATTCTGCTGTACTTCAAGCTAGAGAGCTACGTCGTTACGTCGTCATGATCAATAAAGGGTGTTCCTGCGTTTTGGTTCACTTTCCTCGCAACGTACTGCTAATATCCCTGCTGGGCTCCGTTGACTTCGAGGCGAGACGGCATTGAAATGCATTGAACCCGTTCACACATGCAGTCATGAACAGCCCTCCTACCTGCACGTTGAAACAAGGCTCCGAGAAACATAACATCGACCTAGATGTTGGAGGCAGCCTAGCCCTAATTAATGCCTAACATCGGTTCTAGGGCCATCAATGGACGGAGAGGTGCAGGCTGCAGACGAACAAAGTATGACACAAAAACGATTCGCTGCCGCAAGGACGCGACTTACTTGGCAAATCTGCTGTGGACAGTTATGCTATGGACAATCGGAGCTTCGATGGTCTCTGCTCTTTTGGATGGAGCAGGATCGTTTTCCGCAGACTTCAGAGCATCAGGTTTTGTCACAGTGGGCTTCAAGCACATCGTGCATGCCGCGTTGCGGGAAGAGTGGTCTCATGGGCAGTAGTTCTTACTTGCGGTCGAACATGCCCTGTGGCAGGGCCAAGTGGTTTTTTTCGCATCATTGGCTGGCTGCAGAGAAAACTTGGCCGGGCATGCCCTACGGAAGATACAGACAAGTGCACATTGGTGGTTGAACTGCCGGGCTACCGGTCCAAACGCGGTCGTCCAATGAATGACATTTTAACACAGATCCCATGCCAAATGCTCCGAGCCCTAAACCCAATGGCAGGGATGACCAGTGCAGAAGCAACCCATTTTGGGGTTGGGGTGCTGTCACAAGACGACGATGTCTCACAGAATGTGCAGCTATGACTGTGTCGTGTTATATGCTGGTCTTGAGCCTTGGCTCGTCAGTATGGATTTGTCTTGTCCGCAACCTCGTCAAGAGTCTGTGGCGCCGTGGTACGGACGAAAAGCCTCACCTAGATGAGTTGCTGCGAATCACCTTAAGCCGAATCCCCAAGGCACGGCCCCGTTGGAGCAAAAATGTTTGCAAACAAATGTAATCACAAGTGCGTAGCAACATAATCGTTGAATATGTTTGCGCACCAAAACAGGCAAGGAGCTACTAATTTTCTGTCCAATCGCTGCACATTTTGGCTTCGCGACGCAAGCGTCATTGCATTGGCGAAACAGCCGACAAGTACAGCCTGTTGAGTCCTTCTAAATCCCTCACAATCTGTTGCTCTAACCCTGCTACACCCCGGGTCTTAAACCGCAAGCCCGACAAACCTCGTAGGAATCCCGATGTTCGGGATCCCGGTGGGTCGATCAGGAACGCATCGCTGCTTGCAATGCGCCGTGGCCTTGGCTGCGTGTGTTTTCTAGGGCCGATGTGCCAACCAGTATCCAAAAACCTGTATCGCCGTGCTCTTTGCTGTCGAGGACGCGTCTCGACTGGTATGAAGAACAGATTTACATTGCTACCATGTTCTGCGATGCTACGCCTTTTGAAGCTATTTTGCAGTATCAACGAAAAAACTTGCATCTACTTCTTCTTCTTCTTCCACTACTACTACTACTACTACTACTACTACTACTACTACTACTGCTACTACTACTACTACTACTTCTACTACTACTACTACTACTGCTGCTACTACTACTACTACCACGTCTACTGCTACTACTACTACTACTACTACTACTACTACTGATCCTCCTCCTCCTCCTCCTACTACTACTACTAATACTACTACTATACTACTACTACTACTACTACTACTACTACTACTACTACTACTACTACTACTACTACTACTACTATTTTCAATTGAACGCTGCGCGAGCGTGCTCTGCGCTTTGCGGGCGCCTTGCTCCCATGCACTCGTGAGACTTTCCTGCTACTGCATCCATCGCTCTTGTTAACCTCTCAGAAATCAGCTCTACTAGATTGAAATGGAAAATCTGCGCTTCCTCCGACACCTCAATAGTGAGCTGACGCGGCCGTCGCTTACTTGCTCACAGCATTCGGGACGTACTCCGGAAGGAGCCGGCACCCCGATTTCCTGTCTAGTGGCGATCTACTTCTTCTTCTTCTTCCACTACTACTACTACTACTACTACGTCTACCACTACTACTGCTACTACTACTACTGCTGCTACTCGCTGCTGCTGCTCCTCCTCCTCCTCCTCCTCCTACTACTACTACTACTACTACTACTCCAACTACTACGACTAATACTACTACTACTACTACTACTACTACTACTACTACTACTACTACACGACTACCACTACTACTACTACTACTACTACTACTACTACTACTACTACTACTACTACTACTACTACTACTACTACACGACTACCACTACTACTACTACTACTACTGCTGCTACTACTACTACTACTACTCCTACTGCTACTGCCACTGCTACTGCTACTGCTACTGCTACTGCTACTGCTACTGCTACTACTACTACTACTACTACTGCTACTACTACGACTACTACTGCTACTGCTACTGCTTCTGCTTCTGCTTCTGTTACTGCTACTAACAATAATGATAATCATAATAATGCTGCTACGACGACGACCACTACTGTAGCGGCAGTAGTAACAGTTTCATTGACACCAATTATCATCACATTTAAACATAACTTTAGAGGCAGCAACAGTAGCAGTAGCAATCGCTGCAGCAGTAGCAGCTTCAGTAGCAAAGGTAGTGGCAATAGCATTCAGACGTTTTGGATTGTCCAGACTCGTCTGCATGAGTTTCAGCTTCTGCTGATCCCTCGACTGGAAACCAATGAGTGCCGGCAGAACACCCCAAACAGTCTGGGGAATAAAAATGAAAAAAGAAAAGACATTTTGAAGCTGCAAGAAAACACTTCGGCAGCAAACTGGCAACCGTGGACATCAACTAAGGCCAAGCTGCCGCAGCCCGCTAAATGTATGCATTTCAAGCTTGTGGCTATCACGAGTCTGTGTCCCAGCGTCGATCCGGCAAAGTATTGAGGCAGACAAAGGTTGCAGCAACAACATCTTCCAACTGTCAAGTCACACAAAACAACCGAGGTTGCACCCGAAACTTGAGGTCTTTGCAGATTCACTGATCAGATGTAGCTTTGCGACATGAGCTTCTAGCTTAAAGTCTCCGCCCTAGTTAAAACGATATCATCGAAGCCTTTTCGTGAGTTCAGCTGCTGTGGCTCCCCACAGCACTTCTTCTTGGTCTTGAGCCAAACTTCATGTAAACAGCGCGTTTCGGCTCGGTGCGAGAGGGATGTCGGCCGTCGTCTGGCAGCAAGGGATTTGTCAAGGAGCCAGAAAACTGCTTGAGACAAAACTAAACGTAAAAGAAAAAGGCGTGCACACTGCGTGCACGCCTAATCAGCTCATCCCATTCTTTTTGTTCAGTGGTGACGTTGAGAATGCACGGTTGTCCAGCATTCAGCATCACCCAGAAGACGCGAGCCTGTGGGCAGACCCGGCAGGCCCCATGTCACTTGATGTGCCGCCCACCCCACCTGTGTGCTTGAGCTCCCCGCCCGGGGCTGGTTCGGAGGTCAGATGAACACCCAGCACAAAGGATACCCCTAAGCGAGAGATTAGGACGGTATTTCTTTGAGTCTGTCATGCGACAATCAATACTACCGAAAACGACAATATCTCTGCCAATTATCTCAAACCCTGCGAACTCGGACATGCTTTCTTGGTGCCCGGCTCACCGAGCTCACGGCCTGTTGGAGCTCCTGCTCGGAGTGTGAAAAATGCACACAAACCCCAGGGCCCACATTGGTTCCGTGGTAGTCTTCACAAGCTTGTGCAAACATGAGCAAAACTGCCGACTCCAGTTGCAGCTGCGGGCCAAGTGGGGTAAAGGTTTTTTTTTGCAGTGGCCGCGGGCCGCAGCCCGTGCAAGCAGCAGCCAGCGGGCCGCGGGCCGCAGCGCGCAGGCCGTAGGTCCCGGGCTCGCGGGCCACGGGTCGCGAGCCGCGGGCCACGGGCCGCGGCGCGGAACCCCGAACCCCAAAAAGCAGTGGGTGGGTGCGAAACCTTGAAACCTGAAAGGAGTGGGTGGCTGCGAAACCCGAAACCCTAAAAAGAGTGCATGGATGGATGCGAAACCCTGAACCCCAAAACGGGTGAGCGGCTACGAAACATTCAGACCCTCAAAGGAGTGGGTGAGTGCGAAACCCTGAACTTATAAACGGAGTGAGTGGCTACGAAACCCTCATACCCCAAAAACAGGAGAGGTGCGTGCGGAACCGCAAACCCTACAAGGAGTGGGTGGGTGCGAAACCCCGAACCCTAAAGGGAGTGCGTGGGTGCGAAGCCCTGAACCCTTAAAGGTATATGTGTGCGAAACCTGGAAGCCGAAAAGGAGTGGGAGGCAGCGACCTGGAAGGAATGGGTTTTAACGAAACCCCAAACTTGTCGCTGTTGACCGCCGGTCACAGCCATGCTCGCGGGCCGCGTACCGCGGAGCGTCGCCACGGGCCGCCGTGTACAGCCACGTGAACGCGGGTGCACGTGAACGCGAGCCGCCGCGTGGCCGTGTGAATGCGAGCCGCAGCGTGGCCGCGGGCCGCGGGCCGCGCGTGAATAATACTACTATGAAGCAATGCACAAGGACGGATGGATGCCGATCCCTGTACTTCCACCCAGAAACAGCACGAAATTGGGAAGGCACTTTCGCACCGAAAGCCCTTCTCATGGGCTGAACCACCAACGTGCATCAGTGTAGGGGTGCTGTCAAAGCAAAAGTCCTTAGTGTAGTGGTTCAACGCCGCCACGATGTCATCATCTGCCTGACTTCGGGCCTGTGCTCAGACCCGACACGTAGTACCCAGCACAAAGCAGCAGGCGAGTTAAAAAAACGGTGTAGCATCGCCAAGGCAAGACTGACGGACCTTAGCCCTGTGGACACCAGTCTGCACACCGACCACCCCGGAAACAGAACTTCCGTACTAAAACGGAAAAGCTGCTCGGCTGGATCCGCCTGAGAAGCTTCGGAAATGGAAGTCTTCAGTGCTGCGATCTCGGTATCGACCTGCTCCTTCCAGCTTGTGACAACTTGAGGCCATGTGCAACTCCGGTTCTCTACCCACGACCTGGTATCTATCTGTGATTGGGCTGGAACGCACCTGTACTGTATGGCTGGTACGAGTAAAGTCTTCATCATTCTTCATCTGTTGTGATGTCAGAGCTAATCAGTTAGTCTCAGCGCATATCCTTGTTCATGTTAAAGAAAGTAGAGTCTGCCTTTGAGTGAAACGTGCCGTGCTCGCCCTGCTGCCATTTATTGCCAATCTCCTTGAACTTTTGCTGCTCGCGGTCCCGCTCTCGTACCTCGCAGCAGCGCTTGCAGCACTTCTCAAAGAGGCGTTGCTAAACTGACGATCTTAGCGGTCGGCGCTTTCGTCAGCATCACGCAAAAGCTGCGCCTGGGCCGGACTGCTCGACGTTGTGCTAACAATGCCAGCACCATCTCTGCTGCGTTAAGTACGAAAGTACAAGGCTCCAGCATATTTCCTGTCAGCAAGCTGATCGTCCCTGGCCTTGCTTACAGCAGTGTAGTGATTGTGCTGCCCATGTCACTATCCGTCCCAAGATTGAGAGGATGTCTAAATAAATCCACGCAGAAACAGCACGCAGGCTTAGAGCAGTTGAGGGTTCTGCCAGCTTCTCAGCCGTGTGGACCCTCGCAGACTCCAGCCGCTCGTGAAAAGTCTTTTCTCGCTCCTGGCTCCGAAAGCGGCAGACAAACTCAGCTCGCTAACATGTCAAAGCTGGACACCACGCGCATCGTGAACCCGGAACTTTGGCTAGCCTGCCGGTGTGTCTGCTCCATCTCGAAAGCCTTTTTGAAGTCCGTCAAATCCTGCTCCTGAGCGGGACACCCTCCGGCTGTGGAGGCCACTTCACACACCAGCATTGGCATGATGATAAGGGTTGAACTAATTTACGGAATGCGGACATGCGCACACACACACACAAAGACTACATAAGTATGCATGTGCATGTGTGTATATATATATATATATACATATATACGCACATGACTTAATACATACATACATACATACATACATACATACATACATACATATATAGGTTAGTATATATTCAAGTTAGTGTGTGTACATATATTTATATATGTATAAAGACTGGTATACATGTACATTAACTAGGATGTGTATGTATATTTATATATTATAGATATGTGCGCACGCATAAATATTACAGAACCTATCCCATGGTATAGACATTCAAAAAATTCAATGAGTTGTGGGTACACATGCGAACGGACGGCGCTCAAGTGCGCTGTGCGGCAACCACCCCTCTCTCCCAGGCCGGCTTGAACCGGACATACTTGCCAGCGCTGTCTCCCGCCTCAGAGAGCATCCAATAGTTGCGCAAAACTCGAATTTCGAGGATTGACATCGATTCTCCATTCGCCTCGCTCAGTCTTATCGATCGTCCCTTAACCAGGATACCAAGCAAATTGAACAAGAAACAGTGCACGTAATAGAAACAAGGTATGCACGGTTGTGTCATGTTGTGAGTGCTGTTCATGCGGCTACGGCCCGTGGTCCCTGTCAGTCCAACATGTTTGTGTCTTTTGCAGACTGCTGTTCCCCGCACGCGCTGGCAGCGGATGCACTACAACAGTAATTGACGGCTCCGGGGCCTTCCCCATGAACTTAAAAATACATGAATTAGAAGCACTAAGATGCTTCAACTACTAAAAACAGTTGAAAAGGTAAAATGCCGCCCAAACCCTTCCCCCCGGCCTGGCTCAACTATTTTATGAAAACAAGTATGTTTATGAACGTTACTTGGATGAGACCGGCTTCGTTCATTGCCGTATTTACTTTGCAAATTACACAAAGTTTCCCACGCCTTCTTTCCAATCTGCACAAGTTCCAACATTTCCAAAACTGAAGCCACATGTCCTTAAACTTCCGACGTTTTCCTTCAGACATCAGCACCTGCATCGCAAGACAAATTCCAGAATACGATGCTGAAAAAAATTGGAAATTCTGAAGCTTTTTCGAAACTTTCCAAAATTTCCACAGCATCCAAAATCGCAAAAATTTCAGTGTACCCATGCCTCGCCGCAAATGCCAAACCTCAAAAAACCTTAAGCCCTAAACCCGCTAGGACGACCTAACCCTAAACCTTCAAACCTGCTCCGGCTGTGACACATGTGTCACGCCGAACACGCCGGACCATCCCGCAGCTTTTGTGGCTTCTCGCAGCTTCGCATTTTCCCCCCATAGCCATAGCATTCCGGACCATGTGTCAAGATGCGGAGGCTCTTTACGACTTACCTGCTTGGTTTGAATAGGTATAAATAGAAGCATCCCCTATCAAGGTTGTACGACCTACGTTTTATGGATGGTCAGTCAAAGCACCTGGTCCATGCACCAATGTGCAATAAACAAAGAACTATAATCATCTGCTGGCTTCACTTAGTATAGTATAGCTGTGCTTCGGTTTGCTGATAGGCTTACAGTTCGGTCAACCTCGTTCCTAATTGCTGCTATACATGATCGGGCTGTCTAAACGTTGACACTGAAGATTTGCAGTCGGTTCTTAATGTCAGACCGACTGCAAACTGTATGTAGACTTAACAAATAAAGAACAGCATGAACACCTATGCAAAAATTGCTTGTACAAACAAGATAAGAGAGTAGCTTGCTCCATTACGTTCTGCATAAACGAGTAGCTGTTGCTGAACAGTCCAACAAAACGAAACGTACTCGTCAATCTCGCCTGATTATTTAGCATGAAGTGTTCGGTTCGAGCGCGTTGGAAAATCTAATTGGTTGAAGCTGCTCGAAGCGCTTGTTAAAACGATGTCGGCGAACAACTGCTATTACCTGGCTCTAGGACACAGTAAACACATGCCCGCAGTTGCTTTCGTTTGTCCTTGGGATACGTGCAGCAGGTAGGTAAGCCTTTTTTCGTCAGTGCGAGCTCATGAAGCGAATTAGTGGCTGAAATGAGGAGATAGAGCTCACAAGGACCCATCGGAGAGAGGAATAGACTGAGCAACATGTAGGCCAGGGAGCCAAACCAAAAGAACCATCAGAAGAGCCGAGGGAACAGCACATGTAAGCTAAGCCGCTCGTGTAAATCGAAGAGTTGGGTCAAGTTGAACTACTGGTTTGCATACTTTAGCCATCGGGCTAGCTTAGGAACAGTTTGACAAGATCAAGAACTTATTGTTGGTCATACTTGCTGCGTCCAAGATCTGCCTACTGGTATCCCTTTACAGCGTGTGTAAGGACCCATGGATCTGCCAGAATGTTCAACACCAGCCTCTATGTATGATGCGAGAGAAACGAACAGGCCACAAAGCTTCGACGAGGCGGCTCACGCGCATGCACGTAGACGACAGGGTGCGTGGGTGCAAATCAGTGTTTTTCTTACCGCGTTGTTCATGTATAGACACACGATTGTATGCTTAAATGCGTATGTATGTATCTATGTATGCATGTAAAACATGCATGTATGCACGTGTATATATGTATATATATATATATATATATATATATATATACATATGTGCAGGTACATGTGCAGTTTGGCATGTTAGATGCCTCAAGATCACGTCACTCAAAACTGAAAAGAGGCCACAACATCAGCCATGCACAGACATGCACGCAGCATACCAGGTGCCAGGCGATTGCCGAAGCTTCCAAGTCCATTTGCCCAATGTAGCGCGCCCTTGACTGCTGGAAATCCTGCAAGTGTCGCTAGTCATCGTTGTCGATTACATGCAAAAAATCTTCATCATCCTCAAGACTCTGACTTCTTACTTATGATGAGATAACTGTTGATGCCGTGATTGCAGCGATAGGCGCTCTCTAATGACATAACGTGGCCATGGCAGGCACATGCAGGCGCATGCCTTCTCCACCGACGCCATCCGATCGTTGACGGCCTCAAGACACATTGTCGAAGCACCACCTATGAAAGAAAAGGAACGGCGGGTCACATCATTAGTAAATCTTCCTATACCTCTAGAACTAATTCCTCTAATGTTATGGTTCCTTAGTACTTTTAGGTGTAATCCAACCCATAGGATTCTCTTCATTGGGATTGTGTTGTGCTTTTGTTTAATGAAATAAGACAATGGAACAGAGTGAAGCGTGCTTATTTCGTTTAAACAAAGCACAAGTAAATCCCAATCATCTCTCAGCTTGCAGCATCCAGAAGGCTGTGAACATGTTCCAGCTGATTCAAGAAGGCAGCCTCCGCGGCATTACACGACTGAGAGCTTGGACTCGAAGCTCGAAGATGCTCGAAGCTTCGCCGCGCCTCGAGCTTGCCTTGGGCCTGTGTAATCTTTGGCTGCAGAACCACCTGCTGCTATCGGGGGCAGAGCCTATCCAGCACTGGGAGACGTCGGCAGTCTTCACCAGCCAGGACTCCCACCCGTTTCATGTCCTGCAGCTTTTGTGTTCGCACCTGCAAGCGGCTCATATTCGCCGATTGGAGTGCTGTCTGCGGAACTTTCGCAACTCATGACCAGCGGTTTAGCAGTCTGGAAACCGAGAACTAACATGCTCCGCCTGGGCCTCCTGCGCGATACAGTCATCCAGTCGCTGCACCTGGGTCATCACAGTCGAGTCCAAGTTGCCGACCAGAAGTGGTGTCATGGATCTGAATCTGCACCTATGTTGGGCATTATGGAGCCTGGGCTGTGGCAAATCATGCCATGGTCAAGATAAACTGCAGTTAGATGCATTGCAGAAATCGGCACAATCTTTTTTGCGTCTTCGCCTTCCCCTGGCAAGCCACACAGCAGTATCAGGATAGAGGCATTCAACGCCTTCATGTCCATTAACCCGAAGACGCCCGACCCACTTCCTTGGCTCAGATTCCAGGCAGCAGGCAGCAGGAGGAATTGAAAATAAGTAAGACTTTAAGATCAACAACAACAGCCAGGGCGCTAGATGGTACCGGCGACACCTTCGGTGTCGCCTGCACGTCAAATGAGATGGACGCCTGAGCACGGCTTCGCACAAAACCCAACTTCCACGACGACACCTGGGCGGCAATCAGGAAGCCTTGGCACCCCCTTCCTTCACGAGGTCGTTTCGGATGCTCAATTGCACCTTCATGGCAACATGCCGATGCCATACATGCTCGTGGTAAGCGCACAATGTGAGATGGCTTGATGGGATCCAATGACATTGGATCGGCTCTGAAAAAACAGTGCGCTGATTCTGGACGCTTCGCACTGCCATCCCAGGCAATGTTGAGATGCTGTCCACCTGCATGTGTCTGCTGCATTGCTTCCTTCCGCCTACGGAAACTAGGTTGTTATGCCTCCCTTCTTGCAATGCCAGGTGCTGGCCACGGATCATGAATAGGATGAAAGATGCATACATGCCTGGTGAGCTTTGTATCGTCCGATCATGTACAGGTAAGTCATGTTCGGTCAAATTGGTGTGGCGAGAAGAACACAAGTTACATGGGCGCGAACAGCGCTTGGTCAGCTACAGATGTAAGAAATACGATCAGTTGCAAAAGGTCAAGGACATTAGTCATGGCAGAACGAAGCTTCAATCACTGTGAATAACAATCACATTACTGCCATAACGACTGATTGTCCGAATGACAAGTGAAGGCATACTCGAGAGATTGTACTACTGAACTTCCAAGGCCACCGCTTTGCGGGCGAGTGGACAAGGTAAACATGTGCTCGAAGGTGTGTTGCGACCCCAGCATCACTGGTTCCTCGTTTCTAAGAGCTAGTGTCAATCAACAGGGGTATCATGTTGTTCGACCTGATCGACCTGGTTGACAGCGTCAGGTGGACTTGCTCCTCGAAACAGCCTTCGAACTGGCCCGACCTCACCCCCTCTCAGCCCCGAATTTCAACTCTACTATGCCTAGCCGTCAACGAAAGCCTTGCTCAAATTCGAAAAGGGAAGGAGCTTTCGCAATGAAGACGGCAGTAGAAGCACAATAGCAACAGTACCCGAAACTGTAGTAGAGGCAGGGAATGCGACACAGGAAATTGCAGCCGTCGCACCGGCCTTGCCTCATCGAGCTTTTGCTGGCTCCACGTAGCAGCTGCTCCCGGCACCTGGGCGACTTGAGCCAGCGCAGCAGGCGGCTCCTCGCCGTCGCGCCTGGGCTCTGAACTAGATTCAGTTGTTTTCTACATTAGGCAACCACGAACTCATGGGATAGCCTTGTTAAGGGGATGCGAAGACTACACCTCTTATGCATGAACCTACATATGTATACGTATATAAATACGCACGTATACATGAATCTGCGCATATACACACAGTCTAAACATTGATACAGAGATAGATAGCTGGCTAGATAGATAGAAAAAACAAAGAATCGCATCATAGGCCCGGACTCCAAAGCCTGACCTAATTAACCTAGCCTAACCAAGACGACCCCCAACCAAAGCAAACTTAACCAAACTTGCCCCACCGGAATCCAACCTCACCTATCCTATGCTCCAACCTACAGCAATATACGCTAAGCCTCTCTATCTCACCCCAACTTGGCAAACCAACCTCAAACTGTCGCCGAACCTGCCTTACCGCCTTACCCGAAACATAAAAACCAGGCCCAAACCTAATCTAATATACCGACATATTCCAGCATAACCTTGGATAGGGTTTGGGGTGGGTAGGTTTTGATTAGGATGTACGAAAAGGTGGGTTAGGTCAGGTTTAGTTGATTTAGAGTATACTTCAGGATGTCTTAACCTAACTACTAGCGTAACCCTGCCCTATAGCCTCACCTGGCCCAGACTACAACCCTAGCCTACCCGTACCTACGCAGACCTGGCCCAGCCTAGCCTATCCTAACCTACCCAAAACCCTAGTATAACTCCCAACCTTCTCAACCAAACCGGATCTGACCTATCCTAACAAAAAGGACCTGGACCCTGAGCCACGCCTAACCTACCCTGTCCCAGAACCTAACAGGCCCTACACCCTACGCCACGCCTAAACTACCCTGCCCCAGACCCTAACCTAGCCTAACCTACATCAGCTTGCCCTAAACATAACCCTAGGCTAACCCGAGCCGCTATCGTGACAATCCCAAACTGCGACTAACCCAACCCGCCTTGCTAACTTTTCCTACACCGTGGCACAACCTAAGCTAACAGAAAAGAAAGGAACTGAACCCTAAGCCATGCCTCACCTACCCTGCCCCAGACCCAACCTCCAAGACTCTTGCCATCTCTTGCCTACCTCAGTCTGCCCTGGCATGACCCCAGGCGAACCCGCGCCATCGTGACGTCATAATCCCAAACTCCGCTAACCCAACCCGCTCTCCCCGAACCACTGACCTAACTGCGGCCTAACTTTTCCTAAAGCCTAACGCCGCGTAACCTTACCTAAACAAACACAAAGGACCTGAACCCGAAGCAGGCCTAACCTACCCTGGCCGAAACCCTAACCTAGCCTAACCTAAATCACTCTGCCCGAACATAACCCTAGGCTAGCCCGAGCAGCTATCGTGACAATCCCAAACTGCCACCAACCAAAACCGCCCTGCCCGGACCACTGACCTAAAAACTGCGACCTAACTTCTCCAAAACCCTGACCCAACCTACTTAAACTCTGACCCACATCTAAACATTGTAAACAACCCAAACCGGACACTCGTCGGCCCGCTCGGAACATATTCAGAACCGTATCTTCAATTGACTGATGTCATATGCTATACAGACAAACATACCTACATGCATGCACAAATCCATCCATCCATGCATGCATACATGCATGCACACATGCATGCAAGTGTACCCGAGCATTCAAACAAATTGCAGGCGCTTGGGTTGAGCATGCATACACACATACAGTGCATGCCTAGGCATATGCCTCCATACATACATACATACATACGTACATACAGGCATACATACATTCATCCATCCATGCATGCATACATACACACATACACACCTACATACGTGCGGGCTTGTCTACATGCAAACTCCTCTCTTGGTCACTTAACTAGTTCTTGATCTGTGTATATGCTCACATATACCGGAACGAAGTACATGCTCGAAAATACCTCAGAATGAAGGCCGGGCTTCAAGAATCGCATTGCAACAACCTCGATTTGCAGAGATGACGATGCGGAGGTAGAAGAAGCAGAGATGTTCAGCCAGGTGCCTGACGACCGCGAAACAAACGTCAAGGGGTGTTACTCGACGAGTCCGAACATGTCATCTGGGCCTTTGCGGCATCCTACACAAACGAAGAAGCCACAGAGGCGGCAGGAGGCACTATCGCCCCCGCGAAGAATCGTATTGCCACAGACCTCGCGCAGCAAACCAGCTAAAAGAAAGCTGTTGTCACCATCTTTCAAGCCTCTGTGAAGCAAACCTAAGCCGACCGTGCCTCTATACTTCTTTCAATCAATGCAGCCAGGCGGCTGCGCAGACAGGTGTACCTGAAATGCCCACACAAAGCCCATGGCCCCGAGCGCAAGTCGCCCAAACTCCTGGCGCAGAGCTTCTCTAGACGGTTTGCAAAACATCTCTGGCCGTGCTCCTGGCCGTGCTCCTGCTGTAAGTGTCTGCACCGGAGACTCGGCCTCGCCAGGAAGCAGCAGCTCCGGCAGTACTTCCACCTGCGACGCGGCGGCAGCATTTCCAGCAGGATTTTCCATGCTTCCACTTCCATTTCCATCCTCCAAGTGCAGGCCTCGGCCTCTTCCAAGACTGGTTCAGGCGTGGGCGGCATCGGGGGCGTGGGAGGCGGCAGCGCCTCGTGACACCCAAGCTTGCCGCCAGAATCCGCCAGACATCGCACAAATATGGGCAGCCTCTATCACAGCTTTGGCCGCCCAGGCGAACAGCGTTGCAGCAGCACGTGAGGCATAACGAACTCGGCCAGGACTGAGCTTCAGCTCCTAGCAAAATACTAATGCGAGGGTTGCATGCATGAAGGCCGAGGTTGCCTCCCTGTTTAGGAACTTCATCGGCACAGGTGGACACAAAAATACTTTGCCGATCTAAGGAAAGAACTCCAAAAACATTCGTCTATGCACGGCGAAACACACGAAAAGGGTTCAGAAACCAGGACATCCGCCAGAGGTGTTACGGTGTTGCTTGTCGGGCCATTGCCACACACCATGCAACATCTCTACAAGTAGAAGTGTTGTTGTTGTTCTTCCCAATCACGCACGAAACCAAATGCCTGCAGCTGTCCGCGGTGATTTTCATCTACCAACTGTGGATGCCTGGGGCTGCGGATCCATCATTTGCACTTCGGCCAACGAAATCGCACAAACATTAAACACAACCACGTTATAGTTTCTGGGCATCTTCGGCTGGTGGCCATCTATTGTGTCTTCGACTTTCAGACGCCAAGAAATGCACACTGACTCTCGATCCGCACATGACTGCTTTGCCAACTCTGTCAATACATGAAAATGAATGGCCTGCTCTCGGTTTCAGAAATGACACTACAAGGTGTTGTTGCTGAGTACTTTTACTCCATGCGGTCATCGTACATTGACATAGACATAGCTAATTAACATTCCGTCGTCACAGCTCGACTTGACACATGATAATCGGTAGAGGGCCCTTCCACGAAAACCACCCTCCGTACCTGCGCACAAGTACCTGCAGCTCCTGCTCCTGGGACCCGTCTTGGGCAGTGGGAGGCGGCTCATCTTCGTTCACCATCATCTCACTTGATGCTGCACGATTCCCTGCGTTTGGCGCAGCGTGCCGGACCGTTACCCCACTTGCAGATCAGCTTTCAGACGTGTTTGCATGGCTTTTCTGTCATGGCGCCCTGTTGGCCCTCGTTTGGGTCGGCCGGTAAGTATGCGGATCATCAGTTCAGGCAATCCGATCATTGAACGATCAGCTCTGATCGCTAATTTTTTGTCGGAAAGATATGTTCATCGGTGGTCATACATCGATCAAACGCACGACGTCCACTGTAGCTCGGCGCTGAAAAATGCGGCAAAGCTCGGCTCAGTCTAGGACTTCGGAAAAATGCGAAGACCGTGTACGTATTGAAGGAGTGTGCAGGAAGGTTTCGGCTGATGCAAATGCAGACGTCAGGTTTTTGTCATTGCGTGTACCTGAGTGCGACACAAGGGCATGTGCGGTAACAGTATGCCAGTACCTCCAATGCACGGGATTCGTCACTCGTGGCTTTGTTGACTGATGGGTGACTGCACCAAACTATCACTACCCTGAGGGGTTGGTGCATGTGCGTGTACCATCCCGGACATGGATGCAAGGGTTCACTCCCAAGATCATGTACCTCTGCAGGGTACTCGGGGCGTGTGGTACATCTTTCGCCATCATCTCACTTCATGGCGTGACAAGCACGTGCACCTAACTCACGGATCGTCGCATCTTGCTGTGTATGCCATTCCTCATGTCTGACATGCTTGTTACAAAGACCGTCATCTCATCTTTGTCCCCTGCATCATCAGCAGCAGCGGCATCAGCATCGGTAACAGCATGCAACAGCATCAGCATCAGCATCCGCATCAGCATCAACGGCAGAAAGACCAGCTGCTACTTCGTTGGGTTGACTGTAAGCTTTACTGCTAACAAGTTAACCCGTCCTCCGACGTAACTGCGCGGCGGAGAAAGCTACCTTCAAGCAGGCCGGCTTGTCAAAAAATACCCCGAGGGCCAAACTTGTACCAGCCACCTGAGAGAATCCTGGCAGTACATGTTACTGCCCTAGGCCCCACATGCATGCCAGGCACTCTTGGAAGTCTGCAGCTTGCGGGAGCACCGCGACTTGTGCCGGTTGAAGCATAGCCCTTCTTCGAAGTAGAAATCCTGAGTCAACAACACTGCGACCAGCTTTTCATCAGTGTCTTTGAACCCGCTTCTGAGCGACTTTTTGCTGGATGAAAACAAGGCTCATGCAGATCCCGTGCAAGATCCGGAAACCTAACGATGGCAAGGATGAGGCAAACATGTCATCCGGCAACTTGCTCCCGCATCCCCACATGATCAACATGCACTTTACAGATTTGACCGCACAACCAGCTTGCTGTGACGGTGCCATAGAACAGGGCACGTCACCTTCTCAGTTGATTGATGTCGTACGTCTCCAACTGCTCCGCCAAATCATCCGAAGCCAACGTCCTGCAAACAAGCAGTCATAGCTGCAGAGACCACAGTCGTGCTGGCGAACCAGGTCCTGAGTACACTCTCCCACTTGATGCCCTGCACGGGCAAGCCTTTACTGTGCCGCTGAGCATTGAGGACAATGTGCATCACCTTCTCAGGCACGACTCTGTTACTGGGTATGAACGAAATTCGTGAGCGTCCTGCCTCCAGAGTCCGTCGCACCGCCAGCGGAGGGTTCTTCAGCTGACGGATCTCGTCCAGTGCAGTCTGGGTCAGCACGTCATCACAATCCTGTCGCACACTTCCGGCTCCATCCACGCACTTTCCATCTCTGACACGCAACCTCGGACAAGTCCTCCCCCTCTTGCGATACTTCTGTGAACACTCTGACGCCGGAAGCATCCGCTGACTGCGACCGCTGAAACCGCTTCGGCATGGCGCTGAAACCGTTTCGGCATGGCGCTGCATAGTCAGGGTCAGAAGTCTACAAGAAAGCACAGCCTCGTGCTGTCGCGTAGGAACGTGTAGGTGGTACTGCATACCCAGTAACAATCTAGACTCTCACACTTGCATAGCGCCGATGACACGGATGCATTGCAGTCTGAAGGTCCAGAAATGGATACTACGCATTTAGGGAAGCCCAGCTTCGAAAATTGCAGTGGCATTAACTTGAGCCAAATTTTGTTGAAAATGTGAATGCAAAATGCACATGACGAGACCCACAAGCTAGCTGCAGGCGTGGCAGAAGCAACAGGGGACTATGAGAGCCGGTTTCAGCCGCGTAAGCTGAGTTCTCTCAGGAAGCTCGCCAAAGAAGCCATGGAATAGTCCTTGCAGGTCGGGACGGTCGAGCCACTACATGACAGCTTGCAGTACCTAAACTTCTTCAAATCTGCCAGGGCTCGGGGGGGAAGGGAATCCGGTGCTCGTCATCCAGGTACTGATACTCTGGATGCTGGACGCCTACTTCCATGTGCCAGCGCACCTCTGTGCCGACATTCGGGCAGGTCCCATGATGCACAAGGGTTGAATGCACCAGAGCATCGCCGGGTTGGGTCTCCATAGTCTTCACCGCACTATGGTCTGCGTTGAATTCATATGGTGGCAACGGCAGGCCAAAGAGCCATCTTTGCGACCAGAATTGGGGGTCCAGTCCGTCCTCATGCGAGCCCAGTGCATACATCAACGCTCCCTTTTCTGATGTTTCAGTCGTCAACGGGATGTGGAGGACGGCGGTGTGGTTCCGCCATGTTTCGATATCCGCTTCCGCCTTCTCGTCATAAACTCGCGCCTTGCAGGGTGCACAAGCGCATGAAGAACCCTATCAAATAGACTGTCTGACAATTAATAGCTCTCATCCAAGTCGCCAGCCTCAGTCGCTCGCCACAAGTTGTAGGCCGTGTCTTGGTGCCAAGGAATGGACGAGGCGTTGCATCCCTGTGCCTTTCCTCTCAAAAGCAGGTAGTAAATGACAGGCGCCTCTGTGCGGAGGATGCACTTTGCAATATCCTGTATGGAGACCACGGCAGGAAACAGGTAACTCAATTCCGTGGTGTGTACTTTGTCGATGCTGATGTCCGCATTATACCCGGACTTGGTCCAGTCACACAGAACAGGTGGAAACTCGTCTCTTTTTTCCCAGTTTCCACCGCCGTGGTCGAGTACTATCTTTTGACAAGCCCGCTGGGCAGACTGCAGAACAACTGGCGGGAGCACTTGTTGCAGGTGCACGACTCCATACTTCTCAAAATCAGCACGAGCCCCGCTACAGTCCCAGTCGATGTGCAGAAACTGTGATGTGAGGGTATGAAGCTCGGGCGTGTCAAATCCCGCCATTCCTGCATAAAAGTCGGGACTGGCATCAATTTTCAAGCTTGAGGCCAAGAAGCCATCCAAATCGTGCAGCTGTTCGAGTTCCTCTTCGGAAAGCTGGCGGGCATCTTGGGAGCAGTAGAGTTCCACCATGCGTTCGCGCCGGCCGGAGGAAAGGATCACAGCAATCCTTTGTTGTAAGAAGAATTTCACAGCGACGTCTGCAATAGGCCAGTTCTTGGAGCTGGCAATCTTGCGCAGGACAGGGTTCAGCAGAAGCGGACTCGAGCGTGATGCCAGCTTGCCAGTCAAGCCCCGGCCTTGTGACCACTCGTAACCCAGGGTGCCGTACACCTGAATCTGTATCTTGTGACGCCGACACAGCACCCGCAAGGACCTTGGAACGGGATGGTAAATGTCGGCCCACACTCCGACAACAGCAGGCGTGATCGTCGAAATCGAGAGCAGTCGCTGCAACTGCTGCGCATCAAAGTTGCTCACGCCGATAGACCGAACCCATCCACGTCGAACTGCCTCCTCCAACCCACGCCAGCTGTCTTCGAAGGTACCGAGTGGCCTCAGAGCCCCGCCCTTGGGACAGTAGTCAAGCTCGCATGTCGGGAAATGTATCAAGAAGAGGTCCACATACCCGTCTGCTCCGTCTCCCAGCTCTTGCAATGCACGTTCGACCGCCATAAGGGTCTTGGAAAAGCCGAGCTCTGCTGGATGGACCTTTGACGTGACGAAGATGGATCTTCGATCCACCCCTAGCAGGGCCTGTCCCACTGCATGCTGGTCGTAGCCGAAGCCATCACCACCCAACGGACTCGTTGCCGTGTCGATAGCACGATACCCCAGTCGCAGGGCCTCGTCCACTGCCTCACGGGTCTTTGACATGCCGGCGGTTCCGAAAGCCACCATCGGCATGGAATACCCAGAATTGAGATCCAAAGTCTGTGCCTCAACTTGGCTTGTGCAATCCTCAAAGGAGAAACACTGCTGTATGTCGCTTCGAAGCTCCTCGTCTTCTCGCATCATTGACAGGAAGTTCAATGCAGCCAGCTTCAGTGAGGCGCCATCCAGCAAGCCATGGCCCAACGACAGTACGAGCAGGCTCGCTGCGCGGGTTGCATCCGGTGGGCAACTTGGGGGAAAACAGATCTGGAATCCTCCGTTCATATGCTTCCACCTCATTGCCAGGCCGCTCTGACAAGTCTCCCTTTCTGCGTCCTTCATGCCTCCAAGTTGGTGGAGGAGATAATCCAACAGGAACTTGAAGACATCATCTCCACAATCCACAGAAACTCTGTGCAAGAAGCCTGCTTAAACTAACGATTGACTACAAAGTCGTAATTTTTCCTTTGTCAAAACTCTCCCGAATCCTCGACACTGCTGACAAGTATTCACACACACACACACACCGGCCCCTTCAGTGAGCGAAGTCTTGAAAAAACTCACTTGCCCCTAGCCTTAGAAAGTCCTAGGACTCGACTCTAGGTCCCTAGGTCCCTGGGTAATGTGAACCTCTGACCTCCTTGCTCGCTGCAATCTTGCGCGCTGCCATCGGAGAGCGGAGGCCCAGAGGCGTACCAGAAGTCCGCCAACTTGTGCTCGACATCACACGCATTCCCACGGACTCCCACGACACCTTGGACCGGTGTTTGAGCGAGTTTGGGCCCTGACCTGCGTAAGAGCTTGTTTGATTAGGTGCCTTGGGGGGCAGGTCATTTATGAAACCACGCACGAAAAAACGAAGCCTGAAGTCCAAGACGCACGTGAAGAGCAAGCCGACGAAATGGGACGGTGCCATGCAGCATGCGGCTGAAGAATTGCGCACTGAACGTCGGTTGGATCTCGCCACCGTGGAGAGGCTCGCTTCTGGGGGCTACACTTACACACTTCAACATGTTTGAGGGCAACGACCAGAACCTACATCGTTCTAATGCACCATGAGTCTCTGAAGATGACTGCCTTGAACATCGAGGTGCCCAAGGTGTGCGTCTTCTGTACACTTCTAGGATGCTCAAGCCGCACCAGCTGTGGGTCACATTACTTCACGTTTGGACGCGGCAATTCCTGGAACAGGAACACTGCCTGTTTGAGACGCGCACGTCCAGCCAGAGGTTTTCGACCTCGATAGCTCACCGGATATCGGAATGTGTCCAAGACCAACAAGGCCACATTCTTGCCGAGCACACTGCCGTTGAGTCTTCTGTCTGCTTCCTGGACTTTGTGTCAGCTTCCACCTGAACGGCAAGAAATCAAAGTTGTGCTCTGCCGGGCCACAAGCACGACCACACTGACCAGCGGACATGACCGGCCATGCATCAGAGCTTTATGTAAAGACTGAGCTCATGAAGAGCATGTCGGATTAGCAGTCTATTGAGGGACCCTGGGCGAACCTGGCGCTCGATGAAGTGAAAGCGTTGCGCCAGTTCAGAAAGCCGACTGGCAGGCAAGGCTGCAACCTGAGAAAGAGAGCTCGCAGATGACTCTGCAATCTGCATCACTTTGCATCTGTGCCTCGGAAAAATCTGTAATCTAGGTTTGTGACGTCACCTCTGTCCGGCCTTTGCTTGACGGGAAAGTCTTAGTCTTTGACCCACGACCTTGACGGCGAGCAAGCCATGTGCCTTCCGGGCGTTGATGTGGCTAGCTGTCCTGACATCACTTTTGACATGTGATGAGCAGTACTGGGGATGGATGCCAACATCTTTGTATCTTTGCACAGTGTATGCATGTGTTTCTGTATGTATGTATCTGCTGTCTTTCCTTGGGCCTTGAGGGCTAGTTGGAGCCGCCTCCGAAGTACACCGCATGTGGGTTGTCAGGCTGTTTCAAACACCGACTCCGATAACAGTGCATGTCCTACGCCAAGTCACGGGCATACCCGGTGTCTTGACCCGCCATCAAGTTCAAACCCAACTACGACATGTTCTGCTCGTCTCGGCTCTCTCTCTCTCTCTCTCTCTCTCTCTCTCTCTCTTCTTCAGCACAGGCAGAGGGGCGACTCTCTCTCTCTCTCTCTTTCTTTCGCCAGGGCTATGGGCAAGAGGTTTGACCCCCTTGCCCGCGCGCTTGTGCGCCCCCGACTGTTGCGGAGGTGAGCATCGGCATTATGCAACCTCCGGCTCTCCCATGTGTAAAAAGGAACTCTCTTCACTCAGCAACTGCAATCCGAAAAGCCAAAGCGAAACAGGGACCGATGACGTACAGCATGAAAGTTAGGAGCAGTCCTTCACGTGAGTTGCTGAGTCGGAGATGTTCCCCGTACATGAGGTTCACTCGATGTGCCGGGTCTGAAAAGTGGGTCGAGTCACAACACAGTATGATCAAAGGGATGGGGAAGGGAAAAGTATAGGCCGGGGGATGAAGACATTGGGTAAATATTCGACCCTGGGGACGTCTCCCCGCAGATGCCAGAGTTACACTTTGGCGACACTCTTTGCATGCTTCGACCTAGTTTGAAGGGATCCTTTCACGGCCAGCTGCTACCTTCGGTCCTTGAGCGCAGCATTCCTTCTCCTACTTAGCCTGGCCAGAAGAGGGAAGCTCTCTCTCTCTCTCTCTCTCCTTCGCGCACGAGCGCACTGGTTCTTGCGGGCAGCGTGACACACAATGATCGTGACGAGGTGCGACCGGGACCGCGGTACCCTCCTTTACATGCCCTCTACTCAGTAAAGCTCCGGCCTCGCGCCTCGTCTTTCAGCAAGCTCTGTTCAGCACCGGCCGTTCCCCGAGGCCTCTCTCGCGTTCTTTCGGGCCGAACAGGTCACCCCACGTAGGTGGCAGCCAAACCGGGCATTCGCACAGCCACAGGTTCGGGTGTCCAGCCGTGGTCCGATTACTTTTCCTGTGAACTCTTGGCTCAAGGTCGGCGTCCTACTTCCAAGGAGGGTACAGCTTGTCACAGACATTCATGCCTAGGGCAAGTGTCTCCCAACTCTCCTGCTTCCAACAGCCCTGAAACCCCGCCCGGCCGAGCCAAACCCGGCAACTAAGCGTTGAATGCACAGCACTTCTCGCAATATGTTTTTCTCTTGCTTGCCTGCAGCCAACAGCAGGCAGGTCCCCGCCCACTCCGCGCAGGAACTCTCCCTCTCTCTCTCTCTCTCTCTCTCTCTCTCTCTCTCTCTTTTCTGTCGCAAGGGCTGTGGTAGAGCGTTGCCCCTCTGTCCCTCTGTCTCTCTCACTCGCCCTCTCTGGCACCGCTTCTCTCTGTGCGGCAGAAATGTGACACATCTCCTGCACTTACTTTGGCCGGCTGTGGTGTTCCTAACCTTGGATACAGACGGGCACGATGCGCTAGCGACACAATGCATGCCTTCCTCTGTAGCTTCTCGGCACAGTCTGAGAGCTCTGGCTTTCGGAAAGGGTCTAGAGTCGCAGGCTTGAAGCCGGCAGAGTGCATGCTGCGACGAGTGTTCTGCTTTTAGATTGTGTGCCACCTCTGTCATTCGATTCTGTTGGATGCCACGTGGTGGTAGCCGAACACTGGCCTGTTCTCACTGGACATGCTGAGCAGTGTAACCACACCTTTAGGCAGAATCATGCTCCATACTTCAAGATCTTGAGAGAGATTCGAGCCAACAGCCTTCGCAGATACACCTACACTAAATGCGATTCCGTATGCAGTAATGTCTAGCTCCCTCGGAGTAGAAATTTCAGATGACATCGCCCTGCAACCCCGCATCTGCTGCGACAAGCTACAGTTTCTCCCAGTCGCGAATCATTGGCCAAATATGTCTGCGTGACCACTTTGGATCACTCGAAGCTAACATGCCGTTGCATGCCATCACCACCAGACGTGGACGTGCCCCTTCAACTTTGGCCTGACCGCGGCGGTGACGTGACACGTCGTGCCCGCTCGGTGGCAGGAAGGACAGGGCCCGGCGGGCCACCTGCGGCTGGTGGTGTCGATGGCGGCATTGGCGGCGCGGCGGGCACGGCCGGGGAACTCCAAGAGGCGCAAGCTTGGGCTGGCGGTCCCGGCGACCCTTGATTCTGGGAAAGCTGTGACCAGCTCGAAGTGTAACCAGAGTTCGGGGCAATTACAACTGGGAAGGGCCCCTGGACCATTCTTGTCAAGCGTGGGCTTTGCACAGATGCCTCGGGCCTCACCAGGTGGAAACCCGCAGGGCTCAATGGCCGAGACGGCGAAGGAAATGCCGGAGATGCTATGGCCGACCGCTGTGGGGAGAGTAGACGGCCAGACGCTGGCAGTGAGGAGAGTGCTCCGACCATCGTTGGGGCGGCTGTTCTGGGTGACAAAGGGTATCTTGGTGAACAAAGGGTCGTTGGCCTCTGCACCTCTGGCCACACGTGCCTGGTGGGACTTGGCACATGCTGGGGGTCCATAGCCGCGGCTCCAGTGCTGACGGCCATCCAGTCCGCAAGCTTTCCGTTCTCCACGGAGACTCTGCGCGACTCGGGTGTGAACAGTCTGCCTGGTGTGGCTTGTGCAACAAAAGCTTGTGTAGCTTGTGTGGGATGTGAGGCTGGCTCTGGCTTGAGAAGAGCAGGCTCACTCTCCGCAGGCGTTGCAATCACACGAGGGGAACTCGCTGGGCTTGAGGAGGCCGTAGTACGAACTTTGGTGGATGCCACCTCCATGCTAGAGGATGGCTGGACAGTTTGGGTCTTGAGTTTAAGTGGTCCATCTTCTGCAACGCTGCTGATGACAGGGTCTGTGGGCTGACCAAACAGCCCCTGTTCCGAAGCAACTAGTGTCGGAATGCTTGCGCCACCCTCCGAGCCGTTTACAGTGTCACTTTTCGATGGCCTTCGCCGATTCCTGCAGAACTGTTCCAAGGAGGTGACATCCTGGGCGATCCCTCTCAGCGCTTCATTCACCTGGTTGGTCCGATGCTGTGCGTCTTCAGTGAGACGCTGCAAAGTTTGGCAGAGACGCTTCTGGTCCGCCTCGATCTCTTCGATGCGTTGCAAGTCGCCCTTGCGAAGCTCTTCTAATCGACTTAATCGGATCACCTGCTTTTGCTGTGCCTGCTGGGTGTCCGTAACCAGCTGGCTCAAAGCTCGCATCTGTGAATGCTGCTGACGCTGGCTTTCGGCATGCGTCAGTGCAAGCTCCTCTCAGGATGTTGACAACCAACAAACAGCTATGACAACGTTGCAAGCTTACCTAGCAGAAAACATCGAATATCTCCTCCATGCGGTTCGAGACGGTCGTGACAGCTTGCTGTATGAAGATGGTCAGCTGTTCCATGGCAGCTTCACGACTTTGCTGCTCTAGATCGATGCGATCTCGAAGCCTGGCCGACCGATGTGATTTTGCTACCTCTACCGTGACTCGTGACAACGGGAACGCCGCGAGCCTCGTCGACTCAGTGTCAACATTGCTGTCGTTCATCTCGTCCTACCGTTGCAACTGAATGCTCACATCCATCCACGTAACATCTAACACTTGACTGTGCATCTAGCACTGTCTGGTCCTGCAGGAGTTGAACCTCCAATGTCAGTGGCTTCAACTGCGCCAGTTCCTGCAGTCTGCCGTCATGGACTCACCCGACGACGCGGGAGGCATGTGACGAATGTGCATATTGTCCGCGGCGCTCCTGGCCCATGCTATCCAGATCGGTCTGACCATTCACCCGACAAAGAACAGAGCCAGGCAATATCTGTCTGGAATGCAGTGCATTCCACCCGGCCACCAAAGAGTCATCGTCCACCTCGTGGCAGCCGGGAACTTTTCTCGGCTCGGCTCTCGTAGGCACGGCAACTGTGCACGCTGTCCAGCACAAAACTGAGGCATCCGCAGAAGCGATGGTACAACCGTCCTCATGCGGATGTGCCTACCTGGGAACTGACGAGTTGTACGCCTGCACTGCCTGCAGCAAGACTGCAACTCAACCCGAACTACGTGCGAGATACACCAACAATAACATAGGATTCGGGGTTCCAGGTTTCAAGTGCATGCTTTTGGGCTGGAGCATACGACTTTTGTTTGGATGAGCATGCAAGATGTCCTCGCACAGCTGCAAGCCCAAAGAATGCCCGTTGGAAGCCTCGACAGCCGTACGCCACGAAAATTGTGCAGGGCTGCCTCTCTGCAGGAAAAAAGTAAACTTTGCTACAGGACTCATCCCAGGAGCATCGAGGTGAACGACGAGCAAATCGAAAGCCTAGCATCATCGAGACAGATCTGAAGCTGACACAGCTATGGCCAACTCTCTTTGCATCCATCGGTCCTGATCACCCGCTGCCATGGGCTCTACGCGGCCGGAGTACAAGGGCACAATATGTCAGCTCACGGTGGGTTCTCTGTTTGCACAACATAAACTATGCGAATAGAACTGCATAACCCCTCATACATGGATTCGGCCTAACCAATCACCATGCGAATGCGTGAAACTGGCCGGCGAGGCCCTAAACTCGCAAAAGCTACGCACGTTACACGGACACGGCTTGTGTCTGTGAAGCATAGGCCCCACTGCTTTCATTTATGCAACGTAAGTCCATAGGACGAGCAGCCTTCGCTGCACGCGTCATGGAAGCTCCCGAAGGTTCTGACATCTGTACGCACAAGCGAAATCAAGCGTCGCTGTTTTCGCCGAAATAGACTTTATTGGCTCACCGCTTCCATGCCTAGCTGAAAACAAAGAAACCGGCTTTGCTATGCACAGGATCAAACAGGTCGCCGCGTCTTGCTGCGACCTCTACTGGGGGGTACACAGCAACATGTGCATCCCTGCGCGCGTGTGCAAACATAACATTCCACGAATGCATCCCTAATTTTCCAGCTTTACACAGGACCTCTTCAAACAATGTTGGAGCAGGCAACAAGTACTCGTGTGAATACTTTGGACATGCTAGTTGGAGTTTCGTGTTGGTGGATTGGCCGGTGTTCCTTTTTTAGTCCAAACAAAACCTCCCAAGACCGCACCTGCACGACCACGGCCGCAAAATGCACAAACCTAACATGCACCAAAAAATACATCAAGTCAAAAAATTGAACGGAAACTGCAAGTAGTGTAAGTGCTTAGCACATTTTTTCGTATCGAATGTAACAGTAACACGAAAACTCTTTACAACACAAGACGTGTCTTTACATGTCTTTTCTACTCTATCGGAGATCTGGCTTCTGTCTTCCGGAGCTAGCACCAAAAATCCTTCTGAAAAACTTGGAGTCAGTTTTCGAAAATCAGCAGATCTGATGTGCACTCAAGAACGTTACATCCAAAACAACATGTTTGACACAGCAAAATGGCGCCATGGAACAAGAAAACAACAGAATTTGCACAAGCCGAGAAGTTGTAACAGTGTCACAACCTATGAAACCATATTTGATGTGCACGTAACTCACACTCGGGGTCTAATGCTTTAGTCCGTGAATAATTTTGTCCTTTTTATGAACCATGTTTGTTGCAAAACAACTGACACACTCCAACTTGCAAACATGAAACCCCCTTAACCCATCATTGCCTAAACCTTGTCTAAACCCACTTCTAGCCCACTTGAACTCTTCTAAACATGCTTAAACTCATTCTTCATCAGTAAAGTGAGCCAGGTCGCGAGAGAAAGTTCCCAAGACATAACCCCAACCCCCCAACCCCAACCCGGGGCTGGGCTTCGGGTTAACACTGCCCGAACCCCGCCATCAGGGTTAGGGTTGGCATGAGGTGGTGGGCAGAAGGTAAGGGGGGCAACAACCACCAAAGCTCAACCACCCGAGCCGCAAGCCCGAGCTGGAAGGCAACAGTTCCGGTTAATTCGAACCCAATTGCAGGCATGGCAAAGCAAGACACGTCTTTTGGTTTGTGCGGGTTTCGTCGACTGCGTCAGGTGCACTCAGTCTTTTTTCCACGAAACAACAAATGAAAAGACAGCGGTGGAACGACAGCGCTAAGACTTGAAAACTGACGGAAGGGCTCATGAGTGCGACTTGGCGCAGAAGCCGGCGGCTCTTCGTCCAGCCAAGCTTGACTGCCGCGGGAATCATCTCTCTGCTAAGACAGAAGGTAAAGCTGCGGGAAGCACCGGTTTGATGAGTTGCTCCAACTTGCGGCAGGGTCTCTGGCTGGGAAGTCAGGCCATAAGGCAAAAAAATCCAAGGCAGGGAAAGCGAAGTCAAAGCCGTGTTGAAGACCGACCTGAGAGAACTTCTTGTGTTCATGCCTCCAATCATCAAACGATTCCCTGTGGATTCCAGTGTATGCCGGTGGAACTCCAAACCTGGAGTTCGAGCTCATGAATTCAGAGTTCGAATCCCTCGAACTGCAAAGTTCGGAAACTTGGAAACTCTACATTCGAACTCTGGGTTCGGGAAACTCCATGTTCGAACTCCATGTTCGAAGTTCGGGGAACGTTGTGAACTCGGAAAACTTCAAGGTTTGGGCTTTAGGGTTTGGGATTCAGGTATCCAAACCCTGGTTTCGAACGTAGAGTTCTCGAACGCGGTGCTGTTCTGCGAATCCAGGGTAAGCCTACATGAAATTGCTTTCGGAGGTTTTGAAAAGCGATGATTTTTTTCGGCGTGGACGGCAGCACTCGGTCTCCACAAGCCCAGCATGCAAGACGAACACATAAAAGATGAAACAAGCTGCGACATGCGGACTTCGCCAGCATGGATCGTTGAGTCTTCGGTCCGTGGCGTCATATGTTATGACTTCCTGCACGCTCACTGGCCCTGGTCTCCGTAAAGCCTGGAGAGCGAATGGCTTCGTTGCAAATGAAATTCCCTGCTGGCTTCGCACAAGGATGACCACGTGCACTGGCAGCGTTCCAATCTTTGGTCTTTGGTCAAACAGCATGCGGATTCCAACATTCGAACACGAATTGCTGCCCGCTCAACTGGAAGCCACTAACTCTTGCAAAACGGTTCATTATTTGGTTACCATGTGCGACAAATGGAACATCTGCTCCACTTTCTCAGCTGATGTTTGTCTCAGAATTCGAATGCAAGAGTTGCGGTTGGCCATTGGCCATTGTTCACACTGCGTCATCCTTGCTTGAGCAAGCTGTCGCTGGTAAGACAGCCGACTGAAATACGGGCATTCTGGTCTCAAAGCTTTGGGCGAAACAATCACATCTGCCCAAAGAGGGTATGATGCGTGCTGTCTTCAACCGGACCAGTGGTGTTGGCCTGCAGTCTCGTGTCTTGTCCATCTTCGTGCTCGCTTTCTGAGTTGATTGTCTCCACAAGATTTTTGGCGAGTCTAGCTTTTGTGTCCCCATAGAGACGCGTTTTCGCGCACTCTCACCCGTGCCAGCTTTTGTCTTTCCATCCACGGACTTCGTTGTCGTGGCAATGCAAAGCAAATCATGCAGAAGTTCCGTCCTGCATGGTCACAGAGCCGCCAATGGATGTAAGCGTTTTTGTTTGGCGTCCGCGGGCCTCGGTGGCTGCAGCTGCAGCACTCGACAACAACGAGTGAACCCAATACAAGGCAGCTGTTCTTATTTCTTCGCTTTCGCTTGAGCGAAAACTTTATCAAACAAAAGATTTCGCGACCTTCGTATTGGTCGTTGATCGGAATATGGATATAAATGGAGATTATGTTTTCTCAGAATGGTATTCGTAAGTATAATTTATTGAAATACTCCGCATCGAATCACAATGTATTGAAGCAGGAACTCACGAACGCATCCTCTCTCTTTTTTTCTTCTAGGAAAGCAGGAGCAAACTCTCTCGAACCACACAATGCAGTCTGACAAATCAAGCATCGTGTGGACTAAGCGGACTATCGCATTACCTTCGGGATTCTCGGAGTAACCCTTGATCATGGAGCCCAGGGCCCCGTTATTGTCAGTGTAGACAACAAGGTGCTTTCCGGAGATGCGTGAGTGCCACAAGTGCAGAGCGCACAGAATGGCGAGGCATTCAAGCTCGAAGATAGGATTGCCACTGCCTCTTACATTGATCGAATCAAGAACTGACCCATCAAGCATTTCGGAATAATACTCTAGGTAGGTTCCCGTCCTGTCAATCAAGTTGCCACCTAAGCCTGCAGGCGTTGCGGCATCCGGTTCGTGGCAGGCATCCACGAAGATGTGCACGGTGTCTTCAAGCGAAGTGGTTACTCGCCTGGGCTTGCCTTCCGAAATGAAGATGAATCCTCGTTGCAGCGCTAAGCTTGCCGTCTCCCGCAAGGACATGTCGAGACAGTCCCCTGAAGGCATGCTGGGAAAGTTTCCCGAAAAGCTGACCGTCCATGAAGTTGAGGCGGCCTCGGAGACGCTCGCCATCCTTGATTTTCAGCTCGGGCCTCGGAGTGACGACTTTCCAACAATTGAGCCCGAGCAGACTTGTCCCGTAGCTAGGATGGGGATTAATTTTCTTTTCCAGCTCCTTGCTTGGGAAACATCCAGTGAGAAAGACAACCCATTTGCTGGGATATGCAAGGTTCTAGGCCTCGAGTATAACCTCGAAGAGACCAAGCTTGGAACCCTGGTTATCAAAAAACATTGCTAAGAGGGTTGCGGATGTGTCTGCTGAGATAGATAAGTTCCTTAGCGAAAACTACATGTCCTCGAAAACTGTTGCAAACTTCCTTAAGGACAACCCACCAAGAGCTACCACAATCAAGCAAGCTATCAGCGGAATGCGTTCGTGGTTGATCGAGTGGGCTTCGGGCAGACCACAAATGGGTCTCCGCTCCAACTGATCGAGTGGGCTTCGGGCAGACCACGAATGGGTCTCCCTCCGCTCCATCTCAAAATCTGCCATTCTTGCCGCAGTCTCTGCATTTTCTCCGACCAACAAGCACTTTCAAAACATGCCAATGGATCAGCCGCCGAGCGGAAGGGGCATCCCCGTAGATGCTCCCAAGCAAGATCAAGAAAATTATGCCAAGCAAAACAATGAAAACATGTTTACAAGCATGTTGTGACTGCTGTGGTGGTTTTCTGCGGTAGTCTCTGCTTGGAGCCGAAAAAATCAAGGTCTTTTTTTGGCCACGGATGTCGCGGAGCAAAAGACAAAAAAGATCGCGTCGTCTGGAAAAAGACATCTCCGGGTCTGGAAAAACACCAGCCGTTCGAAGTCTCTCTTCGGTACGTCTCTTTTTCGTGTGTATGCAATGTCCTGGGTCGATTTCTACCAGCAAGTGAGTGCAGTATAAAGATTTTCCGAGAGGCTGGGCTTCATTTTTCTCCTGGAATTTCTGTCGCCCTTTGTAAGCTGGAAGGTTCCATGCATTTCTTGTGTTTGCAAGAGCCCAGAACAGAATGCTGTCTCGACTTTCGGCCAAATAAAAACATCTTAACAGTTGTAGAAAACCGGCAGCATCTCATTTTTCCGAGGTTACCTGGTCATAAGTGGGCATTCAAGCTTGTATCTTGGTTCTGTGTTGCACAGACGTTGATGGAATCTTTTACAGACTCGAATCTGTCAAATCTATTCAAAACGTAATCGCTGACAACCGTGGTTTGGTTTGGTTTGGTTTGAAAACATGTTTTTTAATTTTTCACTTTCGTGTCAAGAAAACACCCAGGGTTCCTTGCAGTCACAATGCTGAGACCCGCTCTTCCAAAGCCTTCATGGGCCATTGTCAGATGCGTCCAAGCATTAGACATCGAACACCATTGAGGAATATGAGTCTTTCAAGCAAAGTTTTGGACGAACCAAGATCTTTTGGACACAAATCAACTTTTGCATCTCCAACAAACAGAGGAGGCCCTTCCAACATCCACTTCATCCTCCAGAGCCAAGTTCCATGTTATCCGCAGCCTTCTTGGCTTTTTGGCTTGAGAGGTTGGCGAGAGGTGGGCCCCACTCCGTTTCACAAAGGGGGCCTTAAGCCCCTTGAAGCCTCTCTTTAAGTCTCTTTAAAGAGGTATCCCCTAAAGAAGGGAGGTGGAGCAAAGGGTCGAAGCCTTTAAGTCCCCCTTAAAGCCTCTTTAAAGTCTCCCTTCAAGCTCCGCTTTAAGTGCGCTTCAAGTCCTCCTTTAACTTCCCCCTTAGGCCTCTTAAGCCCCCTTTAACCCCTTTAAGTCCCCCTCAAGCTTCTTTAAGCCCCCCTTTAAGCCCCTTAAGCCCCCCTTTAAGCCCCCTTTAAACCTCCCAGAAGCCCTTAAGCTCCCCTTTAAGCCTCCACACAATCACACACACAAAACAAGAAGAAGAAGCACACGAAATCGTTTTATGGGTGGTTTTTGCAAAGAAAATAAAATAAGAAAAGCAAATTTAATGAAACAAAACACAATACAGCCTTCCACCACACAAAAAGAAGAAGCCACACAAAATCGTTTGACGGATAGTTTTTGCGAAGAAAATAAAATGAGAAAAGCAAACTTAATGACACAAAACAAATCAACAAACACAAGAAAAGAAGAAGAAGCTCGCTTTTTTTGGTGTTTACAAAGAAAATACAAGGTAGCACCCATACTTTTGAGTTCGAACATGGAGTTTCCGAACCCAGAGTTCGAACTCTTGTCTCATTACTTCTTGTTCTCTCATTTTATTTTTTTCGCAAAAACCCTTAGCGATTTCGTGTGTTGTGCTTGCGGTTTCTGTCATTGTAGTGTGCTCTCAGTAATTTTATTCGCAAAACCCCCCACAAAGCGATTCTGTGTGGCTTCTTCTCTTTTGTTTGATGATTGTTGGTGTTCTGTTCGAACCCTGTTCGAACTCCGGGGGAAGTCTAGACCCGGGGAGTTCGAACCCCGTTCGAACTCTGGGGGGGAGTCTAGAACCCGGGTTGGGCGGTTCATTTTTGTTGGCGCCTTTGCATTCTCGTAGGAGACTTCATGTCCTTCTTGAAGCCCCCTTGAGAAGAAGAAAAACTCTTCGTCATTGACAATCTTTTTCTTTGTTTTATTTTTCTTTGATTTCTTCGCAAAAACACCCACAAAGCGGTTTCGTGTGGCTTCTTCTTCTTTTTGTGGCAGGGACTGGTCATTGGCAGTCTTTTTCTTTGTTTTCGGCAAGCTTCTAAAAAAGCGGGGGGGTTCGGGGGTGGCGCAGCCCCCCCCCAAACGTGGAGTTCCCGAACCTAGGGTTCAGCCCCGGGTTCGTTTATATTTCGTGCACGATCGTGACACAATAGAACTCTGGAAGACCGTTGCGACGGAACTAGAACGGTGGCCGGAGCTTTGACTTGGAGCTCCATCGGTGATCTTCGACAGCTTTGGGCGACGACCGCTCACGTCAAAAAATCTAACACAGGTTTGGAACGGATTTAATGAACCCAGGTTTCACCCAATCAAAAGCCCAGATTCAAATCAGGTTAAACCAGGTTTGAAACCAGCGGAATCCAAAAAACGGAAGAAAGTTTTTTTTGGACTGCAGGCTGGTCTTCTCCCCCCCCCCGGGTTTCCCAGAACCTGGGTTGAATCCCTCCGGGAGACGGGATTTATCCGGACTTGAACCTGGGTTTGAATCTGGATTGAACCTGGATTCGAACTGCGGTTCAACTCCGGAGTTAAACCCAGGTTAAAACCCAGGTTTGAATCCAGCCGGTTTGAACCCAGGTTCAAACCCAGATTTGGAATTTTGTAGATGAAACCGCCGCCAGCCTTCTACCACTTATGCACGATTCATGGAGATTCGCGTTCATGGAAGCACCTCCATTGCAGGGCGGCCATTGCTGCGCAAATGCTGGAGGTTGGCCCATGGGAGCCGTGCTTGGTACGTCGAGGCGCGCTGGACCAGAAGCTAACGCCTTCTCGGCACAGAGTGGACTCGGCTCCTGCTGCATCCCATGCGCCTAATCTGGATGCACAAATGTTGACCTTTTACCCAATTCCACTTGGCTGCAACAACATGCAGCACTGGACCGCACTCAATAACAAGCAGCGTCTGCTCTGCCAGCGCTGAGACCGTCGACAGTCGTTGTGAGTCCTTTGCTGCGCTCTGGCTTTAGTCTTGATTTCATAGAGTTTCCGAATCCAGGGTTCGAACACAGAGTTCCCGAACGCCGGGTTCGAACATGGAGTTCCCGAACCCAGGGTTTGAACATAGAGTTCAAACTCCGGTTCAACCTGGGTTCGAGAAGTTCGAACCCAGAGTTGTGAAAGTGAGTGAGCGTATGTAGGTGCAGAGTGGCCTCATGCGCTTCAGGAGTCTAGAACAACCTTCGCAAAGCAGCATGGTTTGACATGAGTTTTTCACGTTGCATGATTTGTTTTGGAGATTTGTCAGAGAGTTTTGCAGTGCTTCACGGCACATGGCTGAGAGCAAGCTTTTCGTGTGCCGCGCGAACCTGCTCAAGGAAGCAGGACAACCAGGAGAGCTGTAAGCAGCTACGCCAGAGACACGTTTCTTGAAGTCCGGAAAAGTTGCAGTCACGCTGAAGCTGGGGTTTCAAGTTTTTACATGGTAGCGGAGCGCCGCTCCTACGCCAGAGCCCAGAAGAAGTCTGTGTGTGTGCTGGGTGCAGTCGAAAGCCGTGAGAGAGGGTTAAGATGCAGCAGCAACAGCAACAGCAGAGTCCAGTGTCACCTGGACATCTTGAGCAAGGCTTGCGTAGAAGTGCGCAGGCAGCTGGTGTAGGGAGCGGAAGTGATCCTTGGGCAGAACACCTCCAGCAGAGAGCGCGAGTGATGCAGCAAGCTGCATTGACTGGACATGAGTGTCAGAGAAACGTCCCTGACAGCGACTTGTCGAGTTTGAGTTCACCTGCAAGGCCAGAGCAAGGTAACATGCCAGTACATGGACCGCACATGCCCCAAATGTACTCCATAGGAACCCCCACTATGCCTGGTACTGGAACCAACATGGACGTTTTGCAGCAGCTAAGTGTTTTGATCGGTAGAATGACTCCGCAGCAAGCGCAGACGGCGCAAGGGATTGTGAATGAGCAACTGGGAAGACAGGCGCGAGGTGTGCCTGAGCACTTCGGCAGGATGCCTTTGCATCCAGATGCTTCACGCGCAAACTTCGTCATTCCTCCGACAATAGACCAGGGTTTGGGTCAGAACTACCAGGGTAGTGAGGGTGTTGGCGTTTTCTCCAGAGCTGACAAGTGGTTAGGTCAGCCTCCGGGTCCATCTGTAGAGAAGTGGACGTCTCGTGAGCTTGAGATCGCAGGGTTTGCAGACTACGTTGTAAGCTTGCAGAGCTGGGCTGCTTTGGGCAGCATGACGTTTTCTGAAGAGATTTCCGTGTCATTGAGGTGGCCAGATACGATTTGGCAACAAACTCTTACCAATGTTCAGAAAGTTCGGTCGGTGAGGCTGTATGGCATACTTAGAGCTGCTTTTGCGGAGCATGCTAGGGCAAGTCTTATGATTCAAGCTTTCAGCGAGGGACTCACGTTGGATGGCAATCCTGTTCAAGACCCTGGTAGGCTTTTAGGCAACACGACATGTGGGTTTGAACTTTTGAGACAGCTTGCACAACAGTTCTCGTTGCGTAGCAGAGCGGAAGCCTTGAGTATGAGATCCGAGCTTTTGCAGCGTATCTTTGCTTTGAAGAACTCAGAAGCGAGTCAGGCTACTATGGTTGGTGATGTGATTCGGAAGATAGACATTGAGGTAGCTAGGTACTGGAAGCTTTTGGGGACACTGCCTTCTCACCTTGACCGTCAGGGTTTGAGCATAGGAGATGGGGACATGCTTGTTATTTTGTTGAGAAGTTTGCCAGAAGAAGCCAAGAAGTATGTTCTTCACCACTCTCCTTCAGACACGTACTCGGTTGCAAGAACAGCGGCTTTAAAGTTTGAGCAACAGCAGCGCTTGTTTTTGGATCTGAATTTTGGGTCGCGCAAGACCATGAGTGAGTTGTTTGACTTGACCCACTCAGATGAGGATGGTGCGTGGGACACAGCATGGTATCATGATGCGACAGAACATTCCATTTCAGCAGTGAGCGGAGATCGATGTGAGAAGTGCGGCAAGAAGCATCGCACCCAGGATTGCTCTACCGACATGACTAAGGTCAAGTGTTTTGCATGCCAAGGGTTCGGTCATATTAGTGCTAACTGTCCTGGTAATCGTAGCTCCTCTGAAGGAAAAGGAAGGCCAAAGGCAAGGCAAAAGGAAAAGACAAAGGCAAAGGAAAAGGAAAGGAGAAAGGAAAAGGAAAAGGAAAAGACAAAGGCAAAGGAAAAGGAAAATCAAAGAAAGGAAAGATGTATGAGGTTTCAGGTTCTGGTGAGGAGGAGTCATGGTCTTGGGAGGAGACATGGCAGGATGAGGCTTGGGGAGCTCAGGATTGGGGAGAAGCATGGGCAGATCAGGATTGGCAGGGTGAGACTTCTGAGCAGCAGCAGCAGCAATCCGAGTCTAAGCCAGACAAGCTTCAGTTGAGCGCGTTAATGTTGAGCCCCTTGTTTGTGTCCAGCCTCCACAACGATGCAGAGTATTGGCTCTTGGATTCCGGTGCGAGTGTAACTGTGTGGAGCGAAAGTTGTGCGGCCTTTTACGGTGTAGAAGCATCTGGGAAGTGCTTGCTCAGTTGAGAGGACAGTAGAGCCTCCGGCCGTGGCAAACAATTCTGAAGGCAAAGCTGTGGAGGTCCCAAACCTTGGTGGTGGGATCAGTCTAGAAGACAACTATCCAGATTATGAGTCGGCGGCTGAACATGCTGGGCTGACAATGGGACTAACAGATGCTATGACTGTGGAGCAAGAGATGGATTTGATTGGTTTCATTCCCTTTTCTGTGGGTGTGAATAGACGCTATCGGGACGCAGGCATAGACTACGATGATGGTCTTCTGGAAAGGTTTGAGAGATTGGGATGTGCTGGTCTGACGGCTGAAGAGTTGTCAGATGAGTATCGCTTTCAGCTCAGTGCACCTCCAGAGGTGGAGACTGGAGGTGGGTATAACCATCCAGGTGAGATCCCAAGTGGTTCTGCAACTGTGAGGCGTGCATCTGTCCGGAGACGAAAAGGGAAAGCCATTTGTGTTGACTTTGAGGCGCGAATTTACCACTCTGGTAACAACGACTGTGGAAATGGATTAACTCGCTTTGTGGCTTGCAAGCTTTGTCAAGCTAGAGTGGGCGAGCACATCCTCCAGATCTACAAGTTTGGGTGCTTTCACGCTCAAAGCTGCCACATGCTGGTTGAGAGACCGCAGAGCATTTCCTGTGCTCCTTGCCGTCACTGTGTCGAAGCTCTGAAAGAGGAGTTTGGGAACCAGTGAGCGGCCACTCTGAAAGGGGGTGTGAAAGTGAGTGAGCGTATGTAGGTGCAGAGTGGCCTCATGCGCTTCAGGAGTCTTTTAGAACAACCTTTGCAAAGCAGCATGGTTGACATGAGTTTTTCACGTTGCATGATTTGTTTTGGAGATTTGTCAGAGAGTTTTGCAGTGCTTCACGGCACATGGCTTATAGCAAGCTTTTCGTGTGCCGCGCGAGCCTGCTCAAGGAAGCAGGACAACCAGGAGAGCTGTAAGCAAAGCAGCTACTCCAGAGACACGTTTCTTGAAGTCCGGAAAAGTTGCAGTCACGCTGAAGCTGGGGTTTCAAGTTTTTACAAGAGTTCAACCCTGAGTTCCGAGTTATATGTTCTCCCCCCCCCCGGGCCCCCCGGGAGTTCGAACCCTGGGTTCCGGGAACACTCCAAAAACCTATGCTCCTGGGTTTGGTGCTGAACCCAAGCACCGGCAAAGCCTGTGCGCCGCAGCCCTCGCTTTTGCTCTCTCACCGCTTTCTTGTAGTTTGTTTGTGTTTTCGCTTGTTTGTAGGGCACCAATCGTCACGTATGTGGCGGTGCATCCGATGTCGGTGCTCTTTGGAGCCGTCGGCTGCCACTCGGCTCCGCGCTATTCATACACAGGAGCGAAAGGCTGAGTCTCCTTGACGGCAGCAGTTTGCAGAGTATCGGAGGCGTGTCTCTGCGCACTCAGCGCACTCTCTACAGCTTTCGGGTTGTGACCGATTTAGTGCGACTCGGCTGCGCCACTATTTTTCATCCAGAGAATGACGGGGCTCAGATCATTGCAAAATTGCCCACGATGGCCGCAATTCGAAAAGAAGTCCGAGCCCTCGTAAAGCCTAATGACCGTCCTATGGCGAGAAGCGAGGACCACTAAAGCTTCAAGGTCAACTTGACTTTCTTTGACCCTTGCGATACCCACTCATGGGAAGCTGGGCCTGGTTTGCCAGCTGGGCCAAGACCCTGGCTGGTTAACCAACATGGCAGTTACCAGGCGGCATGGTTGGTTGAATTGCGCTCGTACTGTGCTGTTCTTGCGAGACCCACTGTTGGGAAGCTTGGCCTGGACCAAAGTGGTAACATTGGCACGCGCCCCTTGGGCGAATTCAACCCATTGCCTTACATTTCTGGTATGCTTGTTCTCCTGGGATACTCTATGGCGGGCCACAAAGGCCTTTCTACCTTCGCTCAGGAGCTTGTACACAGCTGATGGCTCCGCACGACGGGCACACGGCAGCAGCATGCTTTGCTGTTAATTGCTACATGCCCTTGCGATACCCAAGATACTGGGAAGCTGGGCCATTTTATCTACGCACTTGCCAATGGAACATGCTGCTTGGTGGATGCTCGTATAAAACCGCTCCACCCTGGCACGACACCTGAGAGAAGCTACGCCTTGAAAGGCCAAACGATCCCTGCTGGCTAAATCTGCAAGTCGCGGCCCGTTTCACCTTACATGATTCTCTTGTACAGCTCTTTATTGTATTCTTGTAGTTCTTGTAGTTTTTACTGGGACCGAGTGCAGCAACTGGTGTCTTTGAGGCCCGCCCACGCCAAAAAAAACATTGGAGGCCCAGAAAAAGATCCACCGGGGTCCGAAAAAAGACACGGGGTCAGTTACGAGATATTTCGGGGCCGAGAAAAAGACGGCTTATATCGTAGAGTGGAGGTCGAAAAAAAAGAGTGTAATCTTTTTCTAGACCTCGTCGCGGGGCTGAAGAAAAGATGGAGGTCGGAAAAAAGACATGCCGGGGTCAAAATCAAGATGGACCAAGCGTGGGGTCTGAAAAAAGATATTCCGGGGTCGAAAAAAAGAGCAGCCCTAAAGCGGCAACCGGCGGGCGAGAAAATGCGCCATATGAGACTGCAAACATGTCAGAGTGGAGAAAATACGCAATCCGAGCACTTTCCACCCAGAGTGCACACAAGTGGCAAGTGCAGACTGTCAGGAGAAGCTGAGGGAAGATGGCCATCTGCTCTCTCTTCCACTTCCGAATCAAATCGTTCAGCGGGTCCGCTCTCGAAAGCTCAGTGGGAGGTGCGTCCCTTCCAACCCTCCCACTTTTTCTTTCTGGCAACAGTGCTTACACAAAATGGATTTTGTGTGTGGATTCTTCCTTTGTTTCGTTTTCCAAAGTCCGCCTTCTTGTTTTTTCTTTGCTTCAAAACCTTTAGAGGAGAATGGAAGATGGGAAATGGAATGAGAGCGAACACGATGCAACAATGTCGACTGTCTGCAAGCTGCACGATTGTGAGGGAAGAAAACGTAAGGGTCGTCCATTCTACATCAAGACTAGAACGGCGGCCGAAGCTTTGTTTTTTGGTCCAGTTGTTTTTGGGCGGCTTTAGGTGGGTGACGGCCCATGTGCTTCAAAAGGCGCCGTATTGATGCTGAACGGTTGGTGCTGATCAAGTTCGCCGCCGTTTTGCCATTTTTTGCCTCTGTTTCACTTTGTTGCGAGTTCTTTAATTGAGTTTGCTCTGTTAAGTTTGGGGACTGAGCGCTGCTGCCGCAGGCAACGAAGCTCGAGAGCCAACAAGAAAGTTGGAATTAACCGCGCCTCCAATCCCAAGGTGAGGTCAGGGTAGGGTTGGGTTGGGGTTGGGGTCAACTTGACTCCAAATCTTGGGTGGATTTCGGGTTCCCCCAACTGACTTCAGGTTCGGGTTGGAGGGTTGCAACCCCACCCCAACTCAGGTTTGTTGATTCTGAGTTTTGATTCGCTTTTCACTTCCTGGCCGCGTTTTCATGCGCCGAAGTAAGGTTGGGGTTGCCTGTTTTTCAAGCTTTGTTGTTTGTTGAAGACGTTCATTCCTGTTTGATTGTTGTTTTGACTTCCCGGCAGCGTTTCGTGTGGCTTTCTCTTTTTGATGGTCTACGCGGCTGGAGGGGTGGAGGGCGCCAGGAGGGGCCTACTTGAAGCCTTTTTGTTCGCTGGAAACGATGTTTCGAACTTTGCTTTGAACCCACCCCTGACGCGTTTTCGTGCAACTTTTTCCTTCTTCGAAAAAAAACGTTTTTTCCGAGTTTTCGCGGCTTCGGAGGGGAAGGAGGGTTGACCCCAACCCCAACCCAGAACCCCCGAGGTTTGGGTTCAGGTCAACTCCAATACTCTGAGTTGGGTTTGGGTTGAATTGAACCTCTAACCTCGATGCGTCTAACTTGAGTTTATGGCTGGAGAAGACGTTTCGTAGAGTTCTCACCTTCTTGCATGGAAAAAACGATTTTCTGAGGTTTTGGAACCTGAGGTTGCGGGTTCGGGTTAACCTGGTTGTGGTAACCTTTGCGTCGGGGTTTGGGTTCGGGTTAACCACCAAAGTTAGGGTTGGGGTTGACCCAGACCCCAAACGGGTTGGGATTAACCCCAACCTTTTTGCCTCTGTTTCACTTTGTTGCGAGTTCTTTAATTGAGTTTGCTCTGTTAAGTTTGGGGACTGAGCGCTGCTGCCGCAGGCAACGAAGCTCGAGAGCCAGCAAGAAAGTTGGAATTAACCGCGCCTCCAATCCCAAGGTGAGGTCAGGGTAGGGTTGGGTTGGGGTTGGGGTCAACTTGACTCCAAATCTTGGGTGGATTTCGGGTTCCCCCAACTGACTTCAGGTTCGGGTTGGAGGGTTGCAACCCCACCCCAACTCAGGTTTGTTGATTCTGAGTTTTGATTCGCTTTTCACTTCCTGGCCGCGTTTTCATGCGCCGAAGTAAGGTTGGGGTTGCCTGTTTTTCAAGCTTTGTTGTTTGTTGAAGACGTTCATTCCTGTTTGATTGTTGTTTTGACTTCCCGGCAGCGTTTCGTGTGGCTTTCTCTTTTTGATGGTCTACGCGGCTGGAGGGGTGGAGGGCGCCAGGAGGGGCCTACTTGAAGCCTTTTTGTTCGCTGGAAACGATGTTTCGAACTTTGCTTTGAACCCACCCCTGACGCGTTTTCGTGCAACTCTATCCTTCTTCGAAAAAAAAGTTTTTTCCGAGTTTTCGCGGCTTCGGAGGGGAAGGAGGGTTGACCCCAACCCCAACCCAGAACCCCCGAGGTTTGGGTTCAGGTCAACTCCAATACTCTGAGTTGGGTTTGGGTTGAATTGAACCTCTAACCTCGACGCGTCTAACTTGAGTTTATGGCTGGAGAAGACGTTTCGTAGAGTTCTCACCTTCTTGCGTGGAAAAAACGTTTTTCTGAGGTTTTGGAACCTGAGGTTGCGGGTTCGGGTTAACCTGGTTGTGGTAACCTTTGCGTCGGGGTTTGGGTTCGGGTTAACCACCAAAGTTAGGGTTGGGGTTGACCCAGACCCCAAACGGGTTGGGATTAACCCCAACCCTAATTCCGGGTTAAGGTTGGGGTTAACCTGAACCCCGAACCTGGGGTTGAGGTTGGGGTTGGTTGGCCCGCAGGCCACAGCTACGGCCATTTGCGTTCCGCCGCCCCACTGGCCGAGGTTGTGCCGACCAGCCCAAGAGGACTGGCCCACGCGAGTCCGTCATTTGCTGTCCATTGTGGATGCGTCCCTGCAAGCGTGCCGCCCGGACAGTACAGGCGAACAGCGCGGCTGATACCCTGCACTGCGTGCTTCCGGGATATCGCATCCTAATGAGCTTGCCTGCCGGCAGCTGCTGACTGCGCATATTGCCACCATTTTGCCTTCCTGTGCTCCTCGGTGCTCACATCACGCTAAGACAAGCTGAGATGGACATGATTCAACAAGAAGCGATGTGTGGCAACGGAAGAATTGTTGGAAGCGTTTTTGCCCAAATTCGAGAGTCCATTTCGATTTATCGAGCCTTGAAACGAAGAGGGTTTCAGTTTGGAAACATTTTTTCGGCTTGTCAATAGACTCTTTAAAGCCCAAAAACTGCGGAATTCTGCCGGAGAGACTTGCGTTTGAAGGTTTGCCCGACGTGCGAGGACCGGTGTAATTGATTGATGGGCTTGTATCTCAAAGCACAGTTGTTGGCCACAGTGGCCCAATCAGATGCAGTGTCACTGTTGTTTCAGCCCACACTTGGAGTTTCCGCAAGCGAACGTCCATGTTAGACCGCATTTGGATCTTCTCCGACCCGCATTTTGGAAAGTTGGATCTGCGATCTCAGGCCGTGAACCATGTTCCACAGTCAGCAGACGTTCAAAGCTGGCTGTGTGCATTCTTTGCTCAGTACGGTCCACGGTTTTGTGATGATGGAGCAAACAAGCATCGTTGCGGCTTGTTCCAGCTTTTTGCACTTTGCCAGCAAAGCTCACACCGTTGCTGTGGACTTTTGGAACTGGGTGTTAGACGTTCGGAAAACATGATCGATGCGACGATAGCGCTTGGACTTGAGCACAGAGCTTTGAAGGTCGGATCTCACGAAAAAGCTGCGCGGAGAGTGTAACGGAAGGTTCAAGAACTTGTGAGGGCCTTACTTTTTGGTCGCCGGTAAGCCTGACCCAACTCTTCCAATTTAACTTTTCCAAAGCATCCGCGAAGAAAAATTCAGAAACTAAATTATCATCTTACACGTGGGGGATAGGTCTGAGGCACGAAGAAGCCGCACGTTTCCGATTTCGAGTGGCAAAAGCGAAGAGGATGAACAGAACCTGAAATAAATGGCTTCCGAAATAACAAGAGTTCGTTCACTGTTGGAACACACACACACACACGCATTCGTTTTCTAAGGACAAAAAGGATTCGTTGTTACTTAAGGCTGTCAACCAGACAGCCGCATTGGAATGATGGTTTCGACACACCTGCAACCTGCAACGGATGCATCGCATGAAGCTTCCATAGTTTACGTTTACACGTGTCATCGTTTCTTCGAAGCTGACAGTGGCGGTGAGCAGAAGGTGACGTTTGGCCTGAGGCTGTCACACACCATCCAGTGTTGCAAGCATCAACCAAGCAGCAAACATTTTTGTATGTTCTTGGCAGCAGCATGCATGATGGCGTGGTCTCATGAAGCGACTGTGTGGACCATGCGCTTTACAGCAAGTGGCAAGTGTGTGAAGGAGAAGCAGCTTTGATGCGTAAACATGCATTGCCATATGCAGCACGACAAACGGCTGCATGTATGTCCATCGTCCTTGACATGCTAGTGCGGCAACAGCGTATTGGAGAACTCGATCTAAAACATCCCGATGGAGCGGCAATGTTCGAGACCTGATTCTGTCTTTGCAATAATGCCTAGTGGTGAAGCCACTCGCAAGAGTTGTATCGACGCTTTTCGAAAGGACGGAGAGCGATGTCTTTCGGTATCGATTGGTTGGCATGGCATGTCTTGGCACGTAGGCCAAGCAGTTTGACAATGTCGTTGACATCCCAGCCACCCGCAAGATGCCGCGCAAATCATAGCGTCCACCGCATCGTCCAGCTTCAGCTCGGGACTTGCTGATGGAGTTGCTTGCACGCAGAAAGCTGTGAGGTGTGATTGTCATGGACCTGGGAATGTTGTTGTGTCGTTAGTTGCAAGATGCTGCAAGGCAGCAGTTGCCGGCAGAAAGCTGAAGTCGTTGCGATGGAGGCTCCAGCGCGGCCAAACGCTCTTGTACATGCTTCCACAATGTTTAGTATGTTTGCAACTGGTCAGGAAACACAAGCTCACCAGGATGCAGAAGAGGCTTCGCTGTTTTTCAAATCTTGCCGTTGTTCTGCAAATCGCAGGAATCTTGCCGCAACATGGAGCATGGCTTGCCAGGTAGTTGAAGTGCAACCGCCCAGTCATGCAGATGAAGCTGCTGAAGCCTTCGAAGAAGAATGTCCAACTGACGATGACACTTTGCCAGAGGCGTTCCGCATATCGGAGAAGTTACCTTGAATCGCCCAGTCGCTCACGTCGCCGGGAAATGCCGGAGGAGAAAGTCCTGAGCTTGAGCTGTCATCAATGTCAACGATTGCTTTGTCGACGCGGCATGCGTGGTCGACTCAGTTTGACATGCAGTTTGAGCTTGCGCGTGCTGCTTTGGAGAAACGTGGTGCTGGTGTGCAGAAAGAAACATGACACACTTGACCGGCTGTTTGCCATTCTTTGTCTGTGGCTTGTCTATCGTAGTGACTTGGAATGGGCACATTTCTTGGCAGAAGGGTTGGCTGATGCTTCTGAGAGTGTTCCAGGTGTACATCTTGTATGTGACGAACGAGTTTCGCTGTTTTCAACCGACTTTCGTCCGATGCACGTTACGGAGGCGAGGTCCAGCCAAAGCATTGGACATGCATGACATGTAGACTGCAGACCACTAAGCGATTTTGGCAAGGCTGACGAAGAAAGACTCCATGGCGCTTGCGAATGCCGTGTGCGGGACATGCAGCTTAATAGCCACCGTCGGCCTGTGGGGTCACGTCAGCTTACGAGTAGAGGGCTCAGACCCCAATTTTATTTCAGCTTGCTTTGGGAGACAAGGCTCATCCTTCCCAAGGACCCGCAGAGACCTGCCGCATGTTTGTTTGGGGAAAAATCTGAGTAGCGCGAGCAGGCTCACTGGCGCTACTTTGCTTGGCGCTTCGCAACTTGATGCATCGCGCTTCTACACTCTATCTACACGGTTTACAGGCGAAAGTCGTTTCAGCCGCTCGCGGGCCTTCCGTGTGCTCGGAGTCACCGAAGTTCTAGCTCACTCTGAGGTCTTCAGAAAATTTCTCTTGTCAGTGCCATGCATATTTTGGAGGCGCATTTTTTTGTCGCCACAGGCGTGTGATGGCCCGTGCAGGTCCAGCTCCCGAAATCGTGCACCCTGCAGCTTCGACATGCTGCGACTCGTGTCTGCGTCTCCAAAAATCCTGCTCTCGCCGAGTTCCACCTCAGTGATCTGCGCATAGATGCTCCTTTTCGCAGTTGGGGGTTTACGATGGCACAGTGGTGCTGGATGTTGAAAGCTGTCATGTACGCCGTTTCTGCGTTCCATCAGCCGCGTGGCAATAGTTTGGAGATTCTGGCCCCGTGCCGCTGCACGGTGCGTTTGTTCAGGACGTTATTTGTGCATGCGAACATCGCGTTGGCTACCATGTCATCCTGCCGTGCTCCAAGCCTTTGTTGATCCCTATGAGCAAAACGCAAGTGAGGTTTTTGCACAGCTTTGCAGGGACAACTCGCTAGAACTTAGAAGAAAGCGGAGCCACAGCCAAGGCCGTGCAGGCGTTTGCCTTAGTGCCTCGAGCGCCGGAGAACATGCATTCCGCTGCCTTGTGGTGTCTTCTTGTCGTGTCGATATCCACCCAGGGGGTGCTCCTCTGCCAGATGCGGGCTCAGTTGTTGTGTGTCGGTATACCTAAGCTCAGATTGCTTGAGATGTTACCTACATTCAACACCTGCAGTCTGCCAATCTTGGAAAGGAAATCGTAGTCCCAACCCTGCTATAACTCAGAACCTTTAGCCTTAACCCTGTGCACGCGTTGCCTGCCAGTGATCCGGCACGAGAGCAGGGTTGTGGTGTGCAGACGTCAACGATGGTCTTGTTTTGATGTCAGCCTTTCAGCAATCGATGCTAGTCGCGCTTGGAGCAACGGCGAATGTAAAGACTTGTGTCGCTTTTAAGTCAGCTCTGTGCCATCATGCTTTCCATCGGTGCGCATGGGGCGAGACCAACCAACTCTGTCACAGACTTCCTGCTGTGTGTGGAGCTGCTCGGCCTTGAACATGCGCAAAAGCCTTTGTCGGTCGGATCTGTAGGGATGATGCCTCGGGCGTTCCCGGGTATCTGCAGGCTTACCACCTGTCTGGTCATCTGGCTTCGATCAAGGCCGAAAGTGGTGAAAAAACATGCTGCCAGAAAGCATTAGACGAAGAGCCGTCAGCCAAGTCTTATTCCGACATTCTTGAGAGAGGCCAGGTTGAACAATGCTGAAGCTTAAGCATGTGTTTGGTTTCCATGATGCAAGACCCTGCTGCGACTGTAGAAGGAGAAGGAAATAGACTTTTCTGCTTCTCTGACTGTACATAGCTTTTGTAGTCTGTGGCCAGATTTGCTACCACGTTTCTGTGACGGCTCTCATTGTCTCTTTACGAGGAGGGGTGCAGAGCGCAGCACTGTAGGGCACTTTTCGAATTCCGAGGCGCTGTTCAATTCCTACGCGCTGAACCTCCTTGGCGGAGCGGCTTGGACCGCCTCAGGCCGCGAGATCCTGCGACATCTTGCCAAACCAGCTGCATGTGCATTTGCCAGCCAGACTGCACGTTGCATGTCGGAATCTTTCAGATAATCCGCGACGAAAGTAAGGAGCCGTATGGCCAGTCCAACAGATGTGATTGGGAGGCATTCAAACGTAAATTAACTTGCATTCCCAAAGATGTTCCGACCGGGTTTCGAAGCTCCACGACCGGTTCCACCAGATTGTCCGCGCATTGACCATACATGGACGCTGCACACCACGATGAGGATGTCTCCCGGCCACATGTTTCATGTCTTGGACTCTAGGAAGGAGGCAAGTCAACCCAAAGCACAGACTTCGACCATGGTGGCTAGAGAGCGGCTGTGAGTTGCCTGCTTTATATTTGCATGACCAGCAATCTACACTTGGCAGGTGTGTATGTTCATCTCTTCGAGCCGCTGCCGCAGGAGCTCGACTCAAGCGAATTAGTCAGAAAGGAAAGGGCATCCGAATGGACAGGAGCCAACAATCGCGTGGCAGATTTTCCTCAACATGGGTGCCACCACTCCATTTCTTTTCCCACTGGCTTGGGCCTCATGCGATTGACATTTCCAGTTCTGCAGACTAGCCCCTAGACAGATGCTGGCAGGCCCTGCCTCTTTGTGCAGACAAATCGCCGTCAGTACGGGTGTTTAGACATGCGGTGAGTGATGAGATGTGATGAGAAGACCAGAAGGCACAATTCGAAGCCCTCAATCAGAATCAGAGTCAGAGCAGGCGAAAACTTGCGACACCCAGAAGCGTGAGTTTCGTCATATGTTTTCAGGCGCTTTTTCTTCGACAAGCTATCTCCTCTAGTTCTCAAAACAGAGGTCTTCGTCAAGGTTGTCCTCTCTCACATGATCTTTTCAGTTCTGTTCTTACTCACATCTTCGAAGATGTGGAACTGTATGTCGGAAATCATGGCATCAGTTCGGGAGTCCTTCGTTTGGGCATCTCCTTGTGGGACTTGGAATATGCGACCGACACTGTCTTGTTATCCAACTCCTTTACTAGCGCAGACATGTCTCCACCTCATACAGAAGGAAGGAGAGCGCAGGGGCTTGTACCTCAACCTCGATAAATGTGAACATCTCGTCTCGATTCCTCCTCGCTTCAATCGATGGAGTACCCCACTCCGACGCAGTAAAATATTTAGGCTCAGTTTCATACCTGCATGTGCGATTTCTATGAGCCCTTTTATAAGTTGCCTAGCAGGTCCCGTTTCGCTTCATTATATATGTTTGGACTGTGATATGAGTTGATTGAAGGATTACTTGCGAAAGAAAGTATATTGGATCATGAAGTCAATTTGATTATAAGGCCTATTTTGGGCAGGTCTGGACCTATCTGTTCTGCTTGGGTGCCTAGGGTTTAGGTCCAGTCAGGCTTGGTCTTTAGGGTTTTAAGCTTACTCTGGGTGGTCTTTCGGGTTTACGTACTACTCTGGTTTGGTCTTGAGGGTTTAAGGCCTACTTTGGGCTTGTGTTTAGGCTTTTTGATGTTTTTGTTTAGGCTGGTTTTTTGTGCTTGAAACCTTCCTTACCCAAACAGAGTAGGCCTTCAACCCGAAAGACCACCCCATAGTCAGCCCTGAAAACCAAGCCAGATTAGACCCGAAAGCTTAAAGACGAGGTGTTTATTTCGACCTTCAATTGCGGACTTGACTCCGTTACCCTCAAGAGAAACACCTGAAACCTCAAAAGAGTAGATGCCTACTACATCCGGTTTTTGAGAAGAAAAGTCGGCATTGAAGCGTCGTTTACTTTCATGCCACCGCAAACATTCTATAGCGCACCGCAGGATATCCCCGAAAGCCCTCCGCCAGCTGAACCGCCAACTATCGAAATGCCTTGCCAATCCTGAAGAACCCGAACACCGTGTAGTATTCAGTTCGGCGTTGGGGAAGACGCAGAAGTATGCAATTTCCTTCTTAGCGAAATACCACCACGCAGCGTTTCTTCCCAGAAGAGTGGAGGGCCGACCCTGGTAGAGGTATTTTTGGACCTCATGTAGATTACGCGGAATTTAATAAAAAAAGCTTAAGCGAGACCGGAAAAGCTCCGAGATGGCGCCGCTGCGCGCTTCAACAAGACGCGCAGTGCATCTTGAAAAACAGGCCAGACCAGAGTCGGCTTCAAACCTGAAGGCCCCAAGCCGAACAAAGTAGGTCCTAAACCCTCAGACTTCCTCGGACCTGCCCAGAATAGGCCTTGAACCTGAAATCAAAACCTGCTGAAGAAGCCTTCAACCCAAAAGACCGCTTTTTGTTGCAAGCGCAGGGTCCAAACTAGGTCCCGTCTGCATCGACCACTCATATGCGCTTATGGGGTTTGCGGCTTGCTTTGTGTACAACCCTAGTCCCAGAAGCTCTTTGTCTGGCAAGTTGTGGTAAAGAGGAGTGTCGTCCATCCATACTAGAATTTGCGAGGAATGCACTTCTTTGATCTGCAGAGCAGTGGGAAGGGAGTAGAAGGAAGCCCAATGGGGATTGGAGCATCGGGTGTTTATAAAGAAAGATGGCCCAGGATGGTGAGTCTCCTTGGGCGTACATCTGGGATGGGGTAGTCACCCTCTGCGAGGAGAAGGGGAGATCAGCTGAGTATTGATTGGAGCACTGGTCGTTTGAAGGATTGAGAACCCGATGCCAAGAGGACGGCGTAATTTTAAAGATGCGGTGCAGGCTGGACTACTGATCCATAAACCAGGAGTTTCCAACTAACTGGACGGGAGAAGTCCGAGTTTCATATGAATGGAGAGTTTTATTTCTTCCACCGCTCTGGGGACACGTGTGGAGACACTATTGCTAGACCGAGATAAACCCCTAGATGTTTGACAGCATCGGCTGGGGGGCACCCTGGGTCAAAACAGATGTGGTTAGCAGAATTCAAACGTAAATGATCACACTTGTCGAAGTTGAGATACGGCCTTCGTCGGGCCCTTTCAGTTGGATAAGATGAGGGAGCCCAAAAGACCACATGTGAGGGCTGGCCCTTTGATTTTCATAGGGTCTTTAGGGTTTACTCGCACGTAGTCTTTTGGGTTGAAGGCTTGTTTACTAGGTGTTTATGTAGGGTTTAGGGCCTATTGTGGGCTGGTTTTAGGGTTTAAGACCTACTTTGTTGTATTTGGGTTTCCAGGGTTGAGGTTCTACCTTGGGCTGGTCTTTTGGGTTTGGGGGCAAGTTTGTTTTGGCTTCGATTTTAGGGTTTAGGGCTTGTTTTGGTTCGGTTTTTGGGGCTTTCTTTTGAAACCTAGTCTGGCGGGATCTTCAGGGTTCAGCATCGATTTTGGCCTGGTTTGTTGAGGTTGGGGTCAACAGGGTTGGCTTTCGGTTTAGGGTTCAGCACCGTTTGGCAGGCTTTTAGGGTTTAAGACCTACTCTGTTCAGTTTGGGTCTTTACCTTAGGGTTTCAGACCGATTCTGGTGTGGAGTTTCGGCTTTAGGATCCTTGGGTTTTTAGGGTTCAGGGCGTACTTTCGGGTGGTCTTTCGGGTTTGGGGCCTACTCTGGTTTGGTCTTGAGGGTTTAGGGTTTACTCTGGGATGGTGTTCGGGGTTCAAGAGATTCGGCTTTAAACCCTAAACATCCAAGCAAAACAGAGTAGGTCCCACACCCTCAAACCGTTAAACCTGCTCAAAACAAGCCCTCAACCCTGTATAAACCGTCATCCTAAAAGACTACACTTGAGTAAACTCTCAGCCTTAAAACCCAACCCAAGCAAAATGATTTAGGGTTCAGGGGCTTACTCTGGGGTGGTCTTTCGGGTTTAGGGCCTATGATCTTTAGGGTTTACGATTATTTGGTTGGGTTGGTTTTTAGGGTTTCGGGTTTACTCAATCGTGTTTATGAAGGGTTTCGCGCCTATTTTCGGCTGGTGTTAAGGTTTAGGACCGACTGTGTTCTATTTGGGTCTAGGGCCGACTCTGGCTTGGTTCTGTTTGGGCTGAGGTCTAGTGCTGGTCTTAAGGGTTCAGGGCTTACTCTGGCAGCTTTTGCGGGCTCCGTGCAAACATACCATGCAGTCGACATTGCCTTTCCCCAAAACCCCAAACCCTAAAAACTTGGCGTTCATCCGCATCGTAATCCGGAATGAGCTGAATAAAGCCATTTCGATTCGTAGGCGACAGTATTGTTGTATGCGCCTCGTTTGTCAACAGGTAGCATGAGATCCTATCGACCATCGGCAGATTAAGGTCGTCCGCGGACGCAAGCCTATATGCTCATACACAACCCAGCAGGCACATGCATAAGGCTTTGGACCAGGTTGCATACCTGCACACAGCCGTATCTCAAAATCCAGCACACTTCAAGCAAGTTGTAACTAATGAATTAACGAAAATTTCCAAGCACAAACATGTGTTCTCAATTTGTTTCCATGGTGTTTGTGCATATCAGGAGAGTATGTATGTTTCTTACATCTGCAGCTTATCCTGATGTTTGATCTTGCAGAAATCTCCTGCAGATACAACCTTGATCATGTCTGGGGCATGCTATCACAAACAAGGATCACGAAGCAGTTTCTTGTCGGAGCAACACGTTCACTTAAAGCAATCATTTTTGGATTTCAGCATTGCTTACACGGTAGCATACTACATTGCCAGTTACTGTGAAAAAGGTAGACAGAGAGCCATATCAGTTCATGTGTTGTCAGATGATGTCATGCGTACTCATCTGTATTTGCATACGACCAGTGATACAGCAATGTAGTCGCACAGAATGATGTTTGCCGCAATTGTCGAACATACACATACCCATTACGCAGAGCCTTAAGTAGCCAGTCCTTGTCGCACGTAGTCACAAAGTAGCCGCAGCCGGAAAGTGTTGTCACTTCTAGTTTTTCTGGTCATGGACGGTTTTGTGCTGGCAGCCAGCATAGTGCATAGTAACATGTAGCCAAGTCCGCAATCGCGAATGTACTTTAAGCACATATTGTGCAATCACCTAGCATCTCGAGATACTCCATAGTCAAAAGCATCACCCAAAGCCATACAGCTTCAAATGTAATCACATACAACCATATTTTTCCTCATCAGCATACACACATATACATATCTTGCTTCCTTTTTGCATGGCCCCTTCCTAACTTTCCATACATCCAGACCTACAGCCGCACGAAGCCACACACAGTCACATGTCTCACATTGTGTCATCTAGTATCATCTGTGCTGCAATGTAGGTTTTCACCATGTACACACATGTATATCTGTGTTTGTATGTACATACACACATACATATATATATGGTACCCCCCCTGAAACCCCACGCCTCAGATTTGCAGAAGCGCAGATTCGCAGATTCCCAGGTTCCCAGGTTCGCAGATTCGCAGATTTGCAGATTCGCAGATCAGACAGATGCCAGGCTCGAGTCATAGGGTTTGTGCATTCTGCGAATCTGCAAATCTGCGAATCTGCGTTTCTACGAGTCTGCCAATCTGCGAATCTGAAAGCCTGCGAATCTGTGCCAACCGTGGAACATCATGACATCCGGGTTTCATTTCTTCTCAAGCACAGAGGCTGCTACATCTGCGCATACAGAAATCTGGTAGTGCAAAGGCAGGAAAAATTTGTTGTTCTGGTTTTAGAACAGACCCTGCTTGCTTCTTTTCAACGAAAATCCAGATGATGGCATCATTCAAAAAGTTAACCTATGTCAAAGCTTATTACATAATTGAAACACAAAGTAAACATCCCATTCTATAGTGTTCTGCTTATATCTTCATTTTCGGTAGTCACGTACCAGAATAGTTGTCCTTTGGCCATTCATCAATCCAACTCATGTATAGGAACCCATTATCATTTCCAAAATGAAGCTTCTAATTTGCATGCGGGTGTAGCTAAGTGCATGCCGGTTCAATTGTGAACGATCCGAGACCGAGACTGTCACACAGTGTTCCGTAGTTTTCTCTTAATACCATGACGAGATGAGCGTCATGTAAACAGCTAGCCAATTCAACCGGTTTGAGCACATACGAAGTCTACTTGTTGCCAAGCCTAGTAGTTGTTTTTCACCTTTTTTTGTATTCTGACAGCCCTATGCTAGAGGCAAGAAATTGAAAACATATGGGTTGGTGAATGGATGCACTTGGCCCGTGATCGAAACATGACTAGATCATGGAAATGTAGATATTTAGCTAATTCCAGGTGCTTACACAGTGATTGTGTATATCACAAAAACGTTGATTTACTCGTCACCTAATCTACGTAGTGGCAATATTTGTTCGTGGTATATCTGCGCTTTCTTATTTTCGTGAATGATAGAAGTTATCAGTTCTGACAGTAAACTGAACGATTTGTTTAACTGTTTGGCCCTTGCTTGAATTGACCCATGTAGGACTCCAGCGCTTTTGCGAATATTAATTATCACGCATACATTGAATACTACGAACCAGGACGAGGGACAGGTGATATCAGTGGCCAGTAAGGATTTCTATTACGGACTACTAGTACTCATACCACCACCCAAGCTAAAAGAACTGCGTTGAGCGTTGGCAACGATGGTAATATCTGATGCCAATACTCGTAATAATGTGGGAGCAGGTAGTGCTAGGAGCAGACTTGGTTTCGAGAATGTAGTGCTGCGGTGAATTGCAGGCCGCAGGCCACAGACATGGAGAATTTCAGGGTTCGTGGGCTGCAGAACAGGCCGAACCCAAATCCCGCCTAATGTTCTGCACGCCGGGCCCAATACTAATTTCAATTCTCAGGGGTGACTTCCTACAAGAGGAAAGGATTAAGCTGATGTAGGGAAATTAGCTAGTTAATGGCTTCAGAAGACAGCAGGCTTCCATAACTTCGTACACATGCTACGTCATCCAAATCATGTCATATTGTGAAATGAGTCAGCTAGTCAACAGCCAGGTTCGCTCAAACTCGCACAGTATTACATTACATGTTGTAAGATGTCAAAGCACATGTCACAATTCAGCTGTTTTCACGAGACCTTCATGAGCATGAGCGCCTCATACACCGTTTCCGGGCATCTAGCATGGACTGTAGCCGCAGCGAGGTACAGTACAATATTCCCGGAGGGTCCACATATACTACCATTATGGAATCAGGTCTCCAAAGCCATAATTATATGTGGACCCTTAGGGATTACGGCCGTTTGTCGGAACGATGGGGCCGCCTGAAGGTAGAGGAGGGGACCTGGAACCTACACGCATGGCTTCGGGACTGGGGCTTAGGGCTTGGGGTTTAAGGTTTAAGGTTTAAGGGTTTATAGGGCTTAAGGCTTACGATTGAAGTTGTTATTTGTCCGTCTGTCTGCCAACCAGAAACACGCCGCCATTTCTTTTTCGGTGTTTTTCTCCGGAGCTTATTTGGTTATCTGTTTCTGTTTGGCTGGCTCATACAAACAATATCTGAGGAAGCATATGTTGCGGAATTTCCAACCAAGCAATCAGTTCTTACAACTTGGCAGTGAGGAATGGGAAAACTAACTAGAGTGGTTCTTAGTCTGAAATATTGGCCAGCACGGAGATTGATGTTTAGTTTTAGGGTGGCTCATAACATGATACGGGCGAAGAAATTGGAGAGGTTGGGAAGGTGGGCTCCCACCCTGCTATGAAAAGAATGTCAAACAAGTACATGTCTGTTCTGAACGTGGGGTTTCAGAGGGGGGGTGTGCAGCATATATATATATATATATACATATATATATATATAAACATATACATATACACACACGGTTATGTACATGTGCTTGTGCAATGCAGCATGCACATGCGTACATAATTAAGTTCAACTGCATAAAACATGTATATGTGCATCCATATGCACCTTTTCACGTGGAAATAGCCCTGAGATCCGATCTCCACAACCGCGTCCAGTTTGTCAACCTTGCATCCTCCTGCCAGGATTCTGTTTACCGCCTATGTTCGATTTCCAGGTGTGGGTATATGAGTATGAGGAATACAGAAATACTTGTTTTGTCAGTTGGCGTGTATCAAATTACATCGGGTCTTGCCAGATGTGATCCGGTATTCCGTCCTGACTGCATACTTCGATATGTAGTGAGAGCAGCAATGGAGCCGCAAACTAGGTGATCTGGAAATTCGGCTGTATCGCATCGCTCACCGAAGATTGAATAAGAAGTGCAATTTGAAAGGACCCCATGCAGTGAGGCTGACTGCCTGCTCCTGTCGCCTTGATGGGATCGATCGTTGGTCTGCAACTTCGCCCCTAATTATCCTAATTCCTCCAATGGAAAGCATGCTGCGCCATTTTCGCCTTTGGCTTCTGCGGCCAATCCTGCCTCCGGGCTTTCCGCATGATCTCACAGGACCAGAACTTTTACAAAACCGTTTACTCGCCGCATCCCTGAATATGCACCCAGACGTACACAAAATAGCCTGCATCAAAGAAGTTAATGAGTGACGGAACAGCAAATCGGGTTTCTAACTAAGGCTTAGTAAGGACGGCGAAACGTTGAAGCAATTCCCTTTCGAGGCAAAAGCAGCAATGCCGAGCCGATCCACAGTGGCGAGAAATATTGCCCCAGAGCACACCCGTCACGAAGCCGAATTGTCAATTCGTGTTACAAGGAGACGAATGGCGAAAGTCCGTTGAAAATTGTAACCCTTTTACTCCTACGAACAGAACAAACCAAACACTGGAACCGGCTTTTTGCACGATGAAGTGTGACACCCTCCCCATCCATGGATAAGTTAGAGAGCAAGCAATGGTTTGACGAAGGAAAAAGACAAAGCAAAGCGAGAGAGGAATCCGCTGACGGACTGTCTCGCAAGTTTCACTGCCTGACAAGGTGGTGCGGGATGCCTTCTACCGGGACACCATCTCGTCTAGTGCTGCAAGACTGCAGGAACCCTTGCAGCAAGCGGATGAGCCCGGCGTTTTTTAAATTAGCTTGCAAGTTTTTTGTGTGTGTTTTGACATGAGCAGACATCTTTCCACTACTAACAAATGAAGCAAGCCAGATGCATGTGAGGACATCAGTGCTGCAGTTTGTGCGCTGTTGTATGCATTGCTTGCCTGGGGAAGCTTTGATCTGGCTGGAAGGAGTCTCGGCTGTGATAGCATTATCCAGGCTGTTACCACTGCAGTTGCAGATTGCTCCATTCTTGAAGGAAGCTCCCTCCGATCCCTGTTTCGCCGTGGCATGCGATAGATGGGCGCAGCTATGCCGCCCGGCGCAGTAGCCTCTGTGTGAGACGAAGAGAGCGCATGCAAGCATCGCCGCCAGTCAGCAATCGCCTGCCCATATTGATCTTTCTCGGCAAGACAGCATCCAAGTTGCCGTTGAAACGTAGTTTCGGACGAGGCGAAGCCACTCAGAGATACGGTCTTGGGGCGGATTTTTGGCATCTTCAGATGTGAGATGTAGGAGTCTCAGGGCAGGCCGGCGCACGATGCGATCGACCTTAGAGTGGTACTGTAACGTCCTGCTCTAGCACTCGACTTGTAAACCCAAAGCTGATGCAGACTCAAAGATGCCTGGCCCGGGTACACACCTGCGAGATAACACACAGCCTGGCTGGGTGTGGTGACCTGCAGCTACAAGCTTCGCCCGTGTTTCAAGTTGGCGTAACTTTTTCAAGAGTAGACGTGTTTGGCCTGTCTAAGTGACACGTCGAACAAGTTTCTGACTAGGCTGGTGCAGCTTTCGGTGTCAAGTTCGACCTGTTGTCGTCGATGCCATCCGGGCGTTCGGATTCGCAGTTTGCAGCTTGGTGAACCTGGGGAGCATCGTTTTATGTGTACACAGTCTGAGCAGTTTTTGCTGGCCAGTGGCGTCCGAAGCATACTGAGAATTCGACTATCAAAACAAGCTAGATTCCAAGGTCCTCAGCGCCCTCTTCATGGCCTCCAATGCTCTCAGTTCTCTGCTGCTGTTGAATGTCTGCTACAACCGTGCCAAGGCTCGAGTGGCATAAGGGCAAAGGCAAACGGTTGAGAGCTAGTGACTGAAGTGCAAGCAGTCCTCATTCGCTTGTCAGAGTTGTGCACTGAGTAACCGAATCATGTGTAGAGCAGTGCAAGTTTCTCCCCCTCAAAATTTTAATGTCAGTTGACTCAATGTTTCTTTGGAGGACCTTACGACGGCTCAGCAACGCGTGGCACGCCACTTGTGCTCCAATCCTTGGTCTGTGCATGGCGTATGAATGAGCAACAGTCAATGATGGGGGCACATCTGAGGTGTTCTTGCTGTTTTTGTGTTCGCCATGCTCGCAAACTGCCACCTGTTGGCGGTCCTGGTTGCTGGAGGCGTGTGCGGCATCTGTGTTGTGTCAAGCATTCTCGCACAGCCACTTTTACCGTCTAAGTCGGCACCTGCGCATCATCCCAGTTCGGGTCCAGGATATGGCTCACCAGCGCTGCCGTTTCTTGCCAAGAACTTGCTTCGACAGTTCAGTGTGCGCGTGCAAGAATGCCATTCCCTGGCTGACAACACAAGGCTGGACATCTTCCACGTCGCACAAGGTCGCGTGCGCTAGGACATGAAGAGGAAGCCTGAAGCCACCAACACGTTTTCCTTAAAAAGTCTTTTGCTTTGGTTTCTTGAGCTCCGGCTCCCAGGTCTGATTATCGGCATCTGCTTCACCCAGCTACGAGAGGTACTTCTTGAGGACAAGGCAAAGGATGCGTAGAGCCAAGAGCCAGCGCTCCGTTTCTTCTTGACGAGATGTTTGTGCATGCTGGCTTGTCCAACTCATCAGCAAAAGCGATCCATGTGACCTGTTGCTGGTACTTTTTGAAAGTTGGGAGCTCCGCAAGCCGAGCTGAAGCACTTCCTTCAAGTCAGTCCCATCTTTGCACATGTGAACTGAGAAAATTAGGGCAGCAGAAGATGTTCGTCAGCAAGGCCTGCGGTTAGGCCAACTTCGCTTGTTCGAGAAGTTTGTGCCACGCGTGCTGAAACAGCCGCGGTTTTCCTTCCTGGAGAGCTGAGCCTTCTCGGTGGCTCTGTTCAAATCTTTTGCACCAGAGGCTTCCTTCTCCGAAGAATTAGAGTGAGAAACCATAGGTTGATGGAGCTTTGTTGATGGAGCTTTGTATCTCCATCCAGACTAAGAGGCTGGCCGGTGAACTTGCAGGCCTTAGCCAAGGCAAAGCCGGACAAGTGGATGGCCATGTGCCGTGTTCGAAAATGGGTCTGAACTTATAACATGTTTTCCGATGGACGCTGAGTATTGCTTTTTGCTGGTGAAGCAGTCACATGAAGGCGAAGCCCGTGCGTGTGCACAGTCGGTGGATCTCCTGATGGCAGCCCCAGTCAGTCAGCACTTTCGTTCATGCTTAATCTTCTAGGCCACAACGATCACTACTGGCTCTTCGATCAAGGCAACGTGAAGGCCCTGGTTGTCGTGCCCTCCCTTCCGTGCTGAAATGACTTTGCTCTGAGCTTCGTTGCGGGTTTGACTATTTGGTGAAGGGGTTCTGTCCTCTGGAGCATGCCAAGCAGCAAAAACGCATGTCTCAGTGCTGTGTAAACCCGGTGCGCTTCGGGAGACAGGGATTTGAGCAATTTTGGCTTTACTCTTCGGGCTTTGTTGGCGACACGCGCGTTCGTGTACTGCTCTCGTCAACTTCTTGCTGTGACCTTTTGTGGCGTACTCCAGCCCAGCTCAAGCCATGACCCAGGCCTACCAGCACGTGACTCCCCATTCAACAAGAGCAATGTGCACACTTAGTCCACCATTCAGAACAGCAAGGTAAACCTTGGCTCGTAGCTTCTGAGAGGGGCCAGTATCGAGAGTGAATGTATTGCAGCAGCTCCTCTATCGAACGGAAAGTATCCTCTCAACCGAGCAGTGGCGTGTGATATGTGTCCAGGTGGATCAATGCGGAGCAAGCGTGCACACACACACACACACATGCCGTGTGTAAGTCATGCGATTCCAGATGCTGGGTTAGTAACTTCCAGTTGCCAGTAGGTCCTTGCTGATCCTTGCTGAGGCAGTCTCACAGCAAACATTGCGCGAATGCTACTCGGGGCGAGTCGGCCTTGCTGCATGATGGTATTCTGGAGTGCTCGTCGAAGGAGAACAAACGTCCCACCAGCAAACAGGCAAAGGTATGTGCAGACAAGGTCCTATGTGTGTTGTTTTTGCGACTGAGTTTTGCGAAGACTGGTGAAACCATGAGAGCTGTATTGTCACTTCTCGAGCATATCAGGTTGCAGTCCAATCGTTTCTCCCCTCCACATCGTTCACAGAAAGACTGTAATCTGGATGAAGTCAGAGTCGTGGTTCAGTGACCTTCATCACCCACTCACATTCGATCCTATGTTCGAACTGGAGGCACAAGATCGTGAAATAGAAGGCAAGCCGTTGGTGCCGACCTCACTGTCGAGTGCATTTCAATCATGTGACGGTACAGGATGGCCAAGCGCAGAAGGGGAACACAGACGTCGCCATGTCATACTACCAGCAACGAGGTGAATTGAAGCTTCCTAACCGCAGTCTTTCCGGTGGAGAACCAGCACAAGCCGTTTATCATTCATCAAACGTTTTGTCAGCGTGCGAGCTTTAGCCTCTGCCATTCATCTGTCTGAGATGAGCAGGAGTGTCAGTGTGGACTTTGCAAAGGTTTGGACTGATCTTCCCCTCTTTGCCAAGTCCGACGACGAGATCCATGGAGCTGATTCGCAGGATTGCCATGGATAGCCTCTGGCCTTTCTGGTTCTTTACATTTGTAAAAGTCTGCTTTTAAGCGAGGCACCGGCACTGTTGCTAGTCTCAGAAGAATGCTGGCAGGGGTCTAGCTTGTCTGCCATCCGAACGACGACTCATGCTCTTCTTTAAACAGGTTAGGCTCTTCTTCAGAGGAAGTGCAACCTTCCTGACCGACCGAATATTGCTGCTGAAGGACGAAGCCGATGCAGATACCTCTGGGAGGGATCAGCCCGGCACTTGCTGTTGCTTTGATCGTGGGCAGCTTTTTCTGGATGGACTGGGAACCGTTAACGTGGCTGTGGACGCTTCAGTTTGATGATTCTGCCAAGGCTCCAATGCCCCATTTGTCTTGCCCTTGGAGCTTCATGTGGGTTTTCGATGCATTCCAATGCTGCGCAACCTAGCAGTTGCAATTCGGCGGCATGCCGGTACCATTGGCATGGATCTGGATCGTGCATTTGATCACCAGCATACAGCACTGCTTTCCCGCTGATCGAAAACGCTTCCAAACCTTTCAAGTCCGTTAGGCAGGGCGTGCAAGGCCAGGATAAAAGCGCAGCATCTCGAACAGAAGCAAGGACTAGACTCGACCATGGTTTGATCGCTTTCGGTCACCGATAGGTCACGGGCTTCTCTGTGACCCAGTCGCTCCACCGTGCGGACATACAGCCTGCCGGCGATGTCCGGCACTTGGGATAGCCGTGCGGACTCTCAAGCTTTCTGCGGCCTGCGAAGGGATAGACCATGTCGCCAGGCTTGACAAGAGCCCTGGACTTGCGCAGAGAGTGTCCGAGACTCAAGGACTTTGCAAGTCGCTTGCAAAACTGATTTGCATCTGTCGGGGTCGTTGATTGGAGGGATGTTGACGTTCGATCAGCACCTTCGTTCCTGCTCTGATCGTACGGGGTTTGGATGACGACCAGAGGCTCAGCATGGCGTGGCATGGCCGATGCTCTTCTAAGCCTAAGCTCTGTTTGACTGTGGTTTGTCGCCACAAGGCCCATACTGTCGTACTGCGACAACTTGTGCAGAGCTTGCAGTGTTCCGATCTCAGCCTAGCAGCCCCAGGCATTGCCCTTCACTCCCCATTGTCAATTGCAGCTGCAGATTGCAGGTCAGACCTTGCAGATCAAGTCTCCGAGCGGAGGAGAAAGAGTCGCAAGTTTGAGACGCACTCAAAAGTTGAGATACATCGTGTGCGTGAGCTTTCTTCATGCTTTTGAGACGCATTCTTGACCTTGGTTGTGCAAAGATCCAGAAATTGTCGTCTGCTTGTTCAATCAGGCTCAGGTGCGGAATGGTGCAACAGTTCATGATGCTTGGGAGAACTATGGTGTGTGCATATCTTATCAGCAAAACATGGCACAAGGACATGTCGCGATCATGGACCATAGCATAGGCACTGCCTAAACGCGTATCTACCCGAGACGGTCGAGTCGCTTTGTCGAGGCTCCAGTCCACAGACAGGACGCAGATCTAAAACAGCTGCTTTTAGAGCCTTCGACATGGTAGCATCTGAGCCGCCGGAAAGTGGCTCACTCAAAAATTGCTGCGAAGTTCGTGAGCACAGTCGGCACCGAAAGTTTGGGGTGTCGAACAGCCCTCAGGTGGCCTTGGGCAGCCGTCCACCCTCCCACCACAGGCCTGCTTCTCGTGATGACGTTCTGTGCCAACGTAAGAACGTTACTCGTGGCCTGGTCGACATGGCCGGAAGCGGCCTGAATTTCGCTCGCATGTATCTCCGGATGTTACTGTTGTCACGATCGAGACGATCAAGACAGACGACGTATCTACTTCCGCATGTTTCTATTTTGAGAATCAGATGAATCAACTGACACTCGGCTCATAATTTGGTCGACGATGTGATCATGAACAAAGTGTCCCAAGCTGTCGAAGCCTCTTCAGCACTCAAGCCGCAAACGTCCCCACCCGCGCGTAGTACTGAGTATTCAGCTGCGGATAGCATTCGCTCTGCAACAAGGGTGCTGAATTACATTCGCAGGCTTTTTTTATTGCCGAGTTGAGTTTATCGGCCGCTCGCCCTGTTCCAAGATTCCCGTTCAATTTTGCCCGCCATCGCTGTCTGCTCCGTTTCATAATTGCTTTTAAGTCAGCCAGCCACTCTACTCCTTTCTGGGCTTTGGAATTTGCCTTTCCCACAAGCCGGAGCCTGAGCATTGCCAGTCCCAAATCATTCTTGGGGTTTGTGTGGATTTGTGTTCGACTTGAAGGCTTCATTCAGGATCTGGGGTTTGGTTTGCCGCTCGCCTGGCTGCTCCTTGAAGATTTTGGGAGTCAAGCGCTTCTCAAAGAATGCCAATGTCTCTTGCGTGTCTTCACGCCATAGCTGTGTGCACTGCAGTTGTTACTGCAAATTCTTCCCACCCGAGTCTGGGGACAACACTTCCCCGGCTGGCTGCCCACGAAGCTAAGGCCAATGCCAGCGGAAACTAAACGGTTTATTGAGGGTTTGCCACTGACATGGTGGCAATTCCATTTTTGCGTGTAGGATTTGCCACCACTTCCTGCTCGATTCCGGGCTTCACCCTCCGTATGCAGATGACCGACGCCACTCCCCATTCTTTGGAGTCTGGAGTGTGATATTTTTCACAGCTGCTTCGGTTGTGGGGAGGAGTGCCAGTCAGAGTCCTTGTAGCACTATCCGATTCGTTTTCAGTGGTGCTGGCGGTTCGGGGTGTGCCAGTCCTGACAACGGTGCTTTCGGGTTTAGGGTTTTGCCAATGGTTTTCTGGCCAGGCCTCCAATAAACTGCGGAATGTGGGTTTGGGGTCTGCCAATCCTGGAGTCGTTTCCGCCAACGTGCACACCGCCGCCCTCTTTAGGGTTTGAGGTTTGCGACGGGATTGCCAGTTTGCTATTCCTCGCCTCAAGTCATGTTTATGGCTGGGGTTTTGCACCCCTTGAATGTTTTGGGGTTTAGGGTTTGCCACTCCAAACTCTTGTTTTGGTTTTGCGTTTGTGCTGGACCCAAACCCGTTTCGACATCAGGCTTTTGATGTGGTAGTCGTTGCAGCGCCAAACAGTGTTCTTACGTTCGGAGTAAAGAAGATAATGGTTCCTGGCACTTCGTAGCATGCCCGGTTGGTTCCGCTGCTATCGCCACAGTTCAGTGCAAATTGCAGCACTTTGTCGGCACATCGTTCGCGGGCCTCAATGCAGTACGCATTCGCTAGAGTGACGCTCGCATTTTGATGCTGTGCAACAGGGTTAGGCTTCTCGGGCCCTTCGTCACGGTCGGAAGTGTAAGGATTTTGAGTTTAACAGGATGGGAGATCGTGTTCCCGCCAGCATTTCAATTTCCTGGTACGCACACAGTGGACAAGATGGCTTTGGTTTCAGTGGTTTGCATGCGACAGCCTCAGAAGGATTTCCTGGCTCTTGCTGCTCTGTGCAAGCACATGTTGCAGTAACCTGGGCGAGCAGGAGTGCCTCTGGCCCATCCGGGCGGACCAGCAACCCGAGGCGTCGCAGTTGTTTCTTCCCGTTGTTACATTGGTGCTGGCCATCAGCAGGTGGTTCACACGGTAGAGGAGTTTCTAGAGATCTTGCAGATGCAGCGGCACCTGGAACGAGTAGTTGCTCCCGTCTCAGAGTTTCTTCTGATCTTGATCTGAGCTTGTAGCAATGGACGCGTCAAACGAAAATGCAGTCGGGTTTAGCTGTATCGTGCAGCTGCCTCATAGGACCCGATACGGATGTCGCAGTGCCATGAAGGCAGAAGAGGGGCCAGACATGTATCTCTAACCGGCCAGCTTTCGGGTTTGGGGGCAGAAGCCCGTGTGACTAATGTCGCGACTTCACCAATCAATCTACATTAAGATTCCCGGTGACAAGGTGTCTGCTTGCCCCCTCCGAAGCGTAGTCGGTGTAGTCAGTGCGATTCGGCAATCGGGTCTCTCGGGGCTCACAGGGAGTCGTATTTGGACGGGAAAGACGGGGTGGAAGGCAGGGAGCCCATCACATTTGGCTCAGGTCTTGCCCAACGGCATCGAGCTACTTGGCCAGACCCGCGCGCTGCCAGAAGAGTCGTGGCCTTCCAGAGTCCTGCAAGAAGCGTTGCAGTGGAGCACCGCAGCCTCAGGCTTTGTCAAGCAATTGCTGGGTCGCTCGGTGTCCGGGACGTGCTAGGGCGTCTCGGAAAGCAAGTGCCACGCCCAGGATCAAGCAGCATGACACAGTGCATTGCACGTGGCTGTTCTCAAGTGCAGGCTGCAGCTCACTTCAGAGCGCCCTCCTTAATCGGAGTGAGTTGTCGGTTGCTTGGTCTTTAGCCTCCACTCAAGCTGCATAGTTTAGATGCTTACTTCAGGGTCAACAGTCAGGTGGAAAACAAGCAGTGCCTTCCAAAATCAATTTGAAAATCAGGATTGCAGTCAACCCAAATGCACATTTGGTGCGCTCTTGCGGATTTGGGACCGTGGGATTTGTGTCGTCGTCCTCGCTGCCCTCGAAGTCGTTCGATCCAAATATTTCGCAACCTTTGCGGGAGATGGACATGTTTTCCCGGACGCTAGAGTTCTGTGCTGCGTGTGTCATTACGCCTCGAGGCTCGGCTCTGGCACTACAGCGCCCGCAGCAAGGAAAAAGAGATCAAGGTGCTGCGAGCGGCGAGCGGTAGAAGGTGCTCCGAGGAGATGCCACTCGCTGTGTCGGAAGGTGCCCAAATCTCGGTCTCCTCCAGAGACTTGACAGCAAGTCTTTCCGAACGACTTCTGTGCTGTGTCACAATGGGCGAACTGGACGCATCAGTGCCCGACAAAGGATGGAATGGACAAGAAAAGCCTAGCGCGAGTCCTGGTCTCCTGGTCTCCTCTCTGATACGGAAAGGCTGACGTGTTTACGCATGTGGAGCAATCTAGCTGCTGCGACAGGCTGCTCTCCAGCAGGAGTTCCTGGCCCAGGAAAGAGAAGGCAAAGTCAAGGCCATTCTTTTACGGATGCTCGATTCGATCTGGCACCATGCTGTATTCTGCTCGAGTGTGTCAGTCTGATGCACCCCTATACATCTCTGAGCTTCGATGGCAACGCAAGGCGGGTGTATGCGGACAGAAGTGTCCACAGATTCTTGATGCTCTGTGTAATGACAGACATCGGTACCTGCATGAAACCCAGGCAACTCCACCATGTCAGCAACGGTCTCACCTGCAAACGGGTCAATAATATAAATAGCCAACTGAGTAACTTACTAGTTAGCCAGCCAGCACCACCACTACTGCTAGCTGACTAGGTAAGCTTTCCAACTCGCTGACAAATGAGCTAGTTAGATGGTTATCTAACTAGCTAACTGACTGACTGACTCACGGACTCACGGACTCACTGACTCACTGACTGACCCCCTATGACTCCCTGACTCACTGTCTCACTGACTGACTGACCCACTGACTCACTCACTCACTGACGCACTCACTGACTGACTCAGTGACTGACAAAGTAAACGAAGTAAGTATCTAACCATCTAGCTAACTAACTAGCTAACCAACTAACGAATAACTAAGCAGCCGACCAACCTATCACACCAGCGGCGCAGTGCAAAGGATGCAGCAGAGGCCATGAGTCAACAACAAGCAGGTTGAGTCCAAATCTCCAAACTGCTTCAGGCAAGCCTTTCAGCGAACGGAGGACATCGCGTAAGTGCTCGTATGCCGGACACTTACAAATACAAACACACAAAATCAAACAAACAAACTAACACAAACAAACACAAACAAACACAAGCAAACACAAGCAAACACAGACAAACACAAACAAACACAGACAAATTCAAACAAACACAAGCAAACACAAACACAAGCAAACAAACGAACAAACAAACATTTTGACTTTGACGCTTTGCGTAGTCGGAGCTACAGTGAACATAACCCGGCAGTTGCGTGGCCATGTCACAACGGATAAACACTACGATCATGGAATGTTAACTTGTGGCGGATTGATGTGGAAATCGAATCGCCACTTCCTGGCTGAACGTTGCATAAACAGATCTTGCAGGTGAGCGCGTGGGTCAGGCTCACACACATGACGTATGCGGTAAGAAATGCCTTTGGTAGGGCGACTGTAGCCCAGGACGTACAGACTCCTGCAATTGACAACGAAATCCCCTGGGAGGAGATCAACCTTCGCACGTTTCCTGAACCATTTCAGGGCAGCTTGAAAAGTGCGCAGATCCTCAGCAAACGTGAATGCTTCGAGCGGCAAATCTTGTGTGCATCTGTCCCTCATCGCATATGCGGGTCCCTTGCCATCCCGGAAACGATTGACATTCACAGGAGGGCGCGTCCCCGTGGTAAAGATGAAATTCACGAGAAGTTCGGTCATTGATGTATTCGCATGCAAGTGGCTATGAGCCCACTGTAAGCCGTTGGCCCATGTCAACAGGGCAACTGCAAACTCATAAGAGTACGGGCAAAGCCTCAAAGCCTCATCGTCAACTAAGGCGACATGCGAGAAACATGCAGTGGACACATCCAAGATTGACACATCAAACCGCGTGGATGCACGCTTTCCAGCTGTTTTTGCGAACTCGTGTCGAGCACACTGGATCAAAAAGGCATGGTACTGTTTGACAACATTTCGTAACTCCTCTTGTTTAGCATTCATCGCACGCAATTGGTTGAACGAGAAAAGTGCTGAATCACGCGCCGCACGCTTTGCAGCAGCATCTGCAATGTGATTGTAATGCCGGCACTTGTCCAACAAATCTGGAAGCACTGTCGTTAAACTCACATGGGCTTTAACCTTTAGGATGGACACCGACTGCGCCGGTCGCTCAACCACTAAGGAATCAAAAACCTCCCACAAATCCTCGTGCTTCATCAGTGGTGGGCTGGAAGGCTGTCGCAAACAATCCATCCGAGCACAAGCAGCTTCAACAGCATACTGGCAGTCCGAATACACAGTGCAGTGCTGAGACAATTGAAGGGCAAGTATGATTGCATATATCTCAGCTCAGTCGTTCGACTGTTCACTCCCTGGCAAAACACACGAGTGGACGGTGCCCTCGATCTTGCACGACATGTCAGCAATAACCGCCGCTGAAGCCGCAACAGATGACAAACGATTGGTGGGCCAAAAGCATGAGCCATCAACGAAGATGTGCAAAACGGCGCGAATGGTGGGATGCGCGTGGCACAGAGGTTGCACGTGTAGCTGTTTGAGGAGAGGCCAAGCGTCAGAACACAGAGGCACCAAACCAAACCGCCAAACAGCCTCCGGCAATCTGCGCAGCTGCGAGAAAAGCCCAGGAAATTTTGAGCGGAAACCTTCATAGGCCTGACACTCGAAGATACGGTGAAACCGAGAGTCCGGCAACTGGCAGTTCGGGCACGTCGAATCCCTGGAAAAATCCCATTTGGACACTATGTCGTTTGTGTAGTTGCCCCCATTTGCAAAAAACTTAACAATGCCCAACTCATCAGGCTGAAGTTGCGCTAACAATCGCTGCATTCCTTGAAGGTCGACCGCATGCAAGTTGAAGCCAGGTCTACTTTCTGTAAGTTCAGCACACACCGTTCGCATCCAAGTCTGGGACAAAGCAAAATGCAGAAATTTTCCGGTGCACCTCAACCAATCCAAGGACCCAAACCACGGATGGATTAAGGCAGCACCCTCAACAGTCCAACCGAGAAGCAGTGCTGATCGCGAAGCAAACAACAAACAGCAAGTAAGCCTAAGCAAGCGAGCAAGCAAGCAAGCCAGCAAACAATCCACAAACCACAAACCCACCGACCCACAAACCCGCAAACCCACAAACCCACACACATACACATGCCACACACACACACACAAACACACACAACCAAACAGCCAAACAACCAAACAACCAAACAACCTAACAACCGCACAACCACACAACCAAACAACCAAACGACCAAGGTAAAAAACAGCAAACAGGCAAACACACAACCAACCAAACAAACAACCAGTCAAGCAAGCATGCAAGCAAGCAAACGAGCCAACAAACAAACCCGCATACATACATAGAAATAAACAATCAAGCAGCCAAGCAAACAAGCATTTTGACTTTGACGCTTTGCGTAGTCGGAGCTACAGTGAACATAACCCGGCAGTTGCGTGGCCATGTCACAACGGATAAACACTACGATCATGGAATGTTAACTTGTGGCGGATTGATGTGGAAATCGAATCGCCACTTCCTGGCTGAACGTTGCATAAACAGATCTTGCAGGTGAGCGCGTGGGTCAGGCTCACACACATGACGTATGCGGTAAGAAATGCCTTTGGTAGGGCGACTGTAGCCCAGGACGTACAGACTCCTGCAATTGACAACGAAATCCCCTGGGAGGAGATCAACCTTCGCACGTTTCCTGAACCATTTCAGGGCAGCTTGAAAAGTGCGCAGATCCTCAGCAAACGTGAATGCTTCGAGCGGCAAATCTTGTGTGCATCTGTCCCTCATCGCATATGCGGGTCGCTTGCCATCCCGGAAACGATTGACATTCACAGGAGGGCGCGTCCCCGTGGTAAAGATGAAATTCACGAGAAGTTCGGTCATTGATGTATTCGCATGCAAGTGGCTATGAGCCCACTGTAAGCCGTTGGCCCATGTCAACAGGGCAACTGCAAACTCATAAGAGTACGGGCAAAGCCTCAAAGCCTCATCGTCAACTAAGGCGACATGCGAGAAACATGCAGTGGACACATCCAAGATTGACACATCAAACCGCGTGGATGCACGCTTTCCAGCTGTTTTTGCGAACTCGTGTCGAGCACACTGGATCAAAAAGGCATGGTACTGTTTGACAACATTTCGTAACTCCTCTTGTTTAGCATTCATCGCACGCAATTGGTTGAACGAGAAAAGTGCTGAATCACGCGCCGCACGCTTTGCAGCAGCATCTGCAATGTGATTGTAATGCCGGCACTTGTCCAAAAAATCTGGAAGCACTGTCGTTGAACTCACATGGGCCTTAACCTTTAGGATGGACACCGACTGCGCCGGTCGCTCAACCACTAAGGAATCAAAAACCTCCCACAAATCCTCGTGCTTCATCAGTGGTGGGCTGGAAGATTGTCGCAAACAATCCATCCGAGCACAAGCAGCTTCAACAGCATACTGGCAGTCCGAATACACAATGCAGTGCTGAGACAATTGAAGGGCAAGTATGATTGCATATATCTCAGCTCAGTCGTTCGACTGTTCACTCCCTGGCAAAACACACGAGTGGACGGTACCATCGATCTTGCACGACATGTCAGCAATAACCGCCGCTGAAGCCGCAACAGATGACAACCGATTGGTGGGCCAAAAGCATGAGCCATCAACGAAGATGTGCAAAGCGGTGCGAATGGTGGGACGCGCGTGGCACAGAGGTTGCACGTGTAGCTGTTTGAGGAGAGGCCAAGCGTCAGAACACAGAGGCACCAAACCAAACCGCCAAACAGCCTCCGGCAATCTGCGCAGCTGCGAGAAAAGCCCAGGAAATTTTGAGCGGAAACCTTCATAGGCCTGACACTCGAAGATACGGTGAAACCGAGAGTCCGGCAACTGGCAGTTCGGGCACGTCGAATCCCTGGAAAAATCCCATTTGGACACTATGTCGTTTGTGTAGTTGCCCCCATTTGCAAAAAACTTAACAATGCCCAACTCATCAGGCTGAAGTTGCGCTAACAATCGCTGCATTCCTTGAAGGTCGACCGCATGCAAGTTGAAGCCAGGTCTACTTTCTGTAAGTTCAGCACACACCGTTCGCATCCAAGTCTGGGACAAAGCAAAATGCAGAAATTTTCCGGTGCACCTCAACCAATCCAAGGACCCAAACCACGGATGGATTAAGGCAGCACCCTCAACAGTCCAACCGAGAAGCAGTGCTGATCGCGCCAAAGACCCGGCTGGCCGATTTGCCAACCCGCCCTTGTTCAAAAGCCTAAGAAACTCCTCCTGAAAGACTTTGAATTTCCAAAGGAATCGACGCCAAAAGCAACAGCGCTGCAGAAGATCCAGAACCTGCGGGTCACAGTCATCCCCCGTCAAAGCCAATGCAATTTTTGCGTTTTCCCCAGGCCCGTTGCAGCCCAGGGCTTTAGCCGTGGCAGAGCGCCATGATTTGAATTCCGACTTTGAAACCTGTAATAAGGCCTGTCCGAAGTTGCACTTGGAAGAGCAACCCGCAAAAGCCAACCGTTGTTTGAAGCACATGGGCAGTTTAGACTGACGGACTTTCGTCATTGAATTTTTCATTTTTTGGAAGCGCAGTTTCCAAATGCTCTTTTGTCGACGACGAGTGTAATTAACATCAGGGATAAACCCTTGTTATGTTCAGGCGTATGAAAACATGTTGGCATCTTTCACTCGCACTTTCCTTGTGCAGGGCATTGCCGGGGTGGCCGAACGTAGCGAAACCGGGTTTCCTGAAGGTTGTAGCATGTCTGTCATCGCAATGACGTGCATGGCTTACTTAGCGCACGAGGTGCTTAGTGAAGACGGTACTTGTGCTTTCGTTTTCGCTGACAACTGGTCTTTTGCGGCCAACACGCTTCATGCCTGTGAGGCTGCCTACCAAGCCCTAGGGCGTTTGTGTGATGCGTTCTTGCTCGAGTTGTCCCCCGAAAAGTCTTGGGTATGGGCTACTACGCGCAAGTTTCGTAGACAGCTGCAGCGGGTGTTGTACAATGGAGTGCGCATTCCGCTTGCCTGGCATGCCAAGCAAACAAGCAAACACACCCACAAACCTACAAATGCGCAAATGCATAAAACACACACACACACAGACACACAGATACACATGCACGTTCACATACACGTTCCCATGCACGAACAAACAATGAAACAACCAACCAAACAAGCAAGCAAAATCAAGCAAACAGACAAACACACAACCTGAAAAACAAACAACTAAAATACTGACGCACCAAGCTACATAGACACACAAGCACACAAACAATCAATGAATCAAACAAGCAAATACGCAAACAACCAAACAAGTAGACAATTTGAAATTGATGCTTCGTGCAGGTGTTTGCTGTGAACGCCGCAGCGTTGCACGCGCCCGTCACTCATCGCGAAACAAAGACAAAATGAAGTTGAAGCCGCTGAGGGCTATGCGAAGGTTCTAGTGAAACAACTGTTCAAGTTTCAGGCTTGACATGAGAGTCAAGCCTCAAATGGCAGGGCGTTGCATGAAGATCTCTTGCAGTGTGACCCTGGGATCCACTAGGCAGTGCTTACGCGATGCGAAACTCCTTTGTTGGGGCGGCGGCGGTGGCTAACATCAAAAGGGTGCGTGCGACCACATCACCCGGCAGCAGTGCTGCATCTCGCTTGCGGAATCAAGTCAACGCAGCTTGGAAAGTTCTCAAGTCCTCAGCGAAACCATATGTTTCAAGAGGCCCATCACAGGCAGGGTGTGCTCGCATTCCGAAACAAGGCCGTTGATACTTTCCATGTTGCCTGAACTTATGAATATCGAATCGGTGGGCAGTGATATCCTAGCCGTATTGATAAAGTTGACAAGCAGTTGGGCAAAGGAGGTATTTGCATGCTCACGGTGCTCAGCCCATATTAGCTGCTCAGCCCATTCACAAAGGGTCTTGCCAAACTCTGTTGTGTAAGGAGAAGAATCAACGATCGAAGCTTCTATCACTGCGAAATGGCAAAAGCATGACTCACGCACATCCAGCAACGCATTGCCCAGATATGCCTTGTTGTACTGGATGGTACACTTGGGGATCAATCCCAGTTATGTCCAGCCATATGAACACTCGGCAAGGAGGCTTGCCGGCACTTCAGCTTTCGAGGAAACGTGGGCACAGCAAAAGAAAGCACCACAGACAATCGGTAGTTGCAGAGTCTATGCAACCCTTTTTCAATGGCCTTTTCAATCTGCGTAGTTCTTTCAAGCTACAGTTGTCACCGGACAAGAGTTGGGTATGGCTATCCGTCCGCACGTGGCGAAAGAGGTTGCGGCGTGTTTCCAACGACGGTGTTCCTGTTCCCGTGCTTTGGCATGCTCAGGATTTGGTTGCAATTCTACCGGATTGCAGCGTATAGGGGTTTGGAAGAGTAGACTCCTGAAAATGCGATAATTTCTTTCCAACATCAAAGGGATATCACTACCCAGAAGAGTCAAGGCACGCCTGGTCAAGAACGGTGCATGGGCCAAAGGCGTGTACGGGTCATAAGTCGGCGCAGTTTCTGGAGACGCTTCTTGCGGCACTTTCCTAACCTGAATGAGAACTTCCTGGACACGTTGACTGTTGGTGGAGTTTGTAAGCGGCCAGCGTTTGATTCTTTCAGGTTTTGAAAAATTCGCCTGGTACCCCGATGATAGCTGCTTAGTCCACCCCTGGTTTGGTCGCTTGGATTGGCTTCAATTTCTCTTTAAATTCTTTAAGTGCCGTGTTTTGCTCCAACACAAACCTTCCAGGCTTCAACATATCTGCAGTAGATGCCGCTGCTATGAAGGCCTCCCTCTCAAATCTTTCCCCAACATAAAACGGAGCTGTTCGGCTATACGCACGCGGACACTTCACTAGCGATACTCTCTCAAGGTGGGATACGTCTAGGTCAGCAACATGCCGAAACTGTGATGCTGGGATTCCCGCCGTTTTTTAGTGTCCAGCATATGAGCATTTACGTGTCGTGTACCAAGATGGTTACCGATTGCTCGGAATCTTGACCGAACCAGTTTGGAAATTCGCACTTCCTACAGTTGTTGTTGACTGGTGGTCTGTGTTGCATCCTGTTTGCTGTGCCGAAGATGTCGTGGTGATGCAACCGCAACTCCGGGAACATGTCAATGCTTTTGTTGATGGCTGGTGTGTTTTCACCAAAAACTCGTTTGTTTTCGGTTGCGGCGTCTGCTGCTGTGGTACCCAACATGGACGGTTTTGGGAATGGCTGTGTTATCAGCGGCCCTTTGCCAAACAAGCAAACGAACCGACCATCCAACTAATCAACCAACCGACCAACTACAGCCAGCCATCCAGCGAACGAAATAGCGACTGAACTGACTAACTAACGCGCAAACAAGCTAGCTAGTTAGCTAATGAACTAGAAAGCTAGCTTTTGGGCATTCCTGCAATCGTCCTGCGAGTCAAAGTGGACAAATTCTCGCTGGTATCAGTGTGCAAGCGGAAAAGGAAAGAATCAGAAAGGGAGGAACCATGCTGTTAGTATCACAATTGCCGGGGGGTGTGCCATCCCGGCATGGAACTTTGAAAGAAAGAGGCTTCATTTGAACGGTATGGCCTCAACAGGAAATATCCTTTGAAACCACAAGAATCCAAGCCAACCACTTATCATGATGACGAAACTGCATCGAATGCGAGAGCCCACCCCGATTTCCGAACCCAAGTGACTTCCTGTGCCTAATGTCGGTTATGTGATCAGCAGTGACGTGATGCTTGTTGATGATGCAAAAATGTTACAAAATCAAGCCTGCGGACAAAGGATTCCTACCGGCATTTCCTGATCACAGTCCTGGAAACAGGTCAACCGTCGCTGCAAACTCAACTGCGAAAGCCACCCAGCTCTAGCTAGTTAGTGGTAGTTCAAATACCTGAGTGAAGATAAGCATACGTCAGTAAATATACTGTATTGAAAAAAATAATGTATGCATGCATGCTTGCATGCCTACCTACCTACATAAATCTGTACATGCATACATACACACGTAAGTGGCCGCTCGTAGCAGTTCGTCTTGTGAATGTTCCTGGCATGCTGCTCTACATGATCGCATCGTGCAGGTCTCGCATCCGCTCAATCCGAATGAGTGGGTGAAAACAGAGCGTGCCTTATGCCATGCCTGCAAATTGGGTATTCGCCTTCGTCCCGAAACCACCTGGGAAACCTCAGGCCACCAGCTGCGACGTTTTTGACGTTACACCATTTTCCAAGCCGGTGCCTCTTTGGTCATGAAGTTTATCGAGATGACGGATGAGGGCACTCCTATGTCTGTCGCTTTCTTTAGCCTCTGCCTCCAAGGCAGATGCCACTCTGGGAAAGGTCCGAGGGTGGCATCTTCGTGGGTGAGCGTGGTGCTGGCTCAGGGTGCGCTTGGCCTAGTTAGCCCTGAGATATTCGGCCACAGATGTTGCATCTCCAGTTCTTGCAGGTTACATGTTGATCAGTGCCTCTGGTCCAATGTGGGTGGGCACCTCATTGGCCATCAGATGCCTCCAATTCCAGTCAACGAGCGTTTCAGCGGATGGCAAGAGGTGGAGGGTCCTGGAAACTCAAAAACTCCTCTCACCTGGGGAGAAGCATTCAACAAAATGAACATTTGAGACGCAGTCGTGGGCGCTGGCCCCTTGCGAAATGGGACAGACAGCAGAGGAGAGGAGCCGCTTGTCCAAGTCCCTCGTTGCTCTGTCGTACTTCCAGCTTCGGCGGTGAGGCACTCTGATTCAGGGTCTGCGCAGCAAGGTCGGAATTGGTGCGGGTTCAAGCTATTTGCACTGTGGCCTTGGTCAGCGCCCCGTGACAAGCACAAGAAGCTGAAGGACAGTTTTAGTGAGTTGAGTTGGCACGAGGTCGGAAAGGCATCGGATACTGGACGAAGCTGGCAAAGGCCCGGATCTTGGCCTGTTTCCTTGGCTGCCACACTGCTGCCATAGTGCTGCCTGGTCAAGGTGCGATTTTCCATCCTCCACTGACAAAGAGAGAGGACTCCTTGCTGAGCATACTGTGTTCTTCTTGTACCTGGCAAGAATTGACAAGACCTTGTGCATGACAAGTTTCAGACTGCATCGTGATCGTGCAACGCAGTGTAACACTCAGTTGCACACTTTTTTTCTGAAAAGGTGTGGTGTGTCCTGCAGTCTCCGTTTTGCCAAGTGTGCACGGAGACACATGCAGACACGGTCTGCGCGGCTTTAATGGGTGCGTTGATGTTGTTGTCGGTTGCACCTGCTGTTGCTGTGGTGACGCAATTGCTCGTACTCTCGTACATGTGCACCATGCAGATACTGTATGCATGCACGGGCATGCAGTACACTTTTCATGACTGCCAGCCTGAATCTATCGCCTGGCTTCCTCTCCTCCCCGCGACAATTGCGCCTGCTCTGTGCCGCATGCTTGCTGGGTCAGAGACCTGCAGTTTGTCCGTTTGTCTCAGTGATCTCTTTGTCAGCTGCTGCCGTGCCGGCATGCTTCGACCCTCAGCATGTGTGCACCAAGGAGGACTTCCTCAGCCGTGCCAAAACGGTTCAGACCTGGGCGAGATGTTTCCAAATTGCAAACAAGTCATTGTTCAGATCTGTAAAGCTCGAAAAAATGCCATACAGACCACCAGGTCGCTCTAGTTGGGCCTGGAGACGTCTGGGCTCGGGGCTTGTAGTGATACTTCTCGAGACTTGCGAGTGCCCTTTTGTGCGATTTCTTGCCAAGGTCTTCAGTGGTGGACAGCCTCACACAGCCATGTGTGTGGGAGACGGTGTAAACGTTTGTGCATACGAGCCGGGCCGTCCAGCTGCGCTGCTCCTGATTCTGCTGACTTTGTTGACAGCTTGGAGATCTGCATGTAAGACATTAGGCATGCTTGAACCTTTGCACAGCGTTGACGTATCCGCAGTTGTTCGGCTCCTGACTCATACTTCCCACTGCTCGCTCACGACTTCCAGCATTTGGCCTCAGAGAGGGAAATGAAGCTGCTGGCCTTGCCAGGTTGAGCTTGCCGACCCATGTTCGAGAATTCTGAGCCGCAGCATGCAACTTAGGTGCTGATGAGTGCCTATGTCCCTGGTGATGCTTGCCTCCGACACGAGTGTTCGACTCTGTGGTGTCATGTGCAGTTTGGATATGGAGCCTCTATAGCCTGTGTCCTGGATCAAGCCGATCAAGCTATGTGAACCATAATCGAAAGCTGAGCGGTTTCGGGACCCGAAAAGCCATGCTGATCATCTCTACACTCTGCTTGCGTGACTTGTTTCATGAGCTCTCTTTGTTTTTTGGGCTCCAGGCCTTGACTAAGTCTGATTGCAGGCGCCCCTGCCTTCGCTAGTCTGGATGATGGCCTGCTTTGAACGATGCATGCATGAACATGACCGAAGTGGTTGATGCAGTTGAATGTGCGACAGAACGGCTCTGAAACATGTGTGACAGCACGAGGATAACCTGATGATGCTTCGCGTGCCCAGTTCCGCAAAGAGCGGCGTGCCGATTTCAGTGACTCCGCTGCAAGCACTACAGTATTCCATATCAGGGATAGCGTCAGCTTCATGCGATGCCGCTTCTGTAACATCCACTTTCCAGCTCCGGCTGAACATGCCTGAACACGCCTTGGCTCGTTTTTTGGAGTCGATTTCCTCAATTCTCTGATTGTGTTTGCAGCTGTTGGCATACCTCTGCATTGACGGAAGTAGGTCTGCTACTTCTGTATGTGCCATGCAGCATTCGTGTGCTTTACCCGTTGCGTCAAGGTTTGCGGACGCCTGTGCTACGTTTCCAATTCGAGTTCCCTCGCCAATGTGCAGTCAGAGCTTCAAGCCTGTCTCGGCATGCACGAGCAGGAGCTGAGAACGTCAGAGCAGCGGGCTCTTGGCGTGCCCACTGTTAATGCCTCTGATGTCTTTTGATTGGCAGGAGTTCGATTTATCTGACAGTGCGGGTAAGAGGAGCCTTGCCTAGGGTGCAGCATGGGATCTCGTCCGTGTCGACCCATCTTCGCTTTGTGGCAGCGCAGGCTGGTGACGGATCAAGAACTTCAAGCTGCCGTTCAGGGTTGCGAGACTTGCGTTGGCTCACGCACGTTTGCTCTCCTTCGCTGTCGGGAGGATTCATGTTGACATCATGTGCAAATAGCTGAAGCGCATCCGAGGTAGCCTTGTTCCACTGCAAGCTGGCCTTTCAGATGCATCGGTTCACCTCATTGAAAATCGTCGCGAAGAGTTGGCCCAGATGCAATGGAAGGCGTGATTGCCAGCTGAGCAACTAGCCGCGCCTTTCTTCAATGGAGCCTTTCACTAGTAGAGGCGATAAGATCCTGGCATCCTGTGCAGGTGTTGCGGGACAAGCTCCAAGGCTGCAACAGCGACGTCTTGGCGTTGTCCACGCAAGTCTCGGAGCTGCAACAGCGGATCCTAAGCAAGCAATCAGCGGACCTACTGCGGCTTCCTAAGCAGCCTGTAGGAGTACATACCGGAGACCCGAAACAAGACTAAAGCTGCAAACATCTGCGCAAATCACAGCTAGCCGCGCTGGAGGGAGAGGGCAGCATCAGAGACAGCGAGCGATCTACACCGTGGCCATCGTCACATGATTCATTGTGAAGGTAGGAGCGGTGGGAGGCAGTAATTTATGAGGTCAGCTTGATGGAGGCCAGGGCTCTATGCGGGTATAGCCGAAAGACGCGCTGTGCGGCCTGTGCTCCTTTGCACATTGATGCAACCTCTTTCTGACGAATGAAGGTCGTCTGATTTTTCCGAGACTTCCGAGGATGTAGACATACTTCGCAATGAAATTCAAGTGCCTCATTTCATTGCGGTCTTGCAAGGATCCAGCTAGAAGCAAAAGAGCGTGAGAAGGTCGTTGAGGCCTCGGGGGACATGCATGACCACTGTGTCGCTAATGCTACCACGAGGGCCTTGACATGAGCTCATCTCCGAATTCTCTGTGTTGGTCAGGCATTGCGAGCAGATATTGGCAATCAGCTGAACCAAGATCGGGCAGCTGTGGAGGTTGGTCGTGATGGCGGTGGTGTGTGTTGTTGTCAGATTCTCGTTTGAGACATTGTGCATTTTGACACCAGGCCAACATGCATCAGCTGTCCGAGCAGATCCACTCTTTTTCGAGTCTCGTCAATGCAGATGCTCATCCGCACATGATGCTTCTTACATCTCACTATCACCGTTAGACCGTGCAGTTCGGTTGGCCAGGAGCAGAACAAGCGCGAGTATGCACACAAAGTGTTCGACAACCAAGTCCAGGACTTGCGACCTTGGGCACACGGCAGGCAGGAATAGATGTAGGCCGGCACGGCTGCCAGAACCCACTCATACCCACTCCAATCGCCAGCAGCGTGTTGATAAGGCTTATAAGGCAAGCCAGTGCAGCCTCACAGCCTTACAGCCGATTGAGCTGAAATCTCAAGTCAAAAGATCATCGCCGGCCTATGGCGACGAAACCGCAAGAAGGCAAAACTCCACTCCGTCTTCTTTTGCCCTGCGGCAAGTGGCCACAGGCCCAGTTGGCTAGTTCACAGTTCCGCTTAAGACGACACCTCGAGTTTTCCTGGGGATTCCCCTCGCTTGTGTCGTCGTTTGATTACTTGATTTTGCTTCATTGTATCTTGCTTTGGCCCTCTTTGCAGTGCTTGTGTCGCACTCGCTTGTGGTTCTGGCATTTGTGAGGTGGACATGTCATGAGAGGGTTGCAGACCCGGTTCCTCCTTTCGAACGAAAAGCCATTCGCTCTTTTGAGCGTTCAAGGTTAAGGGCATGTGGTCGTCAAGCATTACGAATGCATGCCAAAACAACGGGCAGCTAAAGGATGGAACCACCGGGAAAGATGCTGTAGCGCTCGTCTTGACTTTGAATTGAAGCGGCTTATCCCCGTGACAGCTTGGCTTCTAGCGGGCCAGTCATTGCCATTGGAGGATCTTCGCAATGCCCTTGATGCCGACCGAGCGGAGCGACGCCAGGCGCACCACGTCTCGCGACATCTTCTGATTCTGAAGCCGGGCAAAAGTTTCGTGTTTTTGGCAGGAATCCGACAAGCATCTCGCAATGTTGCGCGAGGGCACGGTTGGCCTCGATGCGCAACGCCATGCCTTGGAGCCGCGTGGCGGTCAAAATCGTTGAGTGCTTGTCTTCTTTATGAGTTGTCTCGCGTGGTAACTTCGCATCTTGTGGCCCTGTGTATGCTTTGGTCGATTCAGGTCCGTGGAACAGCGGCACATGCTGGATTTGCAAAATCTCAGATCGGAGCTTGCACAGGCTTCCAGGCTGGCTTGCTGACGTGTTGCTGACTTGCTCAGAGGCTTAGTTAAGGATCAAGGTGAGCCAGCGACCTACCAGTCAACATGAATATGGATCTAGTCTGTTCAGGAAGATCACGGCCTTTGCCGATGAGCAGCCTGGCGTGCATTTTTCACGATTGCCTATCACCCCGAAATCCAACATCGCATGTTGCCTCCTTGAAGGCAGCTCGAGTTGCTTCGTTTGTCCAATGAGGAGCTGAGTGCATCTGAAGACCATCCGCATCGTACTGGTGGAAGTTTGTGCTTACCGTTACGTCAGGAGCTCGCACGCAAGCTGAAGAGTTTGGAAGGCCATGTGCTCATTTGATTGGAGGCTTCTGGACACGGCTTCGCTTGAACTGCCTTGAACACATTGTATTCTGTTTGATGCTTCGCCTGCTCCGGCTCTGCTCTGCCTGTGATGTCGCAAGGTGACACATACAGGAAACTGGCAGAAGTTCAAGCAGGGAATGAGCAGGCCATGAAGAGCCTCAGTGCAGCGGAGGTTTGGGGCTTACATCGAGCGGAAGTATGGCGGTCCCTAATCCTGAAGATCGGATTGAGGCCCACAGCCATGAGATTGATGCGCGGCTCAGCCAGGAGAGGGGTAGCTTGTTCTGTTGATATCTGTTGATGCAGCCAGCCCCGGCTTGTATTGGATATTTTTCGTACATCAGTTGGGCATTTGGCGTTATGCAACTGAGTTGGCGAGCTACTACATGCTACTACGTGCTACTGCGTGCTACTACGTGCTACTACTGACACTACTGTACTGCTACCGCCGCTACTGCTTCTACTACTGCTACTACAACCACCACTACTACAACACCCACAACTGGTTACTACTACTACTACTGCTGCTACTACTACTACTACTACTACTACTACTACTTCTACTACTACTACTACTACTACTGCTACTACTGCTACTACTGCTACTGCTACTACTACTACTACTACTACTACTACTACTACTACTGCTACTGCTACTGCTACTGCTACTGCTGCTGCTACTACTACTACTACTACTACTACTTCTACTACTACTACTACTACTACTACTACTACTACTACTACTACTACTACTAAGGGTTTCGGCTGGAGAGTAGCACCAGGATAGGGGCCGCCTTGACAATGGTCACTGCTTTTTCTCTGCTTGTACTTCTGATGAGCTTTGGCAGTTGCGCCCGTGCAATCATCCCTGCTTTCTCTGGACCGTGCCGGTCCCAATTCCGGCAGCTGGGCACGAATACGGATCTCGACTGGCAGAAAGCCAGCCCAGCAAACCCGAGGGTTCGGTGGAGCTCCACAACCCACCGAAGACACTTGGAGGACTTGTCCTCCATGGTGGAAAACTCTGGAAATGTGAAGACTGCGCACCGGCTGTTACTCTGGATGTAGTGGCCATTTATCAATGGGTGATGCAATCTGCCCGGCGACAGGAGCTTGAGCATCAGAGGCACTCTCTATGGCTGGCTTGGGGAGTGCTTTTGCAGCGCATCCCCGCGCGTAACCTGGTGGTGCTTGGTGCTGGTTTGAACTCGACCTGTAGGCCGTCCTGGCCTGGTAGGTCGAGGACTTCTGGCTGGCAGGGGCAAACAAGCTGATGAGGAGCTCATGCGCCTCATATCGGCCAACAACCTGGTTCTCTTGAATACGTGGAGCAGCCGAAAAGCCGTACACTGTTCTA